CCCATCTGTCTCAATTGATGCTTCTCTGGAAGAATGCACTTCCCAAACACCTGGGCAAGGAGAACGCTGCCAAGCCAAGTAGCGTTGAGATCAGTTTCCTGACTCATGTGCGGGAGTGTGCGCTCGGCTCGTTGCTAGTGTTCATGGAGTTTAACAGCAAATTGATCACATCAGATGGCGCAAAGAGAATCGCTGCGATGTTGCAAAATACCGTCGAATTCTTAGATGACTTGCCTAAGCCGAAGGCTATGGAAGACCTTTCACAAAGGCTGCATCCATCCCTGCAATTACAAGATTATTCGACTATGGTGCGCCGACGTGTGTTGCAGTGTTTCTCGAAGCTTGTGCATGTCCACCCACCTAGTCATGGAGACATTATTTCCCAGTCCAGACTTCTCAGCCTGGCTATTTCCTCATTCGCAGACCCAGATGCCCAGTACAAACAACTGGAAAGCTCTATTTCCGGCTCCACTGGCCAATTTGATGGCCTATGGGATCTATGTGATAATTACGGATTTGGTGTCACTGGACTCTCCCGAGAATATATTCGTGCTACACTGTCTGGCAACCAGGAAGATGACAAGAGCCCTGCCTGGTCCGCACTTGATTCCGTGGACCAAATTGTGGACGACACCTTGACTTTCCCTATTTGTCAAGCTAGCGAACATGACGCGATCCTTCTATACAGTTTGCGAGATGGAGATGACCTTGCTGTTGATCCCCCAACAACAGGAGTTGTCAACTCGGCAATCGGTTTGTTTTCTGTGGCCCTGGCTCTTCATTCGTCCAAAATCCAGGAAAGCAGCGTGGAACAGATCGCTACGTTCCTCTCTTCTCCTAGCCTACAAAGAAATCCCGGCAGGAGAGCAGCATTGGTCATCAACATCTCGGTCGCCCTTTTACAAACTCTGAAAGTTGCTGTTAAGGAGACAGACTTTGTGCCTGGCAAGCTAAACCCATCCACTGATAAGATTTTACAAGAGCTTCTCCAGAAGTTCGTCGTAGATGCCGACCCGATTGTTCGCACAATCGGAGTTGAAGCACTGGGACGGCTTTGCGACAGTGCTGGAAACACGTGCACCAACACACAGGTTAATTGGCTTGTTGACACCATTGTCGAAAACAGAGAGCCTAACGCTAGAGCTGGCTGTGCTGCCGCCTTGGGATGTATCCATGCCCAGATTGGCGGAATGGCAGCTGGTCTACACCTCAAAACGATTGTTGGCGTTTTAATGTCTTTGTGTAATGACCCTCACCCTGTTGTCCATTTCTGGGCCCTTGGAGGCCTGGAGAGAGTTGCCAACTCCGCTGGCTTGACATTCTCGCCTTTTGTCTCCGGCTCTTTAGGGATGCTTGCCCAACTCTACATCGCTGATACCCACAACGAGGAGGCAGCCGCGTTGGCGACCTCCAACATTGAAATGTCATTCTTGACACCAGTCGTGATCAGTCGATGCGTAGACTCTCTCATTAATGTTCTTGGGCCGGACTTGCAAGACATCGCGAAGACCCGAAATCTCATTTTGACCCTGCTTCGCCAATTCCAGATGGAGGAAAACCCAGCATTGGCGACGGAAAGTTCCAAATGTTTGGATCACTTCTCGATGTATGCCCCCAGCTATATCGATTTTGAGGCATACGTGAAGCGATTGCAGACTGAGCTTCGAACAAACAACTTCCTCATGCGAGACGTGGCAGTTCGCGGGCTCAACAACCTCATGAAACGAGACGCATCGTCTGTGATGCAGACGCTGGGTCAGTCTTTGGAAGATGACATCTGGCTCGCATTCGATGAAGCGCCGAACAACAAATCGGTCAAGTCAATGATCCAAGACTGGCTACAGCAGACTGCTTTAACAGAAACCGAGATGTGGATCCAACGTTGTCAAACCATCATGACCAAGACGCGCCACAAGGTGGAACCCGTGCCTTCTACGGCTCTTCAAACTGCAGCTGCTGATATCCCCGATGACGAGGTTGCCGGGTTTGCCTCGGCTGCTGGGGAGGGGCAAAGTGACCTGGCGAACGAAAGCATCTCTGGCCAAGAATTACTGAAGTGGCAAACCCGCAACTTTGCCATGAGCTGTCTCTCCGAACTTCTGGCTACTGTCCAAGAGGCGATCCTCCCAGATTCTGCCATCCCAGCGGAGTTAGCTCTCCAGAAGAACGTCGGAGATATTGTGAGAATGGCCTTTTCAGCATCTACCGCCAACGTCATTGAGCTGCGCGTGTGGGGATTAAAGATCATCGACCAGGTCCTTACCATGTTCGGCAAGACACCGGATCCTGACTTTGCTGAAGCCTCGCTCTTGGAGCAATATCAAGCTCAGATTGGGTCTGCACTTACTCCTGCCTTTGCTACAGATTCCTCTGCGGAGTTAGCCTCAGAGGCTATCAATGTGTCTGCGACTTTCATTGCTACAGGAATCGTAACAAATGTCGACCGCATGGGGAGAATCCTGAAGCTTTTGGTGCTCGGCCTTGAGAACTTCGCGAAGAACCCAGAGACTACTGAAATCGGTGATCTCAAAGGTCTAAACTCAAATGCTCGAGTGATGGTAAAACTCGCTCTGTTCTCGGCGTGGGCTCGGCTCCAGATCGCAAGCATCGATCATGAGTACTTGACCCAGGTGGTCCAGCCTTATATTGCCAAACTCACACCTTTATGGCTTTCATCTCTTCAAGAATATGCTCGATTGCGCTTTGAGCCAGACATCTCCGGTAGCTTGGGGACAAGCTCCAGCAGCGACCTGGATGAAGTGTATGCCGCGTTAAATCGGGAGACTTTGTTGAAGGTAAGCCCTAAAATACCTATTGTATTTGACGAACACTAATAATATCTTTAGTTTTACCAAGATACGTGGTTATCTTTAGTGGATGCGATTGCTGGGCTCGTTGAGAAAGATATCGACTTCGTTTTCGATGCGTTGGATGGCAAGCTACAGCTACCCGAGGAGCCTAGTGCTGCCGAGGGCGAGAAGAAAGATGAAAAAGCCCTCAAGAAAAATGAAGGGAAAGGGCATGATATTAATTACCGCGAAGAGCCTGTTGCATTCTTCTTTGTTTTGTTCGGACTGGCTTTCGAAGCTTTAGTTGATCAAGGAACTTCGGCATCGCAGCGATTAGAGATTCTTCAGGCTCTGAAGCGAATCTTGAGGCCGGTCATCTCTGGAAACGCCATCTACCAAGATGCAATTTTCACAGAGACCATGGACAGTTTCGACCGTCTTGTGTTGACAGAAGCTATCCCCATCCAGACGGTCATTGTCGAGATTGCCCAAAACCTATCACTGGATCACCCTGCAGCAAAGGGTGATCTAGAACGCAGCGACCATCTTTCTGATGACATCGAGCAACTCTTCGAGCTCACAAGAAGCATCATTCTTGTTCTCGCTGGAATGCTTCCCAATCTCCGCGAATCGACACCACTTGCGCGATTCAACGTCACTTCGGATGAGTCTTTGACTCTCATTCGTTTAGCACTTCGTTCTCTCGTCGATGTTGCATCCGTATTCCCATCTATCATTCGCAACGATCTCCATGCTTGTATCCTACATATTTTCACAACTATCCTTGCAACTGGGGTCTGCCAAGCGGGGGTTGTTCCACAAGCTCTTCCCATATTCAGGCAGTTCGTTCACGGCATTACCAACACAACGGAATCGCCCGAAGACCTCGAGGTCGTGTCATTCCAGCTGCGAGGATGTCTCACGCGCTTCCTGACTATTCTCACCATCGCTCAGCGACGAGAATCGGATACCTCTATTCCCTGCGCCAAGAACACGCTCCTTGCTATCACTTTCCTCCTTACTGCCGGCGCACACGTCATCCCGCCCCACGAACCTGTCCTGATCCGAGTTCTAAATGAGTTGCTCGACTGTCTTCAAGATGTCGGTCTCTCTACTGTAGCAGCTAGCTGCCTCCGCTCAATCCTCATCAAGCCAGGTTCTCGTTCCATCACCGACGAAGTGATCGGCCGATATCTCATCCCGCGATTGATCGCCTTCATGGTTGCCTGCCCCTTGGATAACGGCGATATCCCCAGCGATCCAGAAAACTCCCGCACAGTGATTGCTCGCACGCTTGTGGCGTGCATCTCCAATGCCACTTTCTCCACTGACGATCTGCCCGCCGCTACCTCCCTCATCATGTCGGCACTATTGGCACGCGCCAAGCGTGAAGGCGAGTCGGTGCACCAAGAATCTGCAGGCCATCTGCTTGAGCTTGCCAAGGCCGACCAGCTTACTTTCCGGACGCTAGTTGCTACCATGAACGCAGATCAGAAGTCACTTCTAGAAGAGGTTCTTCGCAGTGTCGGAATCGGGGCTGTTACTTCGAACACTGGCGCTGAAACGGTAGACAATACTCCCCAGGCGGCGCCAAGTATAGCATTGCGCATGGATTTCTAGAAACTTTATATGGTATACCAGACAACACACTTTACGATACAGTTAAATGGATGCAACTTTTTTTTTTCATAATCCGGAAGACGTAGGCAAATTCAAGTGCAAAACCGCCTACATATTGAAGAGAGGAACGCTCAAGGCTGTATGATCTCAGGCACACGGGTCGATTCAGCACTCGCAATTCAGCACCATACCCAACTAGCATACAGAAAGAACAGGGGTTACTCCCCAAGGGATGAATTTGGAGAGGTGTAGGGGGTATAGGAAATGTGTCATTCTCAATCCGTATCTACTGGCTGCCTATACTCTCCGTCCCCTAATGACTACATAAGGAAACTCCGAAACAAAGAAAGAAGAGGCAAGGCCCACGGTAGTGGAGGTTCTCCCCCTACAATATATATAAATCAATGAATTGTAAAGCCGATATAGGGCCGATATCGACTTAGACCGGAGCTTATCCTTATCCTTACCCGATACATCAGGTGACCTTCCTATTCCCATCTCAGTTGTAGTTGCTTGTCTACTAGAGTTCAACTTGAGATCATTGTATGCCCGAATTCTCTTTGAGAGCCAGTCCCTCCCTGTGAGGTCGAAATGCCACCGGATCGGGGTCGTGCCTCCCGAGCATGCGCCTCATGCAGAAAACAAAAGACTAGATGCTATGAGGCCGGAATTCCTGGACGAGCATGCATGAGATGCGATCGACTTCACCAGAGTTGCTCCCTCGTCCAAACTGTTGTCTCGGACGAGGAATCAATAGCCCCCGCACCGGGCACGGATGCTCGGTATGAATGCCACAGCCCCTTTTGTAGCTCAAACTGACGGTTTCCATAGTTTGGAACGTCTTGAAAAGACTGTGGCTACTCTGCTCGATCGGCTTGGAGAAGGCCCAGCAAAATCTCCAAGTCAAGAGCAAAGTAGGCCCACCACCGAGCAGACGAGCCCGGTGACTGGCGGTGCGTACAAGGATACGGAATCTTCCGCGGCTCCGATTATGGTCATCCGCGATCTGGCAACGGACAGCGGTATCAAACCAATGTCCGATACCAAATCCCTGGGTGCGGCATTAGATGACCTTATTCCGCCCGATCTTGCACTTGCACTAATCACAATGTATGCTACCCTTTACATGAATTGCTTTATAATGACGAACTGCCACTAATTCTTTTTCATAGTTTTCTTGAACATTACGGTCGATGGGTTCTGTTCAATCCTCAGTGCGACCCAAGCGAGCTTCTCCGCCGAGTGAAAAAATCGAGCTTGCTATTTTGCGCTTGTTCTCTGATCGCCGTGCGGCACACTTCTGAGGAATTGGCTGCAAGCCTTGCTCCAAAGTTGTATGAGTATGCCCGCTCTCTTGTTTCTACCACTCTTCTAGTTGCCCCACAGCCTATTGAGTTCTTCCAGGCGACTCTGATCCTGTCTATGTGGTCGACGACTGTCGGACAGGTGCCTTTAAGTATTGATAGCTGGCTTTTGAGCGGATTCGCTCTACAGCACTCCCATTCGAGTCCGCTGTTCACTGATGTTACAACTCAATCTCATCCTCCAAATAAATTGGACGAGGAAACCATGGATAATTGCTATCTGTGGAATCATCTCTGTCTTGCTCACATACATTATTGTGTTGGGACCAGCCGTCGATCTATGCTACAACCCTGGCAAATTGAGCGATGTCGCGCTATCATCGTTTCAGATCATGCGATCAATTTTGAAGTGCGCATGGTAGCCGAGATTTACCTTTACTGGACTGTATATGAACACCTCATTCAGGAGTCGGTCGATTTGCTGAAATCGGTGGCAGCTTTGCAGACCTGGCGACGAAAATGGGAATTGGTTCTTGGTATGCTATTTTTTATTTCCATCACCTCATCCCTTCTAATAAATTTTACGATCAGAGCAACCGAGGTCTCAGTTTCTCTCAATGGGCTTCCATTTCTGCCATCTGCTTCTCTACGAGCATGCCCTGAAAACCAAGTCTTCCCGAGCTAGAGAATCAGTCGTATCAGAAATGATTCGCCATTCCACGGCAATTGTGCAATTAGCCATGAATACAGTAGATGAACGCACCCGCCATTTGACCGATCACATCTACCATATGATCACATTTGCGGCAATTATCGTCTGCCGCTTGCTAAATGCCTACCAAGAACAGGTTGCCTCGACTCACAACGTCGATGAGCTCGAATTGCTTGTACGTGACTTAGTGCAGTGGCTGTACTCCATTGGATTGCCATGCCATGCAGCGCATACTTTAGGAAATATCGTCGCGAAGGTGCATCAGAAATTACGACCGCACGTCGAGCTACCACCAGCAAATCCGCAACCATACGAGCTACTTGGCGAACTCAATAATCACTATTTTCCAGAATTTCTTGGATTGGGAATGTCAGCTGATGGGAATTGGGATCTTCTGTCCAATATGGGCCTCTTTCCGCAGAGTCCATCTCTTCCAGAGAGGCCTGACTGAATTTTCAAACAATATTAGAGGTGACTCAAAAACGACATAATGCGGCAACATAGCAACGGCCCTTCAATAGCCCCCATAACGCTTTTCAATCCACCGTAACAGAGGGAATGCGGCCCCAGAGAACGCAAATGTCAACTCGTGACCTATATTTGCACCTTTCTTGCCAATCAAAGAAGCAATAGGGCCTGAATACCAGGCGGTTTTCATACCAAGAGCAGCACCCACGAATCCCAAGGCGAAAGCCCCGATCGCGGCCCATCCAAATGGCAAAAAAGCAGTGCTGTTCCAAGCATCAAAATCATATCCTTTCCATCCACGCCGGAAAATGAAATGTTCTTCTATCACCAAAGTGATATGGATCACAGTCCAGTACCCAATCACACTAAGAAGTGTCTCTAGGGTATCAGCGAAATATCTGGCTGCGCAACAGCCAATTACTATCGCCGCGATGAATCCGAAAGTGACCATGACCACACGGGGAATTCGCATAGCCCACGGTCCCAGATTCTGTGCATGTAGTGCAAAGGAGTAGTTGTTTGGAATGTTGTTCTTTTCCAAAAATTAGCAGGCGAAATTTTAAAATAACCAACTGACAGACTCATTAACTTACTGGAATTGAGCTCAATGCTGCCAGCACCATCAAGAACTTTCCGAACCCCCCTGCTGGCTCCAATGCCATCTTAAGCAACCCCCCAATCGAAGAAGCTCCATATGCTTCTTTCCATGCTGGGTTGTTGATCGTACCTGTATACATGGCCGCACCAAGAGTCTGAACAAGCACAGTAGGAACAAAGATACCAACATAGGTAGCAGTGAAGATCTTCCAGCGTGGCGTACCCTTGGGCATGCGCACATTATAATCCGCTGCGCAATTTACCCAGGAGACTGAGAAGGAGAAGATCAAAGCAATGAAGCTAAGAATAGCAGCAGCTTTATCCGCCCCCTGAAGATGCACCTGATTCTCGCTGGTGAAATGTGAACCACCTGTCCCAGCTGCGACACACCACACAATAAACGGCAGTATCCAGATCAATGTGTCGAGACGGTGGATCCAGTTAATACCCAGAACGCAGATGACCCAGACAGCCACACAGATCACGATTACGCCAGCCCAGATGGGGAAACGACCATCCGAGACGGCGTGTAGGACGGCTGCGCCCGAGATTGAGTTGATTGCGTTCCAGCCCGTTGTAGCAATCATGGAGAATACAACGACGAGCATGTTTCCCCAGTAGCCGAATGAGTATCGCCTGGGAGGGTTCGAGTGTCAGTGGGATATTCGGTGCAGAGAGCTAGTCATGGAAATAGATTACTCACGAGAAGGTCGTCATGCGTAGCCCGGTTAATCCAAATACAGATGTCCAGGCTGGTAGCAAATTGGTTGTCACATTGACCACGAGAATGACGATGAAGCAGTCCCAAAAGGGAAGGCCCATAGAGCCTCCCAGGGAGCCGATGTTGAGGGTGGCTACAGCCATGTTTGCGCTGAACCTATAGATTCAAAGTGGTATGTTAGTGGTGATCTATACATCATATGTACATATTCACTCGGGCACCAGTCCTACCAGAATGTAGCAGCATGCCAAAACTTGGTTGTATTCTGTTGTCGTTCTTCATCAGTGACTCGTTCGATGCCACCTTCTTCGATGGAGAATCTTCCACCAAAGAATGACCGATGAGGCTTCATTGTCCCTGATTCAGGATGTGGCTTCTCTGATCCTGGCTGTGGTTTCTGAAAAGATTCATTATAATTGTCCATTTCGATGAGTAGCTCGAGATAGAAAACAAGAGTGAAGCCAAATCGAAACTCTACGTCGGGGAGTCTCCTTTCTATATCTCCACCATGTCTCCTTTTCCTGCACAGCTTCTACCTATCGGTAACACATTACACGCTGAAGTAACACGATACACACTGAAGCCACACAATATTTCACACTAAATTAAACGTATTAGCTTCCGTGATTGGGCTTATCTCACGCCATATCTAACCTCTCTTGGCTAATACTTATCTTCCGCGGCATACCGCGGCATGCCGGTCCGGGGATGCCCTAAGAACGAAGAGTATAATCCACTTCCCTCGAATTTGGCGAACATAAAGTGCCGTCTATCTGCGTTGCCTTTCTTGTATTCAAAGTCAAATTCCTCAATCAATTGATCTATCTTCAATGGAGCAACACACCTTCCGCCGCCGAGGTCTCGGCCTTCGCGGAGTCGACGCTGAGCGCGTCTCTCCAGGCTACGTTCTATACGCGCCTCTCACCTCGAACACAGCACACCTTGTCTCTACAACTGGCAAGGAAGTGCACCGCTGGACTCTCCCCCACCGCGCCGGTCGGCACGCGCGTATCCTCGCAGATGGAAACCTCGCCTACAACAGCGCGCACCCGGACGCCCCTAACCTCTTCCCAATGTGGGCCAAGTACCGCGGCGGTCTTATGATACAAGTCAGCCCAGAGGGCGAGATCCTCCGTCAGTTCAGCGACCCACTGGCGCACCACGACCAGAACCACCTCGACGACGGCACAATCCTGTACACGACTCTTGAGCCACTCACCGAAGCCGAAGCTGCGCGCGTGCAAGGCGGAGTCCCATTCACCGAAGCACCAAATGGCGTTATCTACGGTGACTGCATCAAACTCGTCCAGCCTTGGTCAACAAGCAATACCTCCTCCTCCGCAGACTTCGACGGTAGCGGCGGTAAAACCGGTGCTAAGCTCCTTTGGGAGTGGCGCGCAATCGACCACCTCGACCCTACTCTCTTTGCTGCGCATGCACACTATACCCGTGAACACTGGCCGCTTATCAACAGTGTTTCGTTTGACTCGGCTGGAGATATTATTGCTTCGTCGCGGAATGCGTCCAGCGTGTTTGTTATCAGCCGTGCTACGGGTGAGATCAAGTGGTATCTTCCTACGCCGATTGTTAGCCAGCAGCACTGTGCTCATGAGATTAATAAGGAGGGTGATATATTGATTCTTGATAATGGTGTTTTCAGACCTGGTATTTCGGTGCCATTTTCCAGGGCTATTATTGTTTCTAAGGAGAAGAAAATTAAGTGGGAATACAAGGATTTCACAACCGGTGGGTTGGGATTCTTTACGCCATTCATGGGCTCTGCACAGAAGTTGGCTGGTGGAAATGTTCTCATTTGTGAGGCTGCTACCGGGCGGATTCTGGAGGTCACTGAGCGAGGTGAGCTTGTTTGGGAGTTTACTGTGCCTCAGCTAGGAGATTACAAGGAGGTTATGAAGAAGGAGGAATTGGGAGAGATTGAGGAGATTGGGTTTGATTATGCTAGCAATGCGGTGTTTAGGGCTTATAAGTATCGCGCTGACCAGGTGCCTTGGCTTAAGGAATAGTGGAGGGCTTCTAGCCAAAATTAAAAAAAAAAAGTGATATTATTATTTTTGTAATTTTTGTGATTTGAGTCTATCGTACATATCTGAGTAGGTGGATTTGCCATGTTCTGTTAAAAAAAAACATCGACTTTTGTCTAATTGATGGTGATACAGGCGGTGCAAAAGAATCTGGTCGAGTGGATGCATACATGAGACCTGAGACAAATGAAAGAAAAGAATATGTGGCTGATGGTTATAAGACATGGGGAGTGGAAAGGGTCAAGTAGATAACGAAAGAAGGCGTGCCAGGCGCCTGAAATTTATGTTCGAGATCTCAACCAAGGGATTCGCCGAGATGCGCTTCAGTAGACGGGACGACTGTCTGAATTCCACCATCTTCGACCACTCGAGTTTCAGTGGTGATTTCTTTGGTGACAACCGGCTCCTCTGCTTGTTTGGCTTTCTTGGGTTTAGGCTCCTTGCGCGTGGAAGCATACTTTAAGAAGACGATGATCATGACTTATAATAGTTAGCCACACGAAAGAACCAGTTAGTGAAGAATAGAGGCACTTACAAGCACAGATGGCAATCGTCATAGCGGCACGTCTGGTCAAAATCCAACGAAGACTTTCGATCTCACTCTTTCCATCACTGTTTAGTGAGACAGTGATTTTGTAGTTCAATTCCTGAACCGAGGTATCGATGCTCCGCTGCTGCTCTCGCGTGATCATCTTGTGATCATTGAACATGCCCTTGATGTCGTCTTTCATGCCTGCAAGTTCCTGACTGAGACGCTGCGAGATTATATCCGTTTCATGCTGCAATTGCGTGCGTGATGAGCGCTGATGCTGTATTTCCGAGTTACGAGCTGTTTGAAGCGATGTCTGGAGCTCGGAGCAGGCTGCTTTGAACAGGTATTCCTCATTCTCGACATCGGATTTGGAAGTGAGTGTCTCCCTAGCCATGGAGAGGTTGTTCTGTAGGATGGCCCGCACAGCCTTCATGATTGTAGTGGAGTGCTCTTCGCTAAATCCTCCCTTTGACAGATCCTGGACCAACGAATATGTGTCGAAATGATGCACATAGGGTGCTGGAGAAAAATGTGGCGGGCGATCTTCGGAAGGTCCCCCGGTTGGGGCTAGGTAAACTGACGGCGAGGGCATGTGTAGGACGTCCTCGAACGGGGTTTGGCTTGTGAACGAAGAGTTATCTGTATTTCCTTCTGGTTGACCTTCGGAAGGAGGGGACGAAGAAGCCGAAGCCTGTTCCTGTTCCTTTTCGGCATCTATATCCGTTGCCTTCTCCTCGTGCGGTTCCCGGTCTGTCGGGGGGTTGGTTCCCTTAGCTTCAGCTTCCATTTGTCGATCTAGGGCTGGGGTCGCCGAAGAATCAACATCTGCAGTGCCCTGTTCGCCTTCCTGCATTTGCGACTCCGACTGTGATTCTTCCGGCACAGCTTCCTCCGGCCCGGAGGCATTCACATCCTCATGTCCGGAAGATGGATCCCCTGGCACATCGTGAACCTGGCCATGTGAACCCTTCTTTGGACGCAAAGAAGGAGAAGAATTCGGTTCAACGGCTGGACCGTAACGCCGCTGGAAGGAATCGCGTTGGTGTTGCTGACTCGTATGGAAGCGTTGAGTGGGCCGGTATGGGATTCGAAGGGAGCGGTATGTTCTCGGTGCGCATGAACGCACAGCGCGCATCAAATTCGGATACAGGAACGGGAGCTTCGGTGTGGCCATGGTGGTAACCAGCATATGAAGAAGCTAACTTTCTTTCCCGCGGGGAATCATCAACGTCACCCGTCTCCGGCGATATATGATGAGTCAGCTCTGCACGTGCTCTCCTGAGGTCGGGGAAGTGTTTCTAAGGTTTTTGTTGCTTTTTGTTGCTTTTTTTTTGTATCTCGACATGGGCAAGATATTGAGGGTTTATTCTCTACAATTGACACATAATCGGATCGAGGTCCTTGAGATGTGACGAGCTCCGGACAATGCCCCAAGCTTCTCTAGTTGAGCTATCCAACCTCGGGAGGATCTGATTGGTTGCTGGTTTTACTCTATACACTCACAAGGATGTTCGACACTCCATTTGCCATCCCATGGCAGGCAGAAATAGACTGAGAGGGGAAAATCGGAGCTCCAACAGATGCAAAATCGTCAATCTCCCATTCCCAGCCACAAGTGCAAAAGATGACAGAGCCATGGGGGCTAGGCATGTGACTACCTAGTGTAGTTGTTGGTTACTACATATGTATCTACTCAATATCCGATAAAAATGACAACAATGACAACTTGAATGATGGATGGTACATCCCAGTGGTGATTTAATTCTGGAGTCATCCCATTTCCCAGGTAAGCGCTTGGTATATTGACTGTTAGGCGCGGATAGGCTCTAGGCCCAAGTCTACTAAGTGAGCTCGGAAGCAAGCAATAACGACTATATGCGATCAGAAAATACCAATGGTCCCAGTTGTTTGCACTGCATAGTCGTTACATTAACACAGCCAAGTGTGTGGTTTCATGGGCAGGTCATTTAAGTTTAAGCTCTCTGAGTCTCCATTGTCTGAGCAGATATATAATTTGGGAAGAACAAGCAAATCACATCCTTGTAAGGTCCTGGAAAGTTGCGCGCTTAGCGCAAATTAGTGGTCTTTTTAGGTTCCGTAAAATCATTAGGCCGAACCTTCCTTCAATGTCTCGAAGGCCTACCTATATCTGCCCAGGCATTCATAAACAATCCCCATTATAATTTTAATTAGAATGATATGAATACATATAGGTATCCCCATGGGCTTGCATCCCATCCATACATGAGTGGTGAGGCAATACTAGTCATCGTAGGCGGATACCTAAAAGCGAAACCCATGTCTAGACTTCCGGGCGTTTCTTTCTTTCTCGTTAAATGCAGTCAAATGCACCAACCATCGAAATACCAGTAACACGAAGTCAGTTCAAGAACCTGGCCAACCAAAGTTCGAACTCAGCACAAGGCAACACTGAAGCCACCAATGTCTCGACTACAAGTGTGGAACAAGAACAAGTGGATAGAGGAGCTTTCGTTGAATGGCTTGATCTTGACTATGCTCCCAATTCAATACCGAAACAGATCGACTGGAAGTCCATTCTTAAAGATGTTCGGAAAATTCATGGCTGTCGTCAGATCACATTTACATGTCCCATGGAAAACCCCTAGAGACTAGGGATGATAATACGTAAGATGCGATGCAGATCCCCTTTTGTGACAAAGCTAACTAAATGGTCATCGGGTTAAAGACTGGCTTACCAGAACTAATCGAAATGAGTTTCGCCAGTCAGATGCAATGACACAGACTATGAAAGAAGTCATATTTTCTCTAGATTCCGATAACCTAGCAATGACAGAAGCAGCCACAACAAAATGGCCTTTTTGCTTTATCGACTCGACACGACTAGCAAAAAGTTCATCATTGATTGCTTTTCGAAGTCTAGTATTCCTAGCATGGTTTATGAGATATGGATGGTTTATCTTCCGATTGAAAAAGTCGTTGCTTTATTGGATACAGACCCTCCTTACAGTTCTCTGAGGTTGGTGAACCCTTTCCTCCAACCCAAGAATGGATCATCAAGCCCTATAGCGGCTATTTTCAATTAGAATATTACCTGGGTCTCAGGTGAAGTTGAATACGAAGGGCGACGCTGTAAACGAATGGCGTAGTTCGGAACATGGAAGTCTAGTGAGGCCGAGAAAATTTACAAAACAACAGTGACATTGGGGAGCAAAGATAATGGCGAAAAGAAGCTGGAATCGGATTTTTTTATCGATAACCTGAATCGCCTTGGGATGTACGAGGCCTGGCATGCCAAGTTTGAAGAAATCAAAACATGGATATAGATGCTGGGCACTAGAGGCAGATTTTGAGCATTCCCAAAAAAAAAAAAAAAATTATATGCTTGCAACATTAATTCTATTTGTAGATGCATCAAGCTGTAAGCTGTTGGCATGAACGGTTCAGAAACAAAGACATGCTGTCCGCAGTATGTGCCACAGCGAGGTGTATAAATGTATCACAGAAGCTCATCATCGTCGTCCTTCTCGAGCTCAGTTGTATATTGGTGGTGCTTCCCCCAGTGGTGTGAGTGTTTCCTGAAATGATGCGTGTGTTTCCAACCATCGGCTTCAGTCGAGATGGAACGGCGACCAACACCATTCGCCTGTCGTTTACCCGCAATAACACTGGTCCAGTCATATTGGGAGAGATACATAGCAGTTGCAAACCACATATAATTATCTGCATTCTCAGCCGTCTGATCAGGATCAGCCAGCGCCAGGGATCCAGTTAAGATGGCACCATATGCAGTCACAAAATTTCTGTTAGAGGGATGAGTGAACATGATATCCTCTGTTTAAACAAAATATTAGCAATTTACTTGAACTGAGACGAGGCAAAAAAAGGGCAACTCACCTGCTCCATTTACCAAATGCATGAGCTCAGCTCTGCGGATCCGATTATGATCAGCTGCAAAACATCTACTGGGTCCGTGTCGATAACGGCTGCACCATCGAAGAGTCAAGACTGGAACTATCCAAATTCCTAGCGCTCAAGGTACCACCTGAATAGTGCTTGAATGGCTGGTTTTGACCTAGTAGAAAATTGAACATACCTGAAATATGGACTACCTACGGAGTACCTAGGTAGCCCTGGAGGTATCCATTACAGAACCTTTAATAAGCAATGTACCCTCCAGGGCAGTTCTACCAGCCTTAGGCAGGAAATAAGATTGAAGCTTTTCAACCTAAATAGGATTGATCTCAATATATTCAGGAAGTCTTTGGCTTTTTCTTCCTACTAACTGGGGGTTCTGGGGGTTTGCTGGCTATTGTGCTGGTCAGAATGCAGATCAGTAGAATATCTGTCTGGGTCATGGACAATAAGGAGATTATATAATTAATTCATACATCCATAGTCAGTCGTATATAGGTAATTATATATCTGGTGATATGGGATAAGAGGCATGAAGAGGATGAACTTTGGACTTCAAATAATATATTCGGATATCAGACAGCTATTTAAAGAGTCACTCAGATGTGAATGTAGTTTGTGTTATATAGAATGTTTCTTAGGTCAGAAGGAAATGGATCGGTATGTTTGTGTTTGTTTTTGGACAAAGAAGGCTTTTGGGGAAAGAGCGACTGTAGAGACACACGTCTAAGGGACATCTCAGGTTTGGAAGGCACGCGTTCTAGACATATGAACCCTGTCGGATCTCTCGTCTTCCACCTTTTCTCTTCTCCATCGATTTGTTTACGTCTTCGATACACATCGATCTTTGTCAATTCAAGCTATCAATTGACGAGACGGCAACGAACCCATCGTCTTGTCTTGACCAAGCTTTACCAACCCACCGTTTTCTGTCCTAGTTCTGATTGTCATAAAATCCAAAAAAAATCCAAAATAACAAAAACAAAAAAGAAACATCCTTCGCCAAACGTGTCTGTCAATCCCCATCTGTGTTGGCCAACTTTTCAAACCGTAATCAACAAGCATTGAGTCTTATCACACCACAATGGCGTCTGTACAGACCCCGTGGACATCGATCCTGCTACAGGAGAAACCTGGACTACACGAATACAACCATGCTCTGTCGAATATTGAAAAGTACTACACTCGCTTGCATCGAGCTATGCAAGATGGATCCATCCACGACCAACTAGTTCTCAACCAGGACCAAACACATTCACGCCTGCTCAGATCCTTTGAGATATTACGAGGCAAACAACTGCCAGCTCCTGTTGCCGAGGAGATCTTCAAGGCCATGGTCCTTCCGTTCATTCACGACAACATTTTCTCACCATCACAAATGATTCAACTAGTTGGATCGGCACTGCCTCTCGTCACAAAAAAGCACTCCCAATTTCTCCAAAACCTCGCCAACACTCTCCTCTCATCGCAAGACCTGTTCGATCACCTGGTGGCCAACGAAAAATACACAGTGGTCTTGAAGGAATGGCTGTTGTCGAAAAGAAACTATCTTCCCCTTGCTATTTCGAGGCAGGTTGGAGACCGGCTGATCGCCATGTGTAATGCCTGCTCTGCTGATCATGGAACGAAAGATACCGTGGAGAGTTGGGATATTGCCCAGAAACTGGTGGAATCTATCAACTCACTCATTGACACATCATACGAGGAAGAATTGAAACGGGCAAAAGTGGAGAATCTACCTCCTTTAGAATCAATGAAAGTGCTCAGTCGGGACGACAAAAAATCGACCTCAGCTCCCCAATGTTCCAAAAAGGAATTCAAGGTCTCGGACGAGATCCTTCAGCAGATGAGCCACTTCAACATCCCACCGCCATTGTCCACTCGAGGCCTCACCCATGCAGCGGAGCATCTTCAAAATGAGATAATCCCAGCACTCATGCGCTCTGCTCTCGAAAGCTTCCCATGTAGAATCTGTCTGGATAAACTTACTACCGGGAGTCTCACAGGCACTCTGGCCAGCTCGACAGACCTGCCTTCGGATCGAACTACAGCACCGGGCAGTGCCCAAGATATTTTCGGAAAAAGAGTCGGTCTTTGGAAAGTTTTACTCTCTGATGTTGCTTTCAAGAATGCAAAGAAATTGATTCACGGGGGTAAGTATGATTGATCACCTGTTTGCCTCCAGTATATGCAACTTGACTGGTTCTAACCGTATCTAGGCGATTTCGGCGGCGTGGAACAAAAGCTCAGAGATTTAGCAAGCGGGGAATGGAAAGGCAAGGATCTCTCTCGCCGAGTAGGATCTAAGCAGCAGAAGAAAAGAATGCAAGTTCCTATCTTGGAAGTGAGCGCTTCTGCAACTGTGTCAATCTTGTGGCAGATAGATGTCGGCTTCTATGATGAGCTTCCATGGGTACAACAGCAGGTTGTAAAAGGTAAGCGTCTTGAATATATCTTATCAAAACTTGCGAATCTATGCTAACTTTGACAGTTTGGCAAATCGTGACCTCGGAAGAGGAGGTGTGTTCTTGAATTGAATAATATGAGAAGTCTACTAACTTTGTTTTACAGTTGGAAACTGCCATTGAGCAAATACTTCTGATCCAGGAATCATATACGCCGGAACTTGCTCAGCTCTGTTTGGAACGTCCTGTTCAACAATCCGATGGAACTTGGACGCCACAGCGGTTCAGAAACGTGAAGGAGACTGGGTCTTATCAGATGAAATCTATTGCTTCCTCAAAGGTGACCTCAGCTCTGATCGAGATGTCAAGTACGAGTTTATCCCCACTAATTCCATCCCAAGCGCTGTCTGTGCTGTAAGCTAATCATGAATTTCAAGACAAATTTTACAATCTCACCGAGCCATTTTTGAAGTCTATCATTGATGAAAAAGAAACAGAGGAGTTTCCCTTCGATCTCTCGCCTGAAGAATTGGAGATTGTGAAGCACTTGAGCACATCAAGCTTGATTCTAGGACGAAGTGGTACAGGAAAAACCACCTGTCTGTTGTTTAAGATGCTTGCCAAGCACAAAGCCAGGCAGTCATCCTCCGATGAGCAGCAAGCTCGACAGGTATGTCTCTATCTTCTCACAGTGTCGGATGGAAAACTGACTGAAATAGCTTCTCTTGACTCGATCCTCCTATCTAGCTTCAAAGCTTCAAACCTATGCCAAAAGTCTGATAGAGGCTCAGTCCAAGGCTTCACTGACTGAAGAGGATGCAGACTCGGATTTGAAGCCGACTTCGTTCTTTGCCCTGAAGAATTGGCATTTTCCAGTTGTTTGCACTTATGACGAATTTCTTGGGCTTCTGGAGAACACAATCAGGTTTGAACACCTCAAACGCCAATCTGTCAATATGTTCCTGCTAACTTGAAGTAGAATGGCTGATCGAAAAGACTTTCTAAAAGACATCAATCCCAACAACACAAAAAGTCTGGATCCACATATGGGAGACAAGCCACAAGTGATTGACTTCAGCGTTTTCAAAACAGAATATTGGGGCTCTCTAAGTGGATTAGCTCCGCCATCTTGCTCTCCAGAGCTACTCTTCGCAGAGATCATGGGCGTCATCAAAGGCTCCAGCACCACAGCAAAAAGTCTGAAGCCGTTACACCGTGCAGAATACGTCAAGAAGAACGCGAAAGCTTCTCCCGCCTTTACCTCTGAGGCAGAGCGTGAGAAGGTGTTTGGAGCTTTTGAGCGCTATGAAAAGCAAAAGAAGCTTCGCAAAGAGATTGACGAGTTGGACCGTGTTAGTGGCTTACTGAAGTCCATGAGAGATAACAAAGCTCTAGCAGAGCAGATCCAGCGCTGTTTTGAGGAGATTTATGTTGATGGTAGGTTGAGCTCACGTCATTCCAGAGCAAAGTACTAACTACGTGTTTAGAAATTCAAGATTTGCGTTGTCTCGACATTATCTTACTTTTGGGCTGCCTCAGTGACGCCCGGGGGATTCACCTTGGTAAGCTATCCTAATATTGATCCACGAGCTTAATCAGCTAACAAAGCCTAGCTGGTGATACCGCCCAATGCATCTCAAAAGATTCAGTTTTCCGGTTCCCTGAAATTAAGGCTTTGTTCTACGAACATTACGAAGTCATTGCCAACAAACTAAATCAGCCGTCATTTGCCAAGCCTGTTCAATTCTCTCTAGCTAAGAACTATCGTTCCCATCAGGGAATCCTAAGTTTTGCATCATGGGTGATGCAGCTACTCTGGAATGGTACGAGGAACTGCAAATATCAGACTTGTCTCTATCTAACTATTTATATGTAGGATTCCCGGAAACAATTGATAAATTGGACCCAGAGATTGGCCAGATCGGCGGACCGAAGCCAATTATCTTCGGTATGTCGTATCCATGCATTGGCATTCAATCACTAACATCTGTCACCCAGCGGGATTTGACTCCTCAATTCTTTCCGCCAAAATGATAGGCCTGGTCAAGCTCAACGACAAGGTCGCCGATTTTGGTGCCGAGCAAGTTATCCTTGTCCGAGACGATGTATCAAAGGACAAATTGCAAACCCAAATTGGCGAAATTGCCCTTGTTTTGACAATCCTAGAAAGCAAGGGTATGGAGTTTGATGATGTCTTGGTGTATGATTTCTTCGGCAGCAGTGGACTTGGCAGTAGCTATCGGTGCCTTTACATGCTTGTTCAAACAGCACGAGCACAGTTTGATTCTCAGAAACATGCGGTGAGTATTCCATGAAATGACTAACCTGCTATGGTTGCTAACATGTCCAACTAGGCTTTGTGCTCCGAACTCAAGGTATATTAATTCCTTGCTGATGATTTCTTTTTGCTAAAAATAATAATCAGTCACTCTATGTTGCTGTTACTCGAGCCAGGAAGCAACTTTGGTTTATGGAAACCCAAGAGAACAGCGTTGATCCCATTATTCAAACCCTTTCAGAGAGCAACGACCTCGAGCTTGCTGAAGTTGTGAAGCAGAAAGACCCTAACGTATGTAAGATTTTGATCCAAATAGTTCGCGTACTCATTTCTCTCAGGTTGCGGCAAAGGTCATGGTTCTGCGGGCTGGTGGCTCAGTGGACCCAGAGAGATGGCTCAAGAGAGCAGCACATCTTCTACATCGGAAAAGCTTCGCAGAGGTAATATACTGTTAATCAACTAGAGGAGACTCTTTCGCTAATCGAATTTTAATAGGCCTTGTTTTGCTACAAGAAGGCCAATGATCCTCGAGGAATGACACACTCGCAGGCGTGTTTGCATGAGCAAGAAGGAAGATCTCACCGAGCAGCTGGAGATACTGAAGCATTCAGGACGTGCTATGAGAACGCCATCGTTCCTTTCCTCGAGATTGGCCTCATTACCGAAGCGGCGGCGTGCTACGAGGGGCTTGGGCAGTTTGGCAAAGTTGCAGGTTTGTTTTTCAATCGTGTCGACTTTGAGGAATACTGACCTCTCTTCTAGAAATCTGGAAGGATCGTGAACAATATCAGAAGGCTGCATACTTCTATGAGAAAGGAAATCTTTTCACTGAAGCTTCAGAGTGCCATCATTCTTGTGGTCAATATGAGGCAGCAATTGAGGTCTTGCGCCGCGGAGATCAGTTCGATGAACTCGTCACTTATGCCAACAGGTTTTTACGCCGATTTCTGTCTCCATTGATGACACAATACTGACTCTTCATAGAAACCGCGAGTATCTCAGCGAGCCCACTTTGCTTCGTTACTCAAGACTCTGCAATATTCTGCTGAAGCAGGGACGTGTCTCTGCCAGTCTGCGGGCGATAACCATCAACATGCTTGGATCGGATGCGTCCAAAATTGCTTTTTTCAAAGAGTTCGAAATGTGGGACCAGCTGCGCGCACTTTATTCATCAAAGTCGAGATGGTTTGAGTATTACGATCTATCAGTAGCTGTTGGTGACTTACCCGCGGCGATAAGCATATTGCTGGTTTACAAATTGATGCCGGTGATCGACAAGCCAATTGTTGAAAAGCTGTTCCATTATTCCATGGTTGAAGTCTTGTATGCCCAGAGAGACTTGATTCCTGGTAAATCTGAGCGTGATGGGCTGCTGAAATCAGTCAAATCAACACATCTCGAAAAGCTCGGGGCTCAGTGGAAAACGCTATTGTTTTTGATGAACGATTTCGAAGATATGGATTTACCCGCTTCAGTTAAACACCTGGAGAAAGGTCTTTTGAAGGATATCTTCTGTCTTTTTGTTTGTCTCCAATCTTACCATGACTTGTGAGCAATGAGCTAATTATTTCAGGTGATCGCTTTCGAGCCGTCAGTGTTCACAAAGCATAAGGTTGAACACCTTCCAATGGATATTGTCATCCGAGTTGGAAAGCTGCTGCAGGACTTTTATGCCCGGAACCATTACGCTCTTACTTGCCTAGCCATGACTTGCGGCATTTTCACCAACCCAAAACAAGAGAACCAGACAATCTTGCTTCACTGGTCTCCATTGAAGACTTACACAGAAACACCTCTTGATGAATCTTCATTCGAGAGCTTGCTTGACATTGCAAAAGACTTCATTCAAGAGAGGTTTGCTATCGCACTTACTCAGTTCCATGAAAGTGCATATAATCTCATGAAGACTGATTTCCCCCCGACATGTTTCCAACAGCTTTACAAAGGCAAGCAATCCATATCCGTTGATGCACTCATTTCAAAATGACTAATCGTTTCAATCAGGGTTTTGTTCAAAGCTTAAATCTAACGAATGCTTCTGGGGTCATGAGAAGCCTACTGCAGAATTCGCTATTGCCAAGTTGAATGTGAGCAAAGACACCGAAAATTAATAAAAGACCGACTAATAGTTAAATCCTGCAGTGTCTTCTCACAGTTGCTGAGGTTTTCGCGCGCCTCACGCCTATTTATTATCAACAACTTATCGGCGAGGCTTTCAGCAAACCATTTCTGGGCCGTAGTAAGTGATCGGTCTGATCCCGTCGTACGTTCCAGATCTAACATACTATAGGGAGAACTTGGATGCAACATATCCAAGAGGAGCTGGTGATTGTCACCTCACTGGAACAGTCCTCTAGTGCAATTGCAAATTTACGTTCTAACTTGCAAAGCAATCCAGAGTTTGCTGCAACCGCATACTGTCTTGAAGAATTGTTCTTCTATCGCATGGACAAGGAATGGGGCTCAATGAGCAGTTTGAGCTCTGCTTTAGAAAAGGTTCAAGAAGCCCAAATTCTCGGTATGATAAAATTCTTTTTCGGGAAGATTAAAAACTGGCTCTAATAACCAATCTAAATTTGCAGGCCCTCAACCAGCCACGCGTTTCCAGCGAGCACTTGTTCTCAATATGGATCGGAGCATGCCACCACGCCCTAGGCGAGCCAGCCACCCACTTGCGTTGCCTTTGACAACATTGAATGCTGCTGAAAGGATTCGGTCAGCGGTTGGAAGACGCCATGGTCAAGATTTCGTGAGTCATTAATCTGCGTTATCTATCAAACTATACTAATATTTGTATAGCATAACGGCGTTAGCGCCTTTGTCCAATGTCTTGAGAAAACACCGAAATCTTCCCTTGGGTCGCTCCATGCTGTTCTTTCTGTGCTTGAGTTTGCAGCTACGTACATTGTGTGTTCCCAAATCTCGTCGATGATACAGCAGTCACTAATATTGTACAGCTTTGTATCGCCAATCCAGGCAAGGGCATCGTGGTTCCCTGGTCCTGGGCCTTGCAGCATCTTTCGACAATTATGCAATCTCCTGCAAAAGACCATATGTTCAAGGATAGAGAGATCCGAGTGCACACGACCGACTTGATGCATATTGTCACCAGCTTCTGTAATCTCATGGAACAGGTTGAAAATGCCCTCAGTAACGGCATTCTCAGGTTTCAGGGAATGGGACGCAATAGCCTTCCAATTCCTATTATCAAACGGCGCTGCACTGAGCTTCTGACAACCGTGAATCTCAACCTGAACCACTGGCCCAGGCAGCCAGTTGGCTTTAGAGAGATGGAGAAGATAGTCAACAAGGTATGTGTATTTGCTTGTATCGATTGATCCTAAAACAAGGCTGACAGATCTTTTTTTTTTAATGATAGACACTTCGAATTCTTATTCCGCCGGGAATGGCACTGGAATTTTCCAACAGCGATAGGTTCCGGCAAAGTTGCATCCGCGAGTATGCAGCCTACAACCACAAAGACGAGCTGTGCGTCATTGCGCTTGATGATAGAAAGTCCGCTCCTCTCTTCCTGCGATCCTTCACGCAAGGCAATGCAAAATTTGCCCAGTTAAGTGATATCTTGCAAGTTTCGCGAATTGCCGAGAACCCCCTATCTATGGGTCTAGAGGAAGACTGGCAGGTCGACGAGTACACTGGATACGAGCTCGACATGATCATAAACCTTCAGCGGCGTTGGCGAGAGGTTATGAGCATCCTTAAGAAGAACCGCCGCAGGGCACAAACGCGCGAGGGCAAACTTCTCCAGCACTTCCATGACATGTGCACGATACGGATGAGCGTTCTACCCGCGGCTGCTTGGTCAACTCGTGACAAGATACACATGCGCAAGGTGGTATTTACCGATGGCATGAAGATCGCCATGTATCTTGAGGGTGTGTTGGAGAGCTTCAGACAACTGAAAGACCGGTGGAGGCAACAATTCAACAGCAATTGGTCCACCGCGAAGTTAGAAGAGCTCTCTGTCATTCGCGGACGCATTCTGCCGATTGACGGGCAGCTTGAGTACATTGTTGAAAACTGGTCTCCTAAGGGCATTGAGGAGGGTATGATGACCATTCCGGCCGAGGACCTTGGTATCTCAGCCCGTGAGGCCCAGCGTGCCCTTTGGGCTGTTCAACGCGAAATTGAAATCATTCAATCTCAGGTTGAGATCATTGCGAAGAGTGCTGACCGGTAAGGGGGCTTTTTTCCCTTCCGGAGTCTTAACAACAAAAATCTACAAAAAAATTTGAAACTACAAAATGCTATCAAAAAAAAAGCTAATTGGAGATGATCTGGGTGGAACAAGGGAAATTTGTTAATATCTGGAGTGGGATCATTTTATGCCTGGATGAGATACGATTGTATGAAGTGAAATGTAGTTAACTAGTTATTGATTTCTTGTTTACGGAGTACATAATCTGTAATGGATTCTTGTCTGTGTACTATGTAACCAATGTTCTGTTTGTTCGGGAGTAAATTCAGGTATAGTATGTATCAACTGCCTCTTGAATGGATAATGTAAAGTATAGATGGGGATTTGGAAAGATGTAGCATGCTCCTAGAGAACCACTCAATGTCCTGCCAAGAGACCGAACAGCAGCTCCGTCCGAGTCCAATATTCAATTGCAAGCTTCTTGATGGTCTTGACTGTCTCCACACTGGAATCAGCACTCTTCTGGGCACGCTCGACGACATCAGCCAGCTGATTTCGCTCGCCGAGCATCTGAGACAGATACAGAGAGTCGAAGAAGATCTGAACCTTCCAGTCGCGCAGGCCTTTGACTTGATCTAGATCCGGGATCTGGGTCTCTGATTTCTCTGCAGTCTTATCTTCTTTGTCCTTGTCTCCGTCGGCAGTGGACTGGTCATCCTTGGTCTCAGGCTTGCTTGACGTTTCTTCGCTATCAAGATCGTCCAAAGCAGATGAGATAGCCGCCTCGAGTTTTGTTCTCAATTCCTGCTTCAACGCTTGCACGGTGGAGGGATCCCACAGATCCAATCCGCAGGTATCCATGGAGGAAGTGAGACGGCGCAGGAGCTTGAAGCTTGAAGCCGAAGGCTGAACCGGTATGGCAGGCTCGCCTTCCCAGAGTGATCGCCCGGGCACGATCTTTATCTTTCCTGTTTGGGAGTTACTCATCGTCGACGGGATCAAGCTCAGCGATCCAGACTTGGCGACTACTTCTGCTGCAAGCAACTTCTGTAGGCCAGGGACGATTTCACTCGAGAAGACAAAATCTGCAGATACAAAGCCGGCGGGGATATCTCGCCGGACGAGTCGTATAAGCCTCAGTAGGAAAGTTGCTTTTTCACTTGAATGCGAGGAATTGAATGACTTGAAAGCGTTGCTGAATGATGCCTGGAGACTAGTGAATGCGTCGCGGACGGCAGAGTGGAGAGAATCATATAGGTGTCGGGGGTCATCTTCGTTGAGTCGAGGTGTGATATCGATATCTTCATCTTCAACTTCGCCTCCGACGAGAATGTCGGTCCATCGCGTGCGACGTAGAGAATTGATGGATTCGTTGACTTCTTGGATTGATGCCAGCCATGCTTGATACTTCACAAGGACATTAGAGACGTCTTCGTCACGACCCAATAATCTGTCTGCGACTGTTTGTTTAAATGCCTGTGCGCCATTCGTGTATTCTGCGGTAATTAGATCGGCATCCCACAGAGACCCGATGGAGTGGTGGTCGGTATTCTCCCAGCCTGATATTATAGATGAAGTTTGAGTACCGACTTCACCTAAGCTTTGTGCTTGCACATTGAGGATTCTGGCAAGCTGCTCGTTGAAGATATTTCTAAGACTTTCGAGAACATCCACTGAGTCGTGAATGATGGTTGAGCCCCAGGACGAGAGCCACAATTCCACAGTCTCTGCACGGAGCGAGAGGAGCTCGGAGAAATTGGTGCTATGAGTGAGGCTCTTCTGGCAGCCTTCAGAGAATTTCTCAAAAGCCTGGAGCGACCATTCCTTAATTGATTCCACGCCTTCGGCTCTGTTTAGTTCGCTGAGTTTGATCCAGGGGATAAAATTTTTCACATCTGGAGCTACCCAGCGGCCAAGAACTTCAACCTCCAGCCCCTCTAGACTCTGAATCTCTGGGTCGGCGAGTAGGGGTCGAGCTTTGAGTTTCGAGAGCACATCGGGGAATTGACGGGATCGCAATGCCTTTGATGCCTGAAGTGTCCGAACAAACAGCTGGAGAGCTCTGGGGATGTTCTCACGAGACAAATCCAACTGGCTAACAATGACGTCCAGGCGCACTTTCTGAAAATGATGGATTGCATCATCGGAAGAAGAGCTCGTTACCAGGCAATGGGCGGCCAGTGATTCGATGATAGTATCTTCTGTAGCGCCTATAAAGGCAAGGCGTTTATCAATCCGTTTGACAAGTGTCTTCCGGAGGGACCCTAGCTGATTCCAGAGATCATGAAGGAACGGAGGGAGTGGGTCATATTGCGATAACTTCATGTGCAGTGATCGGGAAATAACTAGAATCTTCGCAACCAGCAAAAGCGAGCTGCGACGCCGCAAAAGCCGGCTGGTTGTAGTTGTACAGCGGTGAAGGAGGGAAAGCTGCGCTCCGAATGCATGCTTCTCTGCGTCTACGTTCGCAATATCAGCTACTAGTTCCTGATTTTCTCTAGGGCTAGTTTCGTACCTTTCTCTGCGTCACCAGCCTTTATCTGCCGGACGTGGACATGCTTCCTTTCTATAAGTCGGGGGTTGCACCGACGTCCAACATCGACCAGAATGGATTCCACGTCTTGAATATCCCGGTTCATGGCCACAATCGTCTCAGCAGTTCCAACCAAGTCACGATATCGCGTGCTATAATCAAATGATATCAATATTAGCAAATAAACGGCTACTTTGGCAAATCAATCACCTACCCCACGAGAGCTCGGAGCTTCTCCTTATTGCTTGCGATGTCCCGGCGCAGCTCCTGTTCCACATGGCGGACCGTTGGAATCGGGTATTGGAATGCATCATGCCATGACTTCAGGCTTTGAGGATCAGGTGCCTCGGGAGCCATGCTGGCGGGATATGTGATGAGACCGTTGGCTTATAGAGAACAAGTAATCGATGCGACACGGGCGGATGCCTGAGAGCCTTAGACCCCTGGATCATCCTTATCGTTATCTACACGTGATGGCAGAAAAGTTCCCCGCCACCGAGGGGAAATGTGTCGTCCGGACTCGTCCGCAATCTTATACTTTATATCTTTTACAAAAGGTATATTCAATATGCCGTTGCTTGAGTCGGATGCTGCTACGGCAGAGAACTCATCCAACGATATCCCAGATCGCCTCCCCTTTCCGCCCACTACCTACTCCCATATCTTGCATTGTTCCTATCATGACTGGCATCCGCGGTAAGCTTCGATATATGACTCAACACCAAACATATCTGACCCAAGTTCTAGGTACCGCACACTTGCTCCCAAGTCGCGCGTTATTCCTTTGACTGCTGCTTTTGTTGAATACCTCCGCGCCGATGGCATTGTTCTTCCCCCCGAGGCCGTCGCCCCAACCGACGATGATAATTTGGACACATTCTCCGATTCGGGCGAGGAGGAGCTCGATCCATCCACAGAGTGGCAGGAGATTCACACCCAGATTAAGAATACCATCTCTGATCTTGGTGGCGTTGTCACACCTAAATTAAACTGGAGTGCTCCCAAAGATGCAACATTCATGGCCGCCACAAACGACACCCAATGCCGTTCTCCTAATGAAATCTACCTCCTCCTGAAAAGCAGCGACTTCATTACCCATGATCTAGATCATCCCTTCGACGACTGTGTGCCGGATACAGCCAGCGACGAATCCATGCCATCCACCGTTGACTCACCGCTGCCGGATGTGCCGTATTCTCTGGTTCTCCGGAAATATGTCAACTTCAACCCTTCGCTCGAGTTCCGTTGCTTTGTACGCAACCGGGTCCTGCTATGCATGACACAGCGCGATCAGAACCACTTCGACTTCCTCTTCCCTATGCGTGATATGCTCCGGTCTCGGATCCAGTCATTCTTCGATGAAAAGCTCAAGGACACCTTCTCGGAACCCAACTTCGTATTCGACGTCTATATCCCCGCACCGCACCAGCGTGTTTGGTTGATTGATATCAATCCGTGGGCGCAACGCACTGACCCATTGCTTTACAGTTGGTTGGAGATTCTTCGGATGAAGGATCCCATTGGTGTGCAAGAGGAAGAAGATGATGTAGCGGAAGAGTTTGTGAGAATTTCACTCAGTGATGGTAAGATAATTTCTACCGGCACGGCGGAAGAGCTCGAGAAAGAAGATGATTTGGCTTCTTCCGACTCGGAGGAAGAACATGAGAACGCCGAAGGAGATGATGAACAAGCTCCCTTCCTCCCGGAATTCCGTCTCATCAAAAAGGACGATCCTGAGGCCTACGCATTCAGCTCCACTCAGTATTCAGCTCACAAGGTGCCGAGGGAGCTGGTCGATGCTTCGCTCCAGGGGCCTGGTGGCATGAGCGAATTCATGGGCCAGTGGCAGGATATCTTGAAGAAGCAGGAGCAAGAGGATCGGGCTGCTGGCAGTGACTCGGAATAAAATAATCTCGACTCAAAGCGCTGAGTGGGATAAAAAAGCATTGGTACTTGGTCTAGTGGCGTTTGGATATAGCAGAGAAATGAATTTATGGGAATTCCAAGGTTGCATCGCGGATTACAGATCGATCTATGCATTATCAATGAATAAAAATCAACACATAATTTGGCGCCTTAGGTCTCCAGTGGTCACAAACCTACCTAGACAGACTTCTGTCAGAATGTACACGAGTCGAAGGTGTAAAATGTGCAAACCGACCCCTTTTCAGGGTTTAGTGTCGCTTGATATATTATCTTGATCTTCAAGCGGGGGACAGAAGTAACAAACACAAGCGTAATATTACACGCAATATTACAAGAGTTCAATCCCCGTTTGATGATACTAGGTATGGATGAAAAGGTCCCCAGAACATATGTACTGAAGGGAGACCATAAGAAGCAGTTGTGAGATCTGTCACCTATATACAAAACCATCATCCAGCAACTAAAGTTTATGTCTCTTCTCACCAGACGCCAGCTTCCGGAACTCTTCTTGCGGGATTCCCTTCATAAAGCGCTCAAGACCCATATACGCCTCAAGCTCATTCTGGCGGTCCAGAATCTCCCTCTCGGGCCGTCTCACCAGCTCTTTAATCCCCAATAGACTAGTTTGGTTCAAGTGCAGACCAAGGCGATCATCAATTTCCTCAAGCACCTTCTTCAAGAATCCATCGGAGTCATCTTTCTTTCCAGACTCCGGCGTGATAACCTTGTTCACGAAACCAGTCGAAACTAGCTCCTCACAGGTAATCCGCTTACTCATGAGGAGCGCCTCATTCGCCTTGGAGATGCCGAGGCGCTCGACAAAGGCACGGCTAGCGCCGCCTTCAGCGACGAGACCGAGCGAGGAGAACGGGGTCAGGATGAATGTATGCGGGGTAGCGTAGATGAAGTCGGCATGGGCAATCAGTGCAGCTGAAAGTCCAACAGCTGGCCCGTTCAGGGCGGCGATGAGGATCTTGGAGTGGTTGTAGAAGGTGCGGGTGACGTCGAGGTTGTTCGTGACAAAGCCCCTGATTAGCTCGCGACGCGCGCTTGAGCCAAGATCACCGCCGCCAGAACGTGCGGTTGTTACGTCAGCTCCACTGAGAAGACATGGGTATTAGATATAGTAGATCTTGTCAAGGTTCCTGTTTGGGATATAGTTGGGGGTATTTAGGGCTGGGCTCCAGTTGGCCGTGGATGACATACGCAGAGAAAAAGCGACCTGTTCCGATCACAACTGTAACGAAGATATCTTCTCTTGAGTCAATCTCGCGTAAACGCTCACCCAGAAGGTAGTATAGGTCGACATTGAGCGCATTTAGCTTGTCAGGCCGGTTCAGTGTCACGATCGCTACACGATCCTGGTAGGTAAGGGTAATGATCTCTTCGTTCGACATTTTTACTGGATATTGAAGAAGAAGACCGTTCAATGGAATACAAAATTCACCTGGGATTGCAATGGTTTATTATGTAGTCGTCTCTATGCAGGATATCCGGGTATAAACTTTGCGGGGAGCCGAGGCCCGAATATACAGATTGGTGCCTGAGGCAAACGTAGAAGCGTCACGGATGTTTGTCTTGTTTGCTTGAATTCAAGTAATCATGCCCATCACTGGTCCACAGGTCATGGCACCACTCAGCGATTGAAGATCAACCTACACAGTGTCGCTGTTCTCTGTCTGGCTAGAATCAGGCGATATTACCAATTCAGCACACCCCAGCAATAACATCCAACTTCAATCAACACTATTAGGAATACCTGAAGCCAAGACACCCCGAGAAAAAAAAAAGACCACCGCATCAAACCCATACAATGTCGCAAATCTTCCGCAAGTTGCAGGGAGGCAACCTCGAAGTCTTCAAGGTGCGTAGCTGAAAACAAAATCTCTTAAGCGGGAAATATCAGCTCCGGCCTCTCATCGCATGTTCTTAGGACTAACGGAATTCATATAGTTCGGGATGTACGTCCTCTTCCCCATCGGCTGGATGTACTATTTCGGTACCAACCTCGACGACCGCTTCGCCACAAAGGGCTTCTGGCCCACCGCTGAGCAGTCACACAAGATTCCGCTGGACAAGGAGGAGATTGACCAGGAATTGACACGTATGCGCATGGTGGATGCCATGAAGCGGGAGCGGAGACAGGCGGCGGAGGCACAGGCTCAAGCACAGGCGCAGAGCCAAGTAGCACAGAGTGAGCAATAAGGCCCCAATCGGTGGGTACGAATGAGAGAAGCTAGTGGCGTGGTCTGGAATATGATATGCGCTCATTGTCCAAGTCCCCGGGGAAAGAAAGGGTCTTGCAAAAAGAGCGGCCGATGTTACCCTTCCCTCTCTTTTAGGGATTGATAATGACTGAAGGCAAAATTTGTATCGCGCCGAGGAGTTACACATGTGCTGATGATGGGTTTACTTGTACAACACTCTGCTCTGGGCATCGAGGGCGTTTTGGGGGTTTCATTTTATATGTTGTATTATTCAACATCATATTCACTTTTTCTACTATCTACCATTTCCATTTAATGTACATCATTTTGGAAAAGTCTGCAAATATCAACTTCAATCATGATCACGTTCCAATGATAAGACAAATTGTATCACTCGACCACAGAACACTGCCAGGAAAGGGGCACATCTATACACAGTGTGGTGCGAATGACCCAAGAAAAAGAATAGACAAGAATTAATAATAATGTAATCTGCCGCACTGCGACAATGCAAGTCATAGGGATGCGGCACGTTCCCAGAACACAAGAACTCCAAACAAGCGCCGGCCGACAGGAAGAGTGGACGCGAGGTTCCCTTGGATATAAAATCCCAAAGGTATTAAATGAATGGTTCCTCACTCCTGGCGCTAGAGAATGCAAATGCAACCATTATGCGTGTCTGGGTTTTATTCACAGCTCAGCCAGGCGCCCAGTCGAGGTGGCAGCGGCGTTCTTTGCCGTCTCGTACACCATATCTCCAATCTGTGTGGCCATGCCATTTTCGCCAAAGACAGAGCTGATTGATAACCGACCAGAGCTGAACAAGCGCTCACCGGCCCAATAGTAGTAGAAACGGCCATAGATGGCGCGGAGGTGGTCAGGGAGGTAGATGTAAGTGGCCATAGCGATCATGCCAATGAGGCCAAGGAGCAGGGTGTCTAAATAGGGAATTAAAGGTCAGCATGGCATACCAAGGGTATTTTGAACGGGAGAGAGGCGCAACGTACTGAAGATGAACTTCTCAATTGGAGTAAGCATGTAGAGAGAGAAAGTCACCTCATACTGGTAGACCTTCAATCGCATCCAGCGGAAAAGGCTAGCCACAGCCCAGATAATGAAGTCCATGGTTGCGGGGTATTCAGAGGATTGTAGGACGCTCCTGTCTTTTGTTGCTTCTTATGGCTTGTGATGCTGTTCGCCTGGACTTTTTTTTTCTTCCTTTCCACTTGAGAACCACTAATGACAGACTTGGCAATCAAATCCCAGAGACAGTTGTATCAGATACGGGCGCTATAGGTATTCCCGGCTGGAGCGTGATGTTGTGGAGGGAAAAGACGAGCGATGGTATTCCGAATCAACACTGCTCGGGAAGATGTTGATGTGAGGTAGGCGGATATCGCGGGGATGTAGGCGATTGGGCGATGTATGTTACAACTAGGAAGTGGGTATTGACAGGGAGGCGTTGAGGTGGATTGGCAATAGGGGGGTAAGGAGGAAAGGCGGATAAGAGTTCGTAAAGCTGGGAGAACTGCAAAACCTTCTCCTTTCCGTGTTTGCCGCAAGAGTTTGTACCCAGTACGCAGATTCCATACCGCTTCCCGCCTGATTCTTAGGTACCCAGTACTTTATGTTTCGAGTGTTCAAATATTATACATAGAAAAGTATTCATGTTGATTTTACCACCTCTAGATACGTCTGAAAGAACATACGAAGACACATCGGAATGTTCTTACATATAAGTTCCCAAATATACCTATACCTACCTTGTCAAGGATAGAGCCCCCATGAATGGTCGACTATTCTTATTTCATATAAATGTTTAAGGGATACATATATCAAATAGTCTACAACTTCCGTTGATCTAATACACTAAGTGGATAGTCTTAAAGTCAACCAGTAAATATCCCAAAGGAGGCAAAAAAACAGCCCACATGCACATACTTCACGCTTATCTTATCGCAAATGTCCGCGGCAATAACCTCAAACCTTCAACGAACCACAACGCAAACAAAAGCAATGCTCTCTCCCTTACGCTGGTGGATATCCTCCCGAACACTAGCGACCCCAGCCCGACTCTTCAGCCAAAGCCCCATTGTCCCCGCGAAACCTCTCCCCCCACGGCTCAAGATCAACGATGCCGACATATCAATATCCTACCTAAAAGGCACCGGGCCTGGCGGGCAGAAGATTGTACGTCTAAGGTCCCAATCGCATTCCTAGGCCATAGCTTTCGTCTCTTCCCTCTTCCTAAAGTCCACCTTCATTACCAACCAGCAAACCAAACTAATATACCCTAGAATAAAACCAACTCGGCCGTCCAAATCATCCACAGGCCCAGTGGGGTGGTAGTCAAATGCCAAGCGACGCGATCGCAGTCTCAAAACGCTAAGATTGCGCGATCCCTGCTTGCTGATAAAGTCGAGGCGCAGGAGAAGGGGGATAAGAGTCGAGTTGCAATTAAGGCCGCGGCCGCGAAGAAGAAGAAGGCTAGTAAGATGAAGAAGACGAGGAGAAAGTACCGGGAGCTTGGGGAGGGGGGCAAAGAAGGAGGAATTGATATGGAGGAAGAGGACGAGGTCGAGATCATATGGGATGATGATGTAAAGGAGGAGGGAGAAAGTACGGAGGCTACACCTACATTGAAGGGTGAAGCTGAGTCTAAATCCGAAGATGCGCCTAAATCCTCTGGGGAGTCCGCAAAGGGTGTATGATGTGAGCTTCATGCTGTTGGTATGTTTTATTGTGTATAGTAGGTCTACTGCATCGGTTTCTGAGCGTTTACTTTGAGAGAGATCCACATTATCATGGATATTCTTCTAATGGAAAATCAAACAAGCATTTATTTCATGGATCTAGTGTCTCATCGCAACATGCATATGGTGTAGTAGGGGAATTGGGAAGAGGATTGCATTACTCTGAAGGAGAAAGCAAACACACATAGGTTGAACTTTTTAGTTTCTTGGAGCGGAATGGGGTCATTGCAAAACCACTACTAAGAAATGTAACTTGCCAGCACGGTCTTTGACTGGTCGTCAAGACGCTCCTGGGCGAATTGCGAAATACGGCCGTTCTGCTTCTTGTCGGCTTCCTTCAAGTATGAGCCCACCCAAGCCTTGAGGTCGGCACCGGTCTCAGGCCACGGGTCCTTCTGTTGGAGACGGATGGTGTTCAGAGGGGTAAACCCAACACCGAAGGACATGTCTTCGATGTCTGCATCATTAATGAGATCATCCCTGCTTGCGGGCAGCGGCGGAAGCTCGAGGAGCTTGAGCAACGCGGTGCAAGTGAAGCCCCATCCCTTCTGACTGTAGCGAGTGGCAAAGGCCTCCGAGTTGGCAAGGGTCTTGGTGAAGGAGATGATAGCCGTCTTGCGATCCAAAGGCCGGGCAAGCTTCTGGGTTTCAGGTAGGATGATATTGACGTAGATGGGGGTGAAGAGTCTAGGCATGAATTAGCATACGAACGATTTACATAGAGCGATGATGCATACCCCTCTTGCACCTTGTCGGTGACCTGGATGACAAAGTCCGCGCTGTAGCCCTTGTTGTCCTGGGCCGAGATGAAGTGGAAGAAGCGGATAAAGCGAAGAGACAGGTTCTCTGTCTTGGAGTTCTGCAGACGTTGAAGAATGATCTGCATGATCATGACAAAGTAGTTCTCAAGGGCAGTCCTAGCGAAATGGAAGTCAGATAATAGCCATTTGAGCTTGGGGCATGTGATACGTACGGTGGGAAGCTAGCAACAACTGTCTCCAGGAGATCAAAGCCAAAGCTCTCATTGGCCTTGGTAGAAACTAGCTTTTGGAAGATACCAAGGATGGGCTCGATCTGATTGTGTTCAATGATGAACTGGGAACCACGGGGAATGATCGAGGAAAGTAGCCGGACCAAAGCAGGAATATTTCCCTTTGAGTCCCACATAACGGGCATCAGGATCGGGCCAATAAGCTCCTGGTAGTAGGTGGGAAGGGTGCCAGATGGGTTGGCCTCGAGTAGCGCCGCGAACAGCTGGAAAACATAGGGCATGAATTCTGAAATTTGTCAGTAAGGGGTGGTTGTGACGAAGATATCGACTGAATTTGATTTAACTCACCTTGCACATCATTCTGGAGGACACCTGCGAAGGGTGCATAAAGAGCCTGCTCCAGTTTTTCGGGATTGGCAGGAGCAGCAAATCTATCATGATGTTAGCTTCGAGCAGTTAGAAACAAGAAAGAATGTATAAACACACCGGATGAAGGCACCCATGGCTTCGAAGTGGAAGTAGTAGAATCGGGGGTTACTTGGGTTCGCGCTAATGATATTCGTAATCTCAATGAAGCGCTGGAGGACAACATCGGTGAAAGGCACCACGCCCTCCTTGATAACAACCAAAACCCGCATCACGCAACGCATCAAGAACTCATTCTCTTGCACTTTTTCAGGAGCCGGATCACTTTGAATCAGCTGGAAGATGTGTTCGAGAAGATCCTTAGCAAGCGGTGTGATTTCAGTGGGTGGGATGACTGGCTGTCCTTGGCTGTCGGTGAGGAAAAGTACTCGCTCCAAGGCAATAGCAGCGTAGGTGTAGACGACAAAGTTCGATGACGCCAAGTGCTTCACTAGCACAGGGAGAACCTGCTGCCACTGTTCCTTGGTGATGATACTACGGAATGTGTACAAATACTTGATAGCGTCGACCTTCAGAATAGGGTGAACGCCATCCTCGTTAATCAGATCCGCGGCGAGATTTTGCTGGAAGTAATCTGTGATACTGACCAACTGGTTGGTGGCAGTGACTCCGTGCGAGGAGGTTGCAGTGCCCTTAGCAGCGATAGCGGAGTAAAGGTACGTCGCTGTGTCCTTGGCCTTCCAGATGGATGGATCTTTGGCATACTCGGCCAGGTAGTGCTGGGTATACTTGAGGACAACCTGGGTCACTGGCTCTTCGAATTTCTCTGCCAGTTTTCGGAGGAAATCAGTAGCAGCCCGGCGTCTGGTCTCGCTATCAGACCCTTCCAAGTCCCGTCGAATGAACTCAATTGGCTCATCCTCGAAGAGTTCTTCGTCGGACTCGCGGAGGCTCACATTCGGCAAAATGACCTTTTCGACAATCTGGCCCAAGGTTTCCTCGGCTTGGAAGGCAGCGGCATGCTCGGGCATTCCTGCGACAGATGTCAAGAAGTGCAGTGCTCGGCTGACCAAAATATCATACTTGGTCTCCTGGCCAATGGTTGTGAGGAAGTTCCACGAGCTCCCAATGAACTGTCCAACGTGAGACTGGAACACATCCATGTACTTCTGAACGTAGAGAGTCAAAGCCTCGAAGATTCCAGCGCGAACATATTCTAATAGACCAGCCTCTGTCTCGTCATCGGTGTGGAGTAATTGGTTATCGTAGGTCAAGTATTTAAGGAAGATTGTGGCGATTCCGGAGATATTGTCTTCGAACATGGGAGGGAGATCGTGGGAGGAAAGGTCGTAAAAGAGTTTGACCATCAGGTTAAGCTGAGTGAAACCCTGAGTTAGGTTCTCCTTGTTGGTCTTGTTTTGCTCAAGATAGTTATCCAGTGCCTGTAGTGTGTTAGCATTCGGCCCACCGAAGCGAAAATGGGTAGAATTTTGAAGATACCTCAAACTGGGCGAGGAACGGAGTACCGAATTTGCCAAGAACGTGGTTGATCTCGGTGTAGAGCGCATCGGACTGGAATAGAGGTCTCCATCTCTTGAAAATTGAGTGTGCAACTTGCAAGACACCAATGTTGACTGTGGGGTTACCCGCCGACAACTTAGAAACGAGGTCCTGGAAAAAAAAAACAAAGCTTTAGAAAGAGCGTTACAACGTTTTACTGAGTCGCAACTTACATCAACCAGAGTATCCCACCGCTCCCAGAAGTCACTGTCGGCAATCACACTCACGGCCTCACCCAACTGGCTCTGAATCCCCGGCGGAACAGAGATCATCAAGGAGATGAGTTCCCGTTTGAGAGTAGTAACTTCATCCTGCTGCAGTTTGTAATTTCCATCTTCGTCCGTCCAGTTGCGCTTGATGAAGTTCTTGAAGCATAGAGCACTGGCAAGACGTGTGTTGTATGGTGTGGTCTCCGATGCGGTGATGTGAAGAAGCTGGAGCGAGAAACCAGGCTTCTGTTCTTCCTGACGAAGAGTAATCTCGGCTGAAAGAAAGAAAAAACCACATCAGCTAACACTATTTCCAGTGCTGGAGGGTTAACGCTTCTAACTCACCTGCTTTGTTTTGCCTGGGGTCCAAGCTTGCCTCTAACAGAGCTCCAAGACCCTCCGCCATCTTGTTACGTGGGGTATCAACACAAGTGAGGGGGATAAATGAGGGAAGAGAGAGAGAGAGAGAAAAGGTTGATGGGGACAGGTAGGAATTATGTATTGAAGATACTCAAAGGGGAGCAAGAGTGTTGACAGCCACAGAGGAAAAAAGGTGGAAGATCCAAAGCTCAAAGATAATAATGCGAGCGCTCAATAAATTGTAACAGCCCACATAAACACTGCCAGTACGCTAACCCAAATACGGTTAGTACGTCACATGCTTGAGCCTCTCCGTGCCTCAGGCATTACTTGAATGTTGAAGCCCGGTATACCGGAGGATTTATTAATCCTTCATGTTTTGTAATTAATATTATGTAATCGAGGCTTCATATAAATTGTAACCGGAAGCCGATACAGAAATACAGAGAGTTGAAACCCATTCATTGGACCCCCTATTTTACAATACCACTTGCTCCAACATTGAATAAGCGCTTTGCTTTGCCCAGGTGTACATATGGAAAAAGGGAAATCAATGTATGTATAATTGGAGAGTAGTATTATGTAGTAAGTATTTTTATTTAATTCTCTATATTCATATGCTTTTCGTGACAAATAAAAACTCCTATGGAACTATTTGGAACCATTAATGCTTAGACAACAATGTTGCTAACGCCGTTAACCAAGCCATCCATCTCCTTGGCCTGAGACAAAGCCTTGACCTTGTCGAAGCAGCCGGCTGCAGCAGAAAGGAATCCGAGGAATGGCTTGCTGGGTGCCAACACACGAGAGATGTACTCGGGGTGGAATTGAACACCCACGTACCAAGGGTGATCCTTCAACTCGACAATTTCCATGCGCTCACCCTTGTCATCCTTGCCGATGAAGTGAAGACCAGCATCCTGGAGCTGTTCAATGTACTCAGGGTTGACTTCATATCGGTGGCGGTGGCGTTCATCGATAGAAGTGCGGTCCAATCCATAGAGAGAGCGGAGTTTAGACCATTCGGAATCCTCCTGGAATAGAGTAGGGCGGGAGCCAAGACGCATAGTACCGCCAAGATTCACCTGATCGATCTCAGGCATGTAAACCACGATGGGATGGGAGGTAAGCTCGTCAAGTTCAACCGAATTGGCACCCTCGAGTCCACAGACGTTACGAGCGTATTCAATCACCGCAATTTGCATACCCAGGCAGATACCAAGGTAAGGCTTGGACTTAGTACGGGCATGGTGAGCAGCGAGCATCATACCAGCGGTGCCTCTGGTACCGAAGCCTCCTGGTACCAGGATTCCATGGGCAGTGTGGACATCGTACCAGGCCTTGTGGTACTCCTTAGAATTGGTCTCCTGCCACTCAGTTTCAAGGTGAGAGGCATCGACCCAAATGATGTTGAGCTTTCGGCGGGAAGCCATAGCCGCGTGCTCCAGCGACTTGATGACTGACAAATAAGAGTCGTGGAGACTGACATACTTGCCAACCAGAGCAATGTTGACGGTTTCAAACGTGTGCTCCTGCGCAGTGGTAAGGGTCTTCCACTGTTTCCAAGTGGACTGACCCTTGAGCAGCCGAGTCTGAGAGATTTCGAGCTTATTCATTTTGAGAAGATCACCAAGAACACCGAGGAAACCTTGTTCCTCGAGAAGCAGAGGGACATGGTAGGTGGAGCTGACGTTGTGCACGCCAATCACCTGCTCTGGCTCAACCTGGCAGAACATGGCAATCTTATCGGTGGTGGCCTTGTCAAGAGGTCTCTCACAACGGCATGCAATAAGATCCGGGCTCATACCAGCTGAGCGAGCATCCCGGATAGCCTGCTGGGTAGGCTTGGTCTTCAATTCATCGTGGATGACAGGAACCAGGGAGACGTGCTAGAAAAAAAAGTTAAAATTGTGCACAATTAAATGACCTGGTGATTGAACATACGATCTGGACGAAGTTGTCTTTGCCAGCCCGACGACGCAGCTGACGCAGAGCCTCAACGAAAGGAGCACTTTCAATGTCACCAAGTGTGCCACCAAGCTCGATAACACAAACATCCGGTTCCTCGTTAGTGTCGTCGGCGGGGGTTCTGGCCACACGCTCGATCCAATCCTGGATGGCGTCTGTCAAGTGCGGCACAATTTGCACCGTGCGCCCAAGGTAGTCGCCGCGGCGCTCCTTCTCAATCACATGCTTGTAAACCTTTCCGGTTGTGATGTTGTTATCCCTTCCCAGGGTAACTCCAAGGTAGCTAAATCATACCAAATCAATTAGTCTCAGGGATTCGAATTCCAAAAAAATCCATGGAGAGAAAAACTTACCGCTCGTAGTTTCCGAGGTCAAGATCTGCTTCGCCACCGTCATTCAACACGAACACCTCTCCGTGCCTAAGAAATCACAATCAGGAACAGCATTCAGAAATGGCTGGTCAACCACATACTCGGTAGGGGCCATGGTTCCGGCATCGACGTTCATATAAGGGTCGATTTTGATACAGGTGACTCGGGCACCCTGAGTCTTCAGCAGCAATCCGGTACTTGAGGCTGGAGAAAACGTTAGACCCAGCGGACTTTTTTTTCTAGTTCGATTTAGAGGGATGTACCAATTACGCCCTTCCCGATGCCACTGATAACACCTGTCATACATGGGTCAGCTACTGGTTATTCATGGGAGATCGACTCAGAATAAATACCTCCAGAAACCACGACGTACTTCATCCTGGCAATGATGGGGACAAATAACCCAACTGAAAAAAGATATGTGAAATTTGAAATTGAGTATTAAAAAAAAAGAATGACCAGTATAACCAAAGACCCTCGAAAAGAAAAGAAATGTAGGGTGCCGTTCCTGGCTTCTGCCAAGGGGGAAGAAAGAATGAAATAATTTTTGAAGCCGTAAAAAAAGCGCGTTTCTGTGGTCACCGCCCCCCCACTTTGATTGACTTTTCTGCCTTCCCGATAACTGTGAGTCATGTGATTTGAATGATATCAAAAGGGTAGAGAGAGAGCATATATGCGATATCGTGTGCTAAGTAGTATACAACATGTTTAAAGCCTATATCCTAGTAGCCCAGGAGTACTGTATGTGAATATGCAAACTTCTCACATACATACCCTAGTAAATGTGCATAGTAACAAGTCTGAACTTAACTTCACCGCTTACCGTCCTTTCTGCCATGCATGCCGGGCGGTGTCTGACATCAGTACTAAGTACATCAGGTGATTGGGCTGGAATATCTTCATCTCCGGTGCGTGATCGATAACCCCCCTCAGTCCACATCATATCACTAGCTTGTTGTGTCATCGATCTGGTGGGGTACTGATCCCATTGATATTCATCATCTGACCTTGTGATTCCGGTCCAATTCACTGTCCACTGACGATCAGGGTTGTTTCGCGCTCCGATATTGATCACCAAATACGCACTGTTGCAGCTTGCCAAACATCATTTCAGTCCCTGCATGTTCATCTTCTTGCCATAAGAGCTGCCTATGCAGTAAGGGTTTTTTTATTTGTCACTTCTAAAGGGTAAGAATCCCCTATATGTTCTTCGATATTACCTGTCATGGATGATGCAATACCTGTACTAACTTGGTTGTCAAATAGTTTAGACACTACATCTTCCTGACAATACTCTCTTTCTGCCACTAGGCGAATGTCTCCCGAGGATGTTCCACCACATTCCCAGCACAAACCCTCCTCAACTAGCTTTGCAGATGTCTTCAAAACTTTAGGTGTTGGTCGACCCAAATCGCAATCCCCAGTGTCTTTACAAGAAAGCAGCAGCGACTCGATATCTCACACGGATAGTCGCGGAACAAATCGACTTGGATACGGATTTGAATCAATGCATCGTGCTAGTGTCGTGTCGAGTTCCTCGGACACTCCCAGTGGCCTGGATTTCGAGACATCTCTCCACAATCTATCGCAAAGGCAAAATTTAGCCCAGGCGATTGAGGAGGCGGAGAGTTTATCGAAAGCTCTCTCATGGTTCAGCTCCGAGCAGTCCATGGTGCTATGGGAGGCGGCTGAGTATCTCTTGCGTCATGAAAACTCGTTGGATGCGCAGAAAAGTGGTGCCAGATTGTTAGAAGTGATCGCAGCCCGTCAGGATCTATCCCCGTCAGCTCGCCGCATGGTTTTTGAATCGATAACTTCTTCAGCCAAGCCGGATGTGATCGCGGCGCGTGTGCAATCGTTGATCTCCCTATCCGATCATGGCAGGAAATTGGATTTCGCGGGTTCCTCAATTCTCCATATCATCTCTTCGTGGATTGTTCCATTCTATGAGACAATTGCATCTGCACGATCAAAGGCGAAAAAGGGGAAAGTGGTTAAACCACACGGACCTAGTCATGATGAAGCAGTGTTTGGAGATCTCTTCCAATTCGCGGTCGACCTGATCACTTTGCAGCGAAAACAGCCAACTCCGGAGGAAATTGAAATGCTTCTGACTGAAATCTTTACCACTTGCAAGAGAACCAGTGTCGCGGCGGATATCAAGAACTCCTTGGCCGTGTTCGACGCCGTCATTATGTATGCCGATGTGCCTGATACAAGCTTCCCAACTCTCCTGGAAGTTCTTTGCAGCATCCATGCATCAGTCAAGCCCCTCTCTGGGCCCACATCGCGCGCAGTGCGCAGTCTAGCCAAATCACGAAGACAGGCGGAGATGGTAAACACACTTCATGACTTCTTGAGAGATTCGTGTGCCATCGAAGGAAGTCGGAACTTGAATATACTCCGTGGTACACTTTATGTGTTCTCGGATTTTGTTCGTGCTTATGGCCAAGATGGCATGCCCCAGCTTCCTTTTGATCAACTGATGGAATCATTGCAATTCATCGCCCAAAAAGACGATGGCAGAGTTGATGCGGACTTGTTGGACCTGTGTCTGAACATTCTAGAAGGAGACTATGTTCGAGTCGCATTAGAACGGGATTGGATGGCATTTGCCAATCTTCTCATACTCTGTTCTCGCAGGCTCGTGGACGAGTCGGCACCATCCCCCACTTCTGCTACTAGCCCTCAGCTCAAGCCTACATACGATGAAACCAAATCATACATTCTAGCAAATCTTATTCGCCTTGCTTCTGTGCTCGAATCTGAGTGGGGACAACTCAACAGAGAGCAAAAACGATATGCAGTCCGATTCCTCATGAGGATACACCAGCACATTGAGCCTCCACAGGCTGAACTCATCATTCATTCGATGAGAGAAGACAAACTTTGCCATCCTTCCGACAACTCAAATTGGGCTCAGCATTGCCGTGAGCTGGTCGAGTGTTTCGTGCAACCACGAAAGCAAAGCTCGGATATCCGCATCCTGGCTTTGGATACATTAAAAGAAGCTCTTTCTGGCCATGAAGATTTGCTTTTCTCCCAGGAGCACGGTCTTTTCGAGCTCCTATTGAAGGATTTCTCGGCAGAACACGATCTTCTCTTCTTGGAATCACTGGTCTCTTTGTTAACAGACCAGGCAATACAATACAGTGATGATGATACCTTCAAGCTGCTGATAAGTACCATCGGAGCGCCGATACAGACGGAGCTCAATCGAGACGAACCACATGAGCATCCTCCGAGCCATGGATCTCAACGCCGTACATCCACCATAAGTGTCTTGGAGTTGAGCTTGACAAACGTCTGCGCTGTGGGCCTTGTGAAGATGATGCTGCGTGCCTTGAACTTCTCCTCAACAAAAGCTGTGATGGTTTTTGAGGCACTTCTAGACATTGCTCAATCTCCAAGTCGACCAATAGACTCTCGTCTGACAGTCTTGAAGTTACTTTTCAGACTGCGATGTGACTCGGCTGGGTCAGTTACAGTCATATCAACATCGGAGAGTGACTTCTTGATGAATGTGCTGGGTCGCAATCTCGACGTTGGCTCTAAACTACAAGCCCCCAGTGATAGCCCCACTCGTGAGACTCCTCAGCATGACAACTCCCCAGTCTCACCAACCGGAAAACTTCCAGTGAGGGACTCTGCGTCGACCCCTATGTCGAGGTCGGCCCCGGGGCGTGGGTCTATCTCTGCCCGTGGATCAAAACTGACTGCCCCAGTGTGGACATATGCTCTGCCACAAGTGCTTCCGGAGCAACCACCCGGGGAATCTAGCCCTGTCGTCTTTGCTTACGCCCACCCGGATGCATTTACCCCCACCGAATCAACAACAACAACAGAAATAAAAACCACGGGCGTCTTGAAGGTCAAAATGTGGCTCGAAGTTGTGATCACCTTGTTGCAACGGGAAGCAGACTGGGATGTTTACAGCTATATTCTTACTCATATCGGGCCTCAGCTTAGCAACAAAGACTTTTTCAGAGATGCTATCCCTCAGATCACACTCCTTCGCAGTATTCTGTGTGATCAAGTCAAGAATGGAACTTTCCACGAGCCTCCTGAGACTACCGGATTGAAAAAGAGCGATGTGGCTGCCTGTATATTTGATGCGCTTTGCATGCTTGTCAGCTATCACGAACACTTTGCCAAGAGCGAAGAGGATGATCTTGTCCGAGCTTTCATGCAGGGTATCATCGGATCATGGGGCGGCACATCCCGTGGGTGCATTCAAGCACTATCACTCTGTTGCTATGAAATTCCAATGTCAGTCACGAAATCTTTGAACAGCATTCTAGATAGGATGTCAAAGGTGATCACCATGTCAAATATTGCTGTCCATATCCTGGAGTTCCTGGCTCTGCTTGCACGATTACCCGATGTTTACGTCAACTTGCGTGAGGAGGAGATTCGCACTGTGTTTGGCATTTGCATTCGATTTTTACAAACCTCAAGAGAGCATCGATACAAAGCCTCTGAATTGGCTGCGAGAGCGTCTATCTCAGCCCAATCTCCTCAGTCTAAGCTCAGTGCCGGGGCAAAAGAAATCTCTGTCCATGCAGCTGAAGCCATCGAAGCCTCCCAAGATAGAATGTCCAAGTATATCTCGAATCTCACCTATCATGTTATGGTATTCTGGTTCTTGTCTCTGAAGCTCCAGGATCGGCCCAAACATGTGAATTGGATCACCAGCAGGCTCATATATCACGACGACCATGGAAAAGAGGTGGTAGAAGAGCAAAGTCAAGTATTTATTGATTTGATGCAGCGAGTTGCTTATTCGGATCTCGGCGAGACCATCCCTTTCGAAAGCTTTCCCCCTTCCCCTGAGGATGGCCCAGTTGCAAGGAAGTCCTGGATTGTCGGCATGAGTATCGTCACCGTCGAGAGCGCCGGAGTATCTGGACTGTCTCAGATTACGAAGCGTCAGGCATCGGGTACCACATACTCTGTCTATCAACAGCGCACGGCCCCAGTTCTGCCGCATCAAATCCCTCCAACTCCAGATGCTCATTTACATTCTGACTCGACGCGAACAGCAGTCCTTCCGAGTCATATCATGCTTCAATTGACCGCCACTGCCTTCCCTACACCAACGGTCATGCAGCCCATCCCGGTTCCGGAAGACGACATCACTCGACGTGCGATTAGCAACTTTGATCGCACCGATATTGTGGATGGTCACCGTATCGGCGTTGTGTATGTTGACAATGGCCAGACAAAGGAGGCGGATATCTTAGCCAACACCGGTGGTTCTCCGGACTATGAAAACCTGCTGTCAGGATTGGGAACCAAGGTGTCACTTCGGAACCCTCAATTCAATCCGCAAGGATTGTATGCTGATACCGACGGAGAGCACACCTACGCTTGGCGGGATCGTGTGACTGAAATTGTGTATCATGTTGCAACGATGATGCCTACGGACTTTGACCGTGACCCGGCTTGTATCAACAAGAAACGAAACCTTGGTAATAACCATGTTACCATCGTGTTCAACCGATCGAACTTGCCCTTTAACTTTGACACAATTCCATCCGAGTTCAACTCCATCAATATTGTCATCACCCCGTCATCTCGGATTTCCTACGACGAAAGTGGTAATGCCAATGGCGAGACAGACCCGCAAAAGCTCTACTACAGCGTACAGGTTATGAGCAAGCCCGGATTTCCAGATGTCTCACCTGCTGCGGCACCAAAGACGATCTCCGGCAAGAATTTGGCGGCCTTTGTCCGCATTCTTGCCCTGAATGCGTCCGTCTTCTCGCTTGTCTGGAATAAAAAGGGAGGTGAACACACTTCGTCCTGGACTACCCGTCTCCGGGAGATCAAAAAGGTCCGCGAGCGGGCTCTCACAGCCCAGAGCCAAGGATCTGAGACCCCCGAAGGGTCTTATCCAGGTCTACGGCGGAATACGAAAGCCAACATCTTCTCAGAGGAACTACCCTCTCGTGTACCTCAAGTACAGACCGATTTCGCTGCTGAATGGAATGCAGCAGCAGACACGAACATTGTCCAGAATTTAGATTTCTCACGCTGGGCCCGCTGATCCGTCTTTCTTGCCGAGAGTCTTAACGATGACCATCTTGGACGGGATGGCCTCCGTATTTCTTTTTTTTTTTTTGACTGCCCGTATCTACAAAACACCCATCCTCTCCTCTCACTCACACCCCTTTATTATCTCCCTATCTTACACTACCTCTTTGGAGAGAAATTACCAACTTCTTTCCCCTCTCGATGACCAATGACCCCCAGAAACGACTTCATGTACATCAACTTGTGTTTTTTTTTTCGAGATGCAAGACAATTGTCGCATTTGTGAATACCCCCTTCCTGCCCCAAAAGTTTTTTTTTTTTTTTTTTTCAAATGTTGTGTTGCCTATCAGCGAGTGTCGTGATTAGGATTAAGACTAAGATTTTATTTAGTGAAATAAATCAGTGTTTTATACTGGACTTCACGTGATGATGCCTTCGTTTTTACATATTTTAACCCATATAGCTTGGATATCAGGCCTTGTTTCAACCCAGCCCATCAACTATAACGTCAGAGTAGACCCAAGAATCTTCCTTGCTCAAACTCCTAAATCAAAGTTTACATCTAATTGAGCGCGTTTACATTTGTTATCGACCTTTCCACATGCTACGCTGGAACCGGTTAACACTATCAAGGCCAAGAAATCGTTACCCCACGGATGACGTTTAAGAGACCAACATTAGGAACTCTTCAGGAAATGTCCAGTAGTTAGCCCATACTATCCCGATTCTCAGTGGGCAATGCGAGACTTCCATAGTATCTACTTTGTAGTGCCGAACCACCTTTCCAAATTCTAGCTATTATTGGATACGTAACTGTCGTCATCCCGAGAGCTTTGCAACGCCATTGAGGACTTGGCGATGATATCCACTCATACCCGGTTGGGTTTCAACATAATAGTGAATAGTGAATAACATAGCTACAGCCTACTAGCGCATATTTTTCATTGGTCGGTTGCGGAACAAATGGTGTTTCTATATAATGTAGCGGTCAAATATGAAAGAAAGTGGCTCTGCGATGTCTGTGATCAATCCAGCTGACTCTGTACACTCTCAAGGTACCAGTCTCTGCGTGCAGGCCTATTTGCACTTTCCGAATGGCTCGTCGGCCAGTTGCTGTTGTAAAATGGTTAGCATCTTCCTCTAGCTTTCACAAAATGTTGTTTCCGGGGCCATACCACGCAGAGCTTAGATTCACAGTTACCCAAGCTTCCATCCTGCTTGCACTTTCCACCGGAGGGGATCTATTGTGGAATTAGATGAGTTGAACGGGATATGATAGGTATGAAAGGGTTCGTACGGCAGCCACGGAAAGGCCAATGAAGGCGAGAGTAGTGAGGATGCTGAAACGCATGATTGTCGAGGATCTGAAAACGAAATGGGGATTTTGGTAGAGTTGGAGGGGACTTCTTTGTTGTGATGGATCAATCCGAGGGCATGAAGGCCTACTTATACCTATTTTTCGGAAATTGTCTATACCCGAGATCTTCTGGCACATTTCTTTGTGTGGTATAGAACATGCTCATCACGATTAATCATCCCGAATAATTATAGACGGTCAATTTGGAGATTTTATGGGGCTGCAGAAACTGATGACGATCAAGAACAGGGTTGATTGACCACGTAAATCCTTGCTGCTCGTCTCGACTTGTCAACATTTTTGTTGCAGTGAGAACGAATCACCAAGTACAGAGTAGACCAAGTTCATGTTCTTTAATTTAATTGATTAACTTGGTACTGACAACTTTAAGACATTCTTAATAATGTGTTGTGATCCTGAGTAGAGTCTACTTTATAGGGCGTAATATATATACATTGCTGTTATGATCTTTTGGCCTCACCCGGCGTCCGCGGGCGCCGGACAGTTAATTGCTCTCGTGTAAGGGCTCCACATGGGCAGAGCTGTAAGTTTACCTTTGGATTGCACTGTCGGAATTTTTATTTGGTTGTAGTTTCCTCAGATAGTTCATCTATCCTCAATGTACCTGAAATCCTTAGATCCTGCTATTTAGTAGTTCTCGATGTATCTCCTCTGAGTGCCCTAGCTACACACACATCATGAATAGGCTACCCCTGCTGTACTGAAGTAACAGTTTCAAATGTACATTATATGCACGTTGCCTCACAGTTTCTAGAGCCGGAAAAAACATTCGGCATAGCTAATAATAGGCCACTATACACTATATCCAATGTATGGGCTATATAGGGCTGTACATGCCCATGCCAAGACACACGGAGCCATCCGAAGCGAACCGCCAGGGGCTTAGCACAGTTATATACGTATAAAACAATAGAATAGGATAAAAATAGTTCAATCATAGTTCAAACATAGAAATAAAGAAGACCTCAGATTATAGTTGTCCAACCAAAGTGTCTTCAGCAGCAGAGCCCCCTTAGAGCCCCGTAAATGAAGTGGGACCATAAGCTTCTTATGGAACATTAAGCTCGAAAGGTTTCATCTTCAATGTAACATAGCAATATATAGGAATATATGAATTATTTAGAGGCTTGTACTCCAATATATAGTGTTCCCTTGGCTCGAAAGTACAGAATAGCAACCACATTTTTACTCGTATCCCATGCATGCTCCTTCGCTATCCTACATCTCTCGCTGGCTACCAGAATGTCATCAGAGCCATTATTTAAGGAGCAGCCGACACCTCTTCCAGTAGTATGTGGCTCTTATAATTTCTACGAGAATAATGCTAATCGCTTCAAACCCTACTTCAGTGTGATTCGTGCTTCTCTCGAAAGGTGTGTGTCGATTGAGCTTTATTACGATACCGTATGCCCAGTTTCACTGACTAAAAGTAGGTCCGTTGCGATAGAGGCAACCCTTGCGGCAACTGTCAGGATAGCAATGCCATATGTTCTCGTCAGCGAGTCATAAGACGAGCCAAAAATACCACTCAACTGGCAGTGGTGGAAAATCTAGGTCAAACACGTCAAAGGCCACCCCAAGCAACCCAAGCAACCCAAGCAACCCCAAGGTCTCATAATCGGCAAAATCCAACATCGGGACTGCACGATTATTCTGCAACCATGTCCAATATATATCACAGGCTGGACTATCCTCAACTGTCCCGTGGGGCATCTCCGGGTAATCAGCCCCTCTCACTCCATGATGCCCATGCCACCATTCAATCCCACCTAGAACATATGAAATGGCTCCCCAAAAATCGCCGCCAGATTTTGGAATCGGGTTTGAGGCTGGCTTCTCAACTTTCAGAGAGTTCTGAGGACCCTAGGGACGTTGACAGTGATAGTACTGTGAATGAAGAGCCGACAAGAAGCCCTTCTGCTGAATTACTAAGCTGGATGTTGAAAGGTAGGTACCCCTCATCTCCTGAGGCCTTATTACTGGCGGTGCTCAAGCGAGGAGAATGGCTAATTTCGCTATCTTCCAATAGAGATCAAGGAGGCGAGCTTTGGCTCGTTTGTTAGGGATTACTTCAGGCACATATCTGAAGCAACACTCGAGCAAATGGGACTCGCTCTGCTTCGTAGGACGGGATCAGCTCACGACATTCTCATCAACACTGTTTGTGTCAATACCATGGCATCCAAATTCTTGACTGCCACCACCAACACTGGAATTGACAGTGAGCTGATCCATGAATTGACAAATAGCGTGGTGCAATTCCAGGCGGCAGCAAAAACAGCCCTTCGGAGTATCTCTCTCTTGACGAGTCCTTCGCTCGGACTCTTACAAGCGCTTCTCTCTGGTGTAAGTATTCCCAATGCTGAAAATAATATATTGAATCTAATGAAAACCAGATATTCCTCCATCAAGGATCTGGAGATATCACTATATGCTGGGAGCTTACCAAAGCTGCCTGCAGGGTGTGTATAAGTCTTGGTCTTGACAATATCCTGAAGACAGGAGGCGCTGTGAGTGAAGAGCAGTATTACTGTGTCGCCTGGTGCTATATGCTGGACAATAATTTTGCTTTCAAGATGGGAAGATTGAAAATCTTACTTGATATTGAGATTGGACACTTCACTTCCAACATATCCAGCCATCAGCACCCCACGTCAGACCTCTTTCAAATTTACATGGGTCTTGCTAGTGTGCAGGCTGCTGTCGTGCCATACATTAGGGGACACTCATTTGGGGGTGGTTTATCATCTTCCCATGGAATCGGGAAATATTGGTTGGTTAATATGCAACAAATCCAAGACAAGATTGAGCACGTGAGAAAACTACAGAGGCAGATTTTTCATTGCATCACTGACTTATTACTTAGATCTCGCGTCCATATCCGGCATGGAGAGGACTAGATGCTCAGTCTGAAATATCCGCTCTTCAATTCGCTTATCGTTCGATTATGGCCACCATATTCCACATCACTGAGGGTGCAGGAAACCAGTCCGTTGATATACGGAAACAGAGTTTGTTGACAGCCCACCAGGGCATATCTTCACTAGTGTCGATATGTTTATCTGCTGAAAGGCAAAGCACGGCGGCCTTGTTACACTGGTAAGCCATAGCCTGCACATGAAAATTTGAATGAGATCTGACTAGATCTCCAGGTCACTTCTCGTCTACCCTACCACCGCATATTTCGTGTTATTCTGCAATGTCATCGCAACATCAAATACTGATGACTTCAAACTCATGAGGACGATTACTGATTGTTTGGCCCGTATTGAAACAACAAGCCGTCCAATTATTCAAGTACGAACCATCTTCCGCCACTTTTTATCTCTCACTGGGGGAGTTTTCAACAACGAGGAAAATGCAACTCAAGATCCTCAAGTACAGCCAGTACAGTCTCAGTCAAGTGCATTGCAACCTTGGGTATCTGACAACCTATTTTTATCTTCGACGGCTGATATTGTTCCTCATTTTTCCCCGTCTTTGCTGGTTGGAATGGAGGATTTCTCTCAGATGCCCGTTTTCTTCGAGAATGAGATGTTCATGCCCTTTAACAATGATTTCCCTGATCTCGGAAATGACCCGAACAACTGATTCACTTTTCTACCATCTCAAACTATCTCGCGCGTGGATTTTTGAACATAATGTATAATATATCGATCTAGGAGTTGGTATATTGGAATCAAATGCTCGTTTTGATGTTGGCTGTTCAACTTAATATAGGCATCCCCCTTATGAGTGGGTATGATCCAGATGTTAAACTTTGTGGTTCAAGTTGTACCCACAAAGCGAAATTTCAGGATGCAATATCTACATGGCCGAACCAATGAAGCCTATGACCCTGAACGTTGGTAAAGAAGTGAAAATTTTAGCAATGACGCAGTCAAATTATTCGGGATCCTGACTTATTGGTGAAATTGGAGAGAAAATAGGTAGCCAAGTTTCATCAGGCATTCGTGCCGACTATAAATAACCGGTACCAAAGAACGTGTCTCAATTCGTGGGGATCTAAATATTAGATCTGACTTTTCAGATGATAGATCAATGCAGGAATATATAGCTATAATATTAAAATACCTTCAATTCCCACTCCCTTCTATTCGGCTATCTATCATACTGTCTTTTCTGGGAACTGCCTGTCACTACTCTTGATCGCCAACCTCAACTCTTTGGTTTGTTCGTTCTCTTCGTCTCGTATTTTACAAAATTTCCATTATTATATCGATTCGATATCTCAAATGCTGTGCTACTTGAAGTATGCCGCTGTTGGCTTGGCCACTGCGACTCTAGTCTCAGCCCAGACGTTCAGCGACTGCAATCCAATGAAAGGCATCTCACACTCAAGAATCCAAAACATGGCACCTTCTGACATGTTATAGAAACTTGCCCTCCCAATCCTGGCACAACCGAGTCGAGACATACTTTCGACTTCACTAAGAGCTCGGGACTAGATCAGTGGACCACTACTGCCGGCAAGGTCACGACTGGCTCAAACGGCGCCGAGTTTACTGTCGCCAAGCAAGGTGATGCTCCCACCATTCAGACCAACTTCTATATCTTTTTCGGCGAATTATCGGTCACCATGAAAGCGGCCCCAGGCACTGGCATCGTCAGCAGTATTGTGCTTCAGTCGGATGATCTCGACGAGATTGACTGGGTAAATTACTACATACTCATTCTCTCCTAAATTTCGTATAACTAACCTTGATTTCTATATCAGGAAGCCGTTGGAGGCGACGCGACCGAAGTCCAGACAAACTACTTCGGAAAAGGAGATACCACTACATACGATCGCGCGACCTGGGAGCCTGTTTCGACACCACAAGATGTATTCCACACCTACAAGGTAGTCTGGACTAAGGAGGCTACCACCTGGTCTGTGGATGGAAAGGTCATCCGCACGCTATCTTTCGATGAGGCGCAAACCGGCACCAGATATCCCCAGACCCCCATGAACGTGCGCATCGGCGTTTGGGCCGGCGGCGACCCAAGCAATGAAGAGGGTACGATCCAATGGGCTGGCGGCGAGACCGACTACAGCAAAGCCCCCTTCACCATGTATATCAAGGAAGTCACCATCGTCAACTACAACCCTGCTGAGTCTTACACCTGGTCTGACCAGAGCGGTTCCCATGAGAGCATCAAGTTCACTGGTTCTACTAACTCGACTTCTTCGGCTCCCACCAAGCCTTCGGTTGTCGGGTAAGTTTTCACTTCCTTTTCATTTGTTGTCGCTATCATATCTAACATTCCTGAATCTAATAGAAGCCTTATCACACCTACTAGCACAGCCAGACCTTTAAGCTCTGGCTCGGTTTCTCACCCCAGTGCACCCACCTCTTCTCCGGTTTTCAACGCAGCTTCAAACTTGAGCGCTGGTAGCTTCGGTTTCTTGTCCGTCCTTGCGATTGTCTCAGGGTTTCTTTTCTTGTAGATGACGTATAGTTACCTGATGTTGGATCGTATTATATACCGTCTAACGATGTTATCAATACGTTGATATATGGTCTTCCTTCTTTTCCACAACCCGTTCACATTTCGCGTTCTTTTCTCTCATTCTCGATTATATATTTATCAAAACGAGTGTATCCCGTTTAGGAAGGTGCGCGGAGTTACCTCACGTAATTTCGTCCTTTCCTCCCTGCGGTCTCGCGCTCTTTCCACTTTTCTCTCTTTCTCTTTTTATCTTTTCTTCTTTCCTTATTCACTTCTTCACTTCTTTATTTTCTTCCTCTTCATCCTCCTTTCTTCTTCTTCTTCTTCATAGCCTTTCATACAGAAAGTTCCCATCTTCCAAGTCTGCCATTCCAGCGGATTTTACCAAGAATGTTAGCAGAGAGTCCCACATACGTCTATTCGAGACATTCCAGAACTGTATGAAGTATGACTTTATGCTGACCTAGATATAGCCAATGCCAGATTCTTGGCACAACAACGGCTAAAACATGAATCGCCAAACCAACAGTTGTGCTAGAGGAAACCGATGTGAAGATGATTAGAATGGACGGCCCCGTTATGGGTGGCCCCTGTGGCTTTTGAAAGATGTCTCATTTGCGGCTTCTGTATAAGGGTTGCAAAAGAACTAGTCCCATTTTTTCAGGGGTATAGTCACCGAAGAAGAAATGCATCGATAAGTGCATAAAGAGTCAGCTCAGTCATACCCCTCCTGGGGACAGCAATTGTCTCAGCAGCCTATCACCAATGAGGGTTTTGCTTTGGCCAAAAGCCACGGACACCAACTCTCACTATCAGCTTCTACTTCGTCTTTCATCTTTCCTGGTTTTATTCGTCTAGAATACCCACTACCGACCATATTCCCCAGGGCTTCAAGCTCTAGCACGACTAGTGGTGTACACCAAACACCTCCCCAACATTTCATCCCCAAAATTCCCATACTTCGCTCACGGCCTCGTGGGTTGTATGTATCGTGGGCAAACCTGTCACTATCATTTGAAATTACATTAACATGATCTTGAAGCCCAGGCCTCTTGATTCCCCAGTATGTATCCGTCCGAGATGAAGGGTCGGTTATGAATGATATATTCCTTGCGACTATCGATAGAGACGCCCAGGGATTCGATGTTATTCTAGATCTTCTTATTTCTGAGATGTCAAACTTTGCGAAACACACGAGTTGTGACTACAAGTGAGACCATAAATCCTCGAATACATTTGACCTTGCCAGTTCCCAGCTCTCATTTTTCCGGCTTCGGTATTTATAATGACTCCTTGCATCTCTTTTCACTTTCACTTTGGCTGGGAGTGGACAATGAGCTTACATCAAATTCTGAAGTAATAGAAGAGTCAAGATGAGGATCGATGATCGACCGATAGCCCTACACTACTCGGTGAACTCTTAAGATCGGGGGCTCTATGGCCTTTCTCGCTACCATCCATGCTACCATCCATGCTACCACCCATGTATGAGCTCCCTTGAAACTCGGACTCACGCCATCTCTCTGGCTGATACAATGCTAGCAGTTGGGACAAGGATACCTGAAATTTCAGCAGGTCCATAGACAAATTTCAACAAGTGCTACCTTTCGAAGCTGCCGTCAAGAGCGAGCTACAACAGCTGGGCTCATTCAGACACTCACTTAAAAGATGAGATATTTCACATCTACCAAGGCATAGACAGATATCTAGCCCTAAAGGATGGGCCTTCTCTTTCCGCCGAGTACCTCCAAGTTAAGCCGCGTGCACTGCGCTCATGCTTGGAGACATCCGCGCTCTCTACCGTCACCTCTGCGATGACTAGGTCAACACAGCCCTAGGGATTCCACTACAAAACTATCCACCAAAGCGTATGATCAAACCACTGCTCGGACCTTGTCTTCACTAACATGAATCGTACTAAGAGTGCTGCACACTAAGTTCAAGAAACGTGGATGGAAATGCACACGATGCTTGCGAATGTCGCAGTCCAAGGACATAGACTACCTATGCGGTTTGTAGGCCATCCTCGTGTCTACGGGCTGCCTTCAACAAAAAGACCCCGAAGTCATGGAGTTCTCGGATGGAACAGATGATGAGGACTTTTTTTTTTGAAACGTGATCATTTTGTTGTTCTTTGTTTCAACCACCTACCCCAGAACCAGCCGGGATGGTGGATTCGCTCATCCTTTTCCTCATGCAGGCCGTCATTCCCTGATGGTCATGTTAGCGCCCACATACAGAGTGTCCCAGAACAACCAGGCTGCGTTTGGGCTTGTTTGATTTGATTTTTTGGGTGCTTTTGCTTTAGGTTTCATCCACTGTGTCCTCTGATGTGGTGTGCAGGAGGCTCGGGTGCAGGGTAGATCCGCTCCGGCGGACTATTCCGGCAGAAAACCGGGGTATATTACCCCGGGTCCGTAGCTGCAGATAATATCATTAACCTTCTTTGATTCCACAATCCAGTGCTAGCTTAAGTTTAGTCTAGCTGATCTTAGTCGGGCTTGACCTCGTGTTGGTCGGCCTTATTGACCCTGACCTTGCTGGGTAGGGCGTGGTATTGCTTCGTTCTTGTCTGACTCTGCCTTGACCTGGTGTGGGTCGGTTGGTCAAGCCTGACTGGCCTAACTCGGGTTCCTACTCTGACCTGACTCGGGCTTGTGTTGCCGGGCCTAGTCCTTTTGTGTTTACGTCATTCTCTTTCCTGTGTTTGATTTGTCCTTGCCTCACCGATCGTGCCAAACCAGAGCTTATATGTCCCGAACCCTAGATAAGAGATATTTATCCCAGTACAAAATTGAACACTGCTTTTAGTTGCGAGCTATGATACATATATCTAGAGGGGATATCTAATATCTTTATTGTAGTTTTTTTTATTTAATAGACCGTAGTCACGATTATAGTAAAGTATCTAACTACCGACACACATAGTCGAACCAAAAGAAATAGGAAAGAGAAATGAAGGAGATGTGATACAGAGAGGCAGGTTATGCGGAGAAGGACAAGAAGGATGGGTAGGTTTGTGATGTATATAGGCTGTAGGCAGTAGGAGAAGAATGATAAGTGAGCGAGGGAAAGAGAGATCTGGGGAGAGAACTTCACAAGCATGCAAGTTCTGTGTTTACATATAAGATTGGGACGTTTATTCCCCAGACCACATCAATCCTTTTCAAAACGCCACCATCACCAACCAAAGATCTCAGCAACACTGAGAGTACTCCAGCGTACACCGCCAACAGCAAAGATCATCAAGACAACATCAACAACAGCCAGTACTGCTGAGCCCATCATGAAGCGAGGGCTGAAGATGCGGTAGAGCATGAGATGGCGGCGGAGATGGCCGGCCCACATAGTCGTGGCGAGATTAATAGTCGCCAAATAGAGAATATGGGTTCCAGCAGCTTGTACGACATCTGAGAGAATGCGTGTGGCGGGGTTTTTGTTCGGGTTGGAAGCGGGGACACGGTCGTGGGTCTGGAGGGGTCGTTTCCAGAGGACAGTAAGGGGGACAGCAATGGCAGCCAGGATCTGGGCGCCGAATGTATTGAGGATGACGAAGATTGGGGACCAGGGGTATTGGATTGTTGCGAGGGGGATAAAGGCTGTTTCCCACTGGATGCTGGAGAGGGTAGCCTGGTGGCCTGTTTTGAAGTAGTAGAAAGAACCAAGGACGCCGAGGATGACGGGGCCGATGGAGGAGTTTGTCATGGTTAGACTATTTGTGTCGAGGATTTCGAGGAGAGAGAGGATTTGCCAGAGGAGGAGGGCGATGGCGCCTTGGCCCATTGGCTTCTGCATGAGGATGATGGCGAGGGCGAAGTTGAGGAGTAGGAAGCAGAAGTGGGTTCCGTAGACGTTGCCGAAACCGAGGATTGTGACCGTTGTTCGTGGACCTTGTTGCTGGCCGGCAATTATAGGGGCCGGCGGGCTGTTGGGGTCTTCAGTGGGTTTGATCACATTGATGCTGACGCAGGGCTTGGAGTAGAAGTATGCTATACTGCCTGCTGCGAACGCGAGGGCGAGGACGAACTGGGCTAGGAAGACGCGGACGAATTTGAGGGTTTCACTGCTTAAGGGTAACCACTCGCCGTCGTCGGCGCCCTCGAGAATCCAGAATACTGAGGTGACAAAAAGACCGAAGCGGAAGGCAAAGCCGATCCATGGTGGTGCGGCACCTTCATAGGACTTGGAGCCGGCGTAGAAGGACCGTACGACGCTGGGCAGAAATAGGGTGACCAGGAAAGGAATGGCAAGCTGCCAGGGAGCGGAGGTGGAAGAAGCCGATGAAGCATAGTACGTAGAGCGGCAGAAAGGCATTTGTTCTTCACGGCAGAGGCGGGAGAAAGACGCGATTCGGCCCAGGATCACGAACAGAATGGAGTGATAAACACCCAAGATGCGGTCTGTGGTCTGCTTCTGTCGCATGGACGAGACACCCGCGCACACACCGAAGGTAGTGAGGAAGAATAGCAGGATTTCATCTTCCCAGATGGTGTACGAGTTCGAGGCAAACCCAATAGACTGAGAAACGGTAAAGAAGAATGCAAGCCATCCCCACATGCCGTTCGGAAGAGGCAGGGTCAGGTTCGCAGGCTGCTTGACCAAAACGGGGGTGGCTCCAAGGATGCTTCCGGCAGCAGCCAGCAGCACGGCTCCATCGACTATAGACATCTCAGTCAGGCCAGCCAGGCCGAACACAGAACCAGCCACGGCACCAACGCCAGCACCCACACTTGCGAATCGAAGCAGACGGGACGTGAGTTGGGTTCGATCTGTCTTCAATCCTCGGGCATAGATGATCAACAAGACAATGCTAGTAAAGAGAATCACAACACCTTGAATCATACTTGGCACATCAAATCGAGCCCACAATCCACGGCAGATATCAAGAGTGTGACGCTGGTACTTGCGGTAAAGTTCATTGCTAGCGCGAGCAGCGGTCGACTTGGACGTGAAGCCCTTGGAAGTAGACTTCCACTCCTCTTCTGCAGCAGTCCAGAGTAAAGCTGCCTCTTCGTCATCACCAGCACCTCTAGCAAGCGCATATTGGCGCTGGTATCTCTTGACCTGGGCCGCAGTCAACCGGTTGACAGTCGCCAGGTTTGCCCAGTTGTTCCCACGTGCGCCAGAGAAAGCCTCTTCAATAGGTGAGCCTAAGTTATTGAATGGGATGGGCATTCCAAGGAGCAAAGACAGCGTCGGTACGAGGTCGATCTGAGGCACGAATCTATCGCGCACGGATTGGGGCGGGAGGATCGTATCTTTGCTTGTGCGTCCGAAGATGCCACGCTTAGAGTACATCCACAATGCAGCCTCAACCTCATCATCAGACTCGCCGCCGTGGTCACCCTTGATGTCCATTCCATGATCTCCCATGACGACCAGAAGAGTCTTATCATCGAGTGCAGCAATAATATCGCGAATAACACGGTCCATTTCCTGAAGCTTAGATGCCATGGCAGCGTGGTTAGGACCATATCGATGACCTGCGTGATCTACGCCGAGATAATGGCCAAAGATGACATCCCATTTCTTGCTATTCTCTGGCCGGAGGAGCGGGAAGAGATGCTCCGTGACGCCATTGTCGACGGTATGCAAGTCCCAGACGTTGAACGAGTCATACGCATGCGTGAGATTGGTATCAAAGTAGCCCGGAAATAGCGCCTGCCAAGTATCATCGCCGAGATGAACCAGGTTCTTCCCGGCGCTGTGCAGCTGTGCTACAAGATTGTCCTCGTCGATGGCGGTTCCAGCGAAGTTAGAGCCTGCCTCCAGGAAGGTGGGCAGGGTTCCGGTAGTCAGGCCTTTCAGGCGGTTCAGAGTGGTTGTCGGGGGATCCGCGATGAATGGCAGGAGGAAGGCGTTGGCGGGGTTTTCCACTGCGGTCTCGTAGAGGACAGGGATGTTGTTGTGGAAGAGGTGGACTGTGTCACTCTCTCCCTTTGAGGCGAATGGCACAGTGAAGTCATAGCGGAGGGCGTCGATTATGATGACAACGGCTTTGTCAAAAGTTTTCTCGTGCCAGCAGCCTTTCTGCTGTTTACTCCCCAGGGCTGTCGTGTGTGGTTGAGCCAAAACGTCCTCGAAAGGCAGTACGTCACATGCTGATTTATCCTCGAGGACCATGCGCGTGAGGAGAAACCCTTTTGTAAACAGATAAATACCGGCGACATGCAAGAGTCTGTCATTTATCCAGCGTCAGCTCAAATTTATTTTTCAACCCGTCAAGCCTGCAGCGGGCCTTCAAACTCAAGCTCTACTAGGCTTGAGAAGGAATCACTCACAATATCCACGTCAGAACCCCCATCACACCCAAATGCTTAGTCTTGAACTCATTCTCAAGCTCCAGCGCTTTCTTATCCAACAGACCAGCTTGCATGCGCTTAGACTGCCCGCCAGACAACTGATCGGAGCTGCGAGCGGTGGCAGCTGGAAGACCGCTTTTAGGGCCGCTGGGGTTTGGGCTAGTCCCCATAGTCCCTGCAGGTGGTGTAGCTACCATTTGGACGGTCTAGTGTATGGTCTCACGTCGAGGTCCGGGTAAGCTGGTGCGCCAGGTCGCAGATCGGGCTACTGGAGGCCGAAGAGACACTGAAGGAACCGTGGACGATGAACACAGTGTATGTCTCAGGGGCAGGGAAGCCGGGAGCAAGCACAATTGAGCCGATTGAGCCGGTTCAAGCGAGAGCCATCGAAGTCGGAGAAAAAGTATAGGCGGGGGCGGAGAAGGTTGCGGAGGTCTGTACCCCTTTCTGTGCTCTGTCGAACGGCTTCCCTATGTATCAAGAAGCTATAACATGCACATTATTTAAAGGAGCAATTTACAAAAGGCGCAATTAGGGGGAAATCTGTTTGAGAAAGGAAATTATTCGAATTTCCCTGATAGTCGCGGAACCCACGGGTTGGAGAACTCGGCGTCGGCGTTTCTTATTGGCCGATGGATACACAACTACAAAGTACACCCACACTACTATACACACAGAAAAAGAAAAAAACACACACGTGGTAGAAGAATAGATTTCAGATTTGCCTAAATGTGGCGAAACATAGGAGGACTAAGTACATACATTATCCAGCTGCCGAGTACCGGGGGGGAAAAAAGGCACATGAGAAGGGAAATAAAATAGAGGGGGTCCCAATAAAACATAAAAATAGGACCCCCATAAAGGGGGTTGAAGAAGAGAAAGTCGAAAGCAGGAATAATGTCACATGTATATCGGGCCCTAGGAACGTAGCAGGGACGAAAGAGACATGAGGAACCAGGCTTAAGAAATCAAACGCCAGAAAGCAAATAGAGAAGAATCGGCAGGCCCTCGCTATGAACGATCCAGCTTCGATGGATATTGGGATCCAAGCAGTGCGGAGTACCCATGAGTCTGTCTATAAAAACCGGATATTCCAACAGTATGCTTTTAGTGAGACCAGCATGGAAACTGAAGGGCATATGTGCAAGCCACGTAGGCCAAATCAGGGAAGGAGGGGTATGTAAGAAGTGGAATCGCAAAAAAGATATTTGACAGGGTACTCGTCATGTTCTGAAAAGTCGTCGAAGGTTCGAGAGATGTTGAGCGCTATGCGGGCGGTATACGCCAGTCAAAAGTTGGTTTGACAACACGCCTTTAATGATATGTCTTTGTCTCCTCTTTCTCCTTCAATCCACCCATCCGCTCCATGTCCAGGGACTGGAAGCGACCGGTGTCGGTGGTTTGGTAGGGAGGAAGCTCCTCGTGGCAGGGTTCCAGACCGACGCTGCCCGCGTCACTGATCCGGACAATAACCATGCGGCCAGAAGTACGTTTGCCGCTCGCATCTTCTTCCTCTGGGAAAGTGATGCGGATCTCGGGCACAGGGCTAGGTGGAGGGCTGTAGGAATTCTCCATGAGGCTGCGTTTCTCATCATAGACAAGGATGGAGTCGGCTTTATTGGTGGAAATAGTTAGACGGCGTCTGTTGGGAGACTCTCCATTGTGGACTGGCAGCAAGTTTTGCTTCCGAGACTGACGCTTGCGGCGGAGGACGAGCAGACCAGCGACCAGAGCAAGGGAGACCAGAACGAGAACGAGAAGAGCGATAAGTAGGTCGATCATGGTGTTTGAGAGTCCACCATTGTTGTCGCTGTCATCGCGAGCAACGATGCGGGAGAACAGGTTATTCATCTTGTTATTTGTCGGTTGTTGGTTGTCGATAGTTGGTTTTTTTTGGACACCGAATTTGAGAGGTATATGATCGGAAGTCGACGGATATGTATGTGATCGTCGATTTCTGATTCCAGAGGTCACAGAATGAACCCGGGGAAACAGTCAAGCGAGATGGAATGTGCGTGCAAATTATCGGTCACGGGCGGGATCGAAAAGAAGCGAAGAGTCGAAAACGAGAGTGAGTTAAGTTAAGAAAGAATGGAAAGCAAAGTGAGCCGCTGAAAGAGTGAAGCTGGCACCTGCAAAGGAAAAAGAATGGAGGGGATGGATGAGAATGAAGGGAAAACAGAAAAGGGAGGAAGGGGAGAAGAGGAGACAGGTTGCCGGCCTAGAACCCTTTGCTATTGTTAGTGAAGAGCTAAGCTATTCAGAGCTTAGCGCTATTCCTTAGATGGTTGCTCGGGGCCTCTTGGCAACAGGAGTCAGCCAATCACAGTCGATTAGTGCCTGGAGGACGGGCCCTCTGGAGGCAATTTACACCCTCTCATTGGTCAGGTGGCTCCACTGAACTATGCCAGTTTATTTTGGTTCCCCTGAGGTTCACGCTGATATACTCGCATAAATATATGCTAGAGTCCCGAGTAAACAGCCTCAAGCCCTAGAGGGAGTGTAGATTTACATCATAATCTTCAAGAGTAAACATTTTGTAAAAACATAAGTAGTCATGGCTAGTGCTTAGTCTAGTCACACAAGCAGTATCACCCGAATTTGGGCTTACGGTGCAATCAAAGAAAGGCTAATTGTCTACATACATACATACATATGTACATAGTAACATGATTTATGCTCTCTCAAGACCATTAATCGTGCAAACCTAAGTGGGAAATGAGTGTTTCAAATATCTGTGGGGTGGGATTACATCCTATGCACCTGATTTTTGAGACATATAAACAAATCCCTAGTACGCGTCAGCGGAACATGACAGTTAGTAGAAGTAAATAGCAACCATTTTTTATTGAAAAATACACAAAAACAAAGTTAGGAATAAATTGATGGGTTTAAAGCAGTTAAATTATCATACCATTTGGGTGAAGTTGACTTGGTCCTTGATCTATATATATATAGTATATCCATATATGTAACGGATGTCCATGAAGAGGCTGAAGATCAACCATGATTTAGTATTCTGTACATTCTTTTTATTGAATCTCTTCAAATCTGAAATGATTACTATAGTCAATATCTAATTCCGTCTCTATTGGATTAATTGAAAATAAACTAATGTGTAAAGCACTCGGATGCCAGCCTGGGTGGACACATACAAAAAGTACTCACTCACATGCTAGATATGTATATCACGATGAAACATTCAAGTTATAGTATGGAGTATTCATTGATCTGACATGCGATATCATTATAAGCACTGTTTGCCACATGCTGGATATATCAATCGCCTGAGCTGCATGTATCCTTCTAGCTTGGATTTTGCCGCCACATCGGGCACACACAGCACAGCACAACGGCACGCGGTCCCGGTGCCACAAGTAAAGTGCTCGTTTTCAGTACAAGTTGACTTGGTGCGTGACTTTTTGAGTTTTCTTCGCACTTAATTACTGGCAGGCTGGTGCTAGAAGAGCTGACACTAGGAGAACTATTTCTTCATCATATACTCCATGAAGTATATTTGGACGTGATTCTGGGCTGGACGTCCGTGATGTCTGTGTTTGGATATGTAGTTCACTTTTTAAGCCTTCCTCAACCAATATTTGTATGCCGATTTGCAAAATATAATATGATGAGTGGTCTGTACTTAAAGTTTTTACGTGGGCATTTGACTAGTGGGCTGACACATGAGAGACATCAATGGAAGTATATATCAGGCTTGGGCGGCAATATCAATTAAAGCTAAGTCACTTCCCCCAGGTAGAAATTCCCCATCAATCCAAAATACCAGAGGCATATTGGGACTTACGGAGTAGAGAGTCCGGATTTGATGCTCTACAAAAAAACTCGCTTCGACCTTCTATTGATACTACCAGGACCCGGCACTCGAGATCAAGAACACAACCAGAACGCCACTACCGAAATTAGTCAACTGCACCGACTGACATGTCCTAGGTGCGTTCCAAGGTTATCTTGGCATATATCGTAGCCCACAGTGTACAGACTCTGCATCTTTTATAACGCGGTCAGGGGCTGCCAACACACAAGTCGATACCTCACAAATCCGGAGAAACGACGATCACTACAGGAAAAACAACAACCCAGTACCCGGAAACTGGTAACACGGCCAACGCCTCTTCTCTGCCAGCCAGCGGTCATTGCGCTTGCGTCCAATGAGTGTGCCTAAGCCTACGGGCGTTGGACGCAAGGCGGGCAGTGCCCCTCAGAGATCAGATCCGGGGAAGATTTCTGCGAGTGATAGCCTGACACTTGACCTGTGCAACCCCTGTGCAAGGACCCAAAGGCGAGTATCCTTGTCAGCCTACAAGCTGTATGACTCTCCCTTTGCCAGTCGATGTCTCGGCCTTTTTCCAATATCGCCGGGAGAGATTACACTACAATGACTGGACACCCACACGTTGACGGCAAACATTCACCAACACATAAACAATGACCTTCCTTTTTTTTTTTTTTAGCTCTTTATTTCTATGGGCGTCTGACCCGGACAATGAGCACCTGGGTCTCGTGATTCAGCAGGTTGCATCCTACAATTTCACCTACAGATTGATCCAAGGGTCAGTGTGACGATGTGCCGAAGCAAGGGGCTGGCCGAGTCTATGGAAGTCTACCCAGTCGTGAACCCGTTTTTTTTTCCCGCGGATAATTCTTCTGAATCTGGATCTTTTCAGGGCTCGAAGCGTATTCCTATGGTCGTGTGTGATAATATTGCAGGACTCGCAGTTGGGGTTTGACTTGATCATTGATCTATTGATGAGAATCAAGGGATTGGAGGGCAATACCAACGCACGGCCACACGGGTTGAAAAAACAGACAGAACATAAACAAAAAAGAAAAAAAAAGCCAAAACACTAGAGCGAAACAAATTCCCCTCGGCCCATTGAGTTCTTGACCAGGCGGAGAAAGTAAGCCAACGAGAGACGCCTTGCCAATCCTGGAATGGCAGGTAATCCACAGTTAGAAAGGTGGCGGGCCCTTGGCTCTTTCTTTCAAGAATGTTTCCGGATCCAACCGGATGTTATACGAGGTGTTTAGAGATAAAGTGTAGTAACTGGAGATCTAATATCTCATAGTGTATGATAGTATAGTATATATCAACGTAGGTATATATAGAGTGTACCTTACTTATGGTTGAGGCTAAAGTGGGAGGGGCTTAGTGGACCCCCGATCGGACTCCAGAAACCTTTAATGTTTAATATAAGGTGCCGAGAATTTATACAGAAGCTTCATTTAGTAGTAAAAGGTAGAATCTTGGCTTGGGAGTTGAATCCCTTTTTCCTCATTCCTTCTAGTGAAAAGCTTCTTCTCTATGTATATCAGGCACCGGCTCCATTCGGGAGTATGCTCTTTCTCTACATAGGGGTTCCATGGTCAACACAGAGATAGGGAGTTCTTTGGTGGATTGGATAGGAAGTTTTGGCCGAAGTATTAAACCTCTCCAATGGTGACTTCAGGTTTGCTCGTTCACTCCTATTACATGCTCTATTCAGTACTGTTCCAGGGACTATTTGATGTATTAAGTTGGACCATGGGAGAGCTCTGATGTGACTAGTTACCTAATAGGGCAGTGTAAGAGGCGAAAAAAAAAGAAAGCGTATAAAGATATAAGATTGTAATACAATGTAATGGAATGAAGTTCAATAGGAAATATGTATACATGTATATATTGTGATATATATAAACAAAAAGATTCAGGTAAAAACAAGACAAAGAGATGGGGCCAGGCTAAAAAAGAAGCGCCGGGAGTTAGATCGCGGTGACGGTCACATACATGCGCCATAAACGGATGGCTGAAAAGATACTTAGGTTCACAGCTAAACTCTAACCTAATTCTAAGTACCACCAACTCCCAGCCAGGATCGACCTTCTCATATGGTCATCGTATTACCCAGCAATACAGCGGCTGATCTGCCAGAAATCATCCAGTTTCTTCTTGTTATCTATCCAATTGACTCTGTTCTGCTCTTTTTTTTCTTTTCTTTTCTTCTTCTTTTTTCGTGTGACACTTTTTTTTTTTTATTAATTGTCCTTTTATTTGAACCTCCTCCTCTTTTTTTTTTCTTTTTGACCTTTTCCTTTTTTTTTTCTCCCTCCATCACCGCCTCACCACCAACTTACCCCCCCAAAGAATAGCCACCAAAAAAACCCTTGGGCTGTCATGCTGGCGCCTGTGTGACAGCTGGACTACATTAATGCCGTGCCTTGTCTCTCGTCCACATTCCCTTCTCTCGATTCACTGAAGCCCGGATTCCCATCCTTCTTGCGCGAGCGCATTCCATTATCCTACTCTTAGTTCCCGCTACTCGAAAATCTTCCCCCTCAGACATCCAACCAACCCCTTGCCTACCGTCAATCAATCTAGGGTCCCCCAACGTTCTGATTACCATTCTCGGGGATCGCCTCTCCACAAGGCACAGGAGGACGATCTGCAAACTGGGAGATTCCTGGAGCATGCACGGAGCAGAGTAACGTCGCGGCGCCTCCCCAATTCTGAACCCTCCGGATACCAACTTGCAAACCCCACAGCTGCAGCAAACGAAAGGGTTGATAATAATCGTTCCAATTCTTTGTGACCTTGCATCTTCTATCGCTGTCAAGCTCGATCGACCGTCCTGCCACACTCAGCATTTCTCGCCTCATTCAGAGCTCGTCGCTCTTCCTCCCTTCCGTCTCCCTTCCTCTCTTGCTGTATAATCTGTACATGTCCTGAGTTCGCCGCTGAGCAGTACAGAAGACAACCTTCGTTTTCTTCATTTCGCTCCTTCTTGTGATCCCTTCTATCCCCTCCTTTGGTGAGCCTTCCCTTTCAGAGACTTGGAGACCCTAGGTACCCTTGTACCTTTCCACGAGCCTGGCATCCCAATGCAACATTGCCCAATATGACCCAAACCCTGCTAACACGGGCCTTCTCTCATCGCAGTCTTATATTCTTTCTTGTACGCCGTCTCTGGTGCCTGGTGCCCGTTTGCAAATACTGGTCGACACAGCATCGGCCGATCGTCTCAGCTCTGTGATTTATTGCTACGAGACAACCTCCCGAACCACCTACAAATAATCGTCACCATTCGAGTACATATCGAATTACTGTTCCGCCGATCGGATATTTCCTGGGATGGCTTCTACTATGGCCGCAAATGCAACCAGCGTACACAACGTGAGTGGCTATTCACGTGTCGATCGATGGAATGCCCCTAATAACAGCGAATCTAGGCACGATCAAACCGGGCTTCCAACATGAGTTCATCCGGGATGAACGATCGCAACCGCGGATCTCAGAGCAACAGTGTCGGTAAGGGTTTCGGGGCTAGTAAGGCTAGCTGGAAGAACAACATCTGGGGCGATTCCAACCTGGGAGGATTCGGAGATGGTGAGTGATCATATACCGCTTGCGACTTGGGATAGGCTGACGAAGTTTGCAGATCAACATCTCAGTGAGACTGCATTCGAAGGGAAGTCAGGATCGGGTTCCCTCCTTTCTACATCAGAGTCGGATGGCTGGTCAGGACGTGCCAACCTACCCTGGAGCACTGTCAACGCGAACACCTCCTTCCAAAACAGAGGGCTTGCCACATCCCCTACTCAGACCCGTGCCAATGACCGCAGTGCTCCTGCTATCAACGAAGCTAGTGATAGCTCTTACTTTGCCCTACCCCGCACCACCGGCATCAACACCGCTGCTGGTACCGCTAGCCACCGCCCCTACCTCAATTCTGGATCGGAAGGCGTGTCCCCATCCGGAGATGGCATCTCCTTCGGTAGTTTTGCTGGCCGACGACAGATGAACACGACTGGTCTCGGTGGCAGCCCTGTAGGAGCGACTTTCCCTGTGAAGACTGGCTTCGCGAACCCACTCGATGGTGCGAGTGGGGATGTCATAGGTGCCTCAATGGGCATGGCATCATTGGGATCCGGAATTGGCGAGCATGTGTCTCCGCCCCAGGGTCGCAGCGCACTGTCTCACGCCTCTCACAACTCCGCTTCGTTCGCCACCCAACGTCCCGCCCACTCCGCTCATCCATCCTTCTACTCCGACAATCACAGCATCGATGGCCGCTACACCGATCTGAACGCCGGCTTCAACAAGCTGCAGCTCAACGAAGCCAACTTCGCATCCCAAGGCGCCCAGCGACCCTCGTTTATTCCTCATGCATCCTTCGATGGTACCTTCCCACGCGGGAAGTATCAGAATAATGAAGCCGCTTACCAGGCACTTGGATACACCGCAGAGGCTGCACAGGAGCTGCAACTTGCTTACCAGGCACGATCCAGAGCTGCGAATACCGGATCTATCTCACCCTCGGACTATGCTCGCATGGACAGCCCAATCTACACCGGAGTTGATGGGGCGTCTGGGCAGTTCCGCAATGCAGGTGCAAATGAAAGCCAAGCGGCAGCATTTGAACGCCGGCTTCGAAACTTCCAAGAGCAGGAGCTCGCTCAAGGTTCCGGGCGGATGCAGTACCCTCCTTCCTACGATTTCCAAGCTTACCAGGCTTCTCGTTTGAATGCCCTTTCCGGATTCTACCCAGTTAGTCATCTTAGTGGTCTTGGTGCCGCTGCTCTGGTGTCGCGGACTCAGCGCGAGCACGACCCTACCCAGGTCGTCCGCAGCCCACTCCTAGAAGAGTTCAGGGCCAACAGCAAGGGAAACAAGCGCTACGAATTGAAGGACATCTACAACCATGTGGTTGAGTTCAGTGGTGACCAGCATGGCTCTCGCTTCATCCAACAAAAGCTTGAGACCGCGAATAGCGATGAGAAGGAACAGGTGTTCCGCGAAATCCAGCCCAACTGTCTTCAGTTGATGACAGATGTCTTTGGTAACTACGTTGTTCAGAAGTTGTTCGAGCACGGTAACCAAACCCAGAAGAAGATCCTGGCCAATCAGATGCGTGGCCATGTTCTCGCCCTGTCGACCCAGATGTACGGATGCCGAGTGGTCCAGAAAGCCCTGGAGCACATCCTGACCGACCAGCAAGCTGCGATGGTCAAGGAACTTGAGAACCATGTCCTCAAGTGTGTTCGTGACCAGAATGGCAACCACGTAATCCAGAAAGCCATTGAGCGTGTTCCTTCGCAATATGTCCAGTTCATTATCAATGCCTTCCGCGGCCAGGTCAACAGACTTGCCGCTCATCCTTATGGTTGCCGTGTGATTCAGAGAATGCTCGAGCACTGCGAGGAGGTCGACCGGCAGTCTATTTTGGCCGAGCTTCACGCTTGCACTTCCAATCTGATCCCTGATCAGTTTGGCAACTATGTCATCCAGCACGTTATTGAGAACGGCGATGAGAAGGACCGCACTCGCATGATCGACATTGTTATGGGACAGCTCCTTGCCTACTCCAAGCACAAGTTTGCTAGCAACGTTGTTGAGAAGAGCATTGAGTTTGGTGCGGAGCATGAGCGTATCCACATCATCAGCACCCTAACCTCTACCAACGACCGCGGCGAGAGCCCCCTTCTTGGTCTCATGCGTGACCAGTATGGCAACTATGTCATTCGTAAGTTCGACCACATTCCTCATTGTATACTATACTAACCTCCCCACCAGAGAAAGTCCTGGGACAACTGAAAGATGCTGAGCGTGAAGCCCTCATCGACCAGATCAAGCCCCTTCTCAGCCAGCTGAAGAAGTTCAGCTATGGCAAGCAGATTGTCGCCATCGAGAAGCTCATTTTTGACCCCAACTCTCCTGCGACTGGCCCTCTGTCCAACACCACCTCGACCACCCCCCTCACTCCCACAAATCTTCACCTCAACCCGTCAAGCGCTCAATCCCTACCGAGCAGCCCCGGGCCCCTTTCGTGGGTAACGCACCACCCACACCTCCCCCGACGGATGCCCAGACCACCGTCGATACCACCCTCGAGTCGAAGAGCCTTGCCAAGAGCACAGTGACCTCGGTTTCGAGTCCCGAGACAGGCAACACCGGTGTTACCGTCCCGGTCGATGTCACTAGTGCTCACTAATTCGTTGCACACTTTACCTTGCTCGCCTAACATAATCTTTCTAATCCTGACTTGATCTGAGCCGAGTGAATTCTTGTTCTCTATCTAATACGGGGCGTATACATACAGGGGAATCAGGCGGGATATATGTTACCAACGTCTATGTGATTCTTCCCTACTTGACCATGGCTTTGACGGCGCAACTATGAGGGCCTGGAATGTCTTTATTTCTTTATTTCTTTATTGACTTGGGTTGATCTCGATCTCGATCTCGGACCGTCGACTTATTTCTTATCTTACCTTATTTGTTCTTGTTTCTTCCTTGACATGTTCATTTATTCTTACGACTGTGTTTGTGAATCATTGTCAATGCTTCCCGCTATGAGATCCAGGTCCGAGAATCGATATGGCTCCGGCGTCTTTGTTCTGTCCATTTCTTCCATTTATTTTTTATTTTGTCACGGGGTTAAGGTGGCTGTGATGGGGAAAAAATCGGCAACCAGCTCGGAGAGGGGGAACGGATCTGATATTTCGCTCTCTTCATGATTCCCGAGCGCATATGCCATAGCATGGAGTCCCGGACTTTCCACATTCACATTCGAATCCAGCAGAAAATACCAGGAAATGAATCAAATCAATCACTTTGCACAGCAGCTACCTCCTGCCATGGCATCTGCATGATCTACCCAGAACTACCTACTTCTACTTCCTTTCACACATCTCCTTACGCTATTTCCTTAGCCGAGTCAACATATTTCGACTCATGGCTATGGTTTTCGATCCCGAGCTCCACGGCTATCCTTTCGCATCAAGGTGTTCTTGTCAAGGTGTTCTTGCTTTAGTGCTTTTCGGCCAGCATAAACGATTCTGCGTGGCTTTGGGGAGCTTGTAATAGCTACCGGGTCTTGTGGACTTCGTCTCGCTTGTTTCCGGGTTGTCATGCCGTGTTGATAATCTCTCGTGGTTATCTTTTTCTTTTCTTGCTAGTGGCTGTATTATCAATGCATTATGACTTGACTTTAAATTTGCTCAAGTATCATCTAGAATTATTCGAAATGATGTAGTTTCCTACAACATACCAATACGTTCACACATCGTAGCATGTTCAGTGCCTCAAGATCCCTCTGTGATGAATGGAGCACGTGACCTATATAGATCATATCCCACGTGATCACCATCCCGTGATTCCCGATAAGACGGCGCATTTTGATGCAGTTTGAGGAAACTCCATCTGTACTTCTACTTATACCTCGACTCCGTGATCAGCATTATCCCTCTGGGCATCGACGGATAAAAACTCGAGGTGTTGAGAAATCTACCCGCCATCGCTGAATTCCTAATCCGATCTCGAAACAACCTACATCCAGCCAGCATCCAAATTAGCTCTGAGCTATCTATCCCGCAAAATCATAACCTAACCTACAAACCTACAAGAATAATCATACTACCACCATATACAATCATTCACCAAAGGAGCTCTCAATCAAGCCCCATATCACCAAATAACCTCCAAATCAAACCAAACCACCAACCACTGCCAAAATGTCCTCCAACGTCGGCCTCACAACCCCGCGCGGCAGCGGCACATCAGGCTACGTGCAGCGCAACACCGCCCTCCTCAAACCCCGCAACACAGGCTACGGCGCTCCATACCCACCCATCAGCGGCGCAAACGGCAGCGGGCCAATGGACCGGTCATTCAAGCAGCGCGTGCCGGACAAGCAGATCCTTGAGCACGACCGCAAGCGCGCGATCGAGGTGAAGGTGATGGAAGAGCGGGAGCGACTGGAAGAAGAGAATGAGCGAATTGAAGAAAAGGCAGCCGATAAAAAGAAGGGCAAGAGTGGGAGCAAGAAGGAAGAAGGTGGTGAGGACGGAGAGGCGGATGAGGAAGAGAAGCTTCTTACTGAAGAGGAGATTGATGAGCGGTGTGATACTATTCGGCAGCGATTGTTGAAGGAGCTTGAGGAGGACTTGAAGCGTGGAGATTCCGGCTTCAAGAAGCCTTTTGCTGGGGCTGGGGCTGGTAGGGATAGGCGCAATCTTAAGTCTTATCAGGTTCATGAGCTTGCTGAGGCGAAGATTGAGGAGACGGAGAGGTTGCGCCGGGCGTTTGGATTGAGAGAGGATCGGGAGACTGGGGAGATTTCTAGTTCTCGTGATTATCGGGAGAAGAGGAGGGATTAGATTTTGTCTTGACTTATTTTTTTCTTCTTGGTTCTGCGGCTTTTTGTCTTTCTTCTCAAGTAATGGTGTTGTTCGGTGTTAGGGTTATGTGGGATTATCATGGAAACAGGGTTGCATGAACAAGTTTCTTTTTCTTTTTATTGTCCATGTTATGCTGTACAATCTTCGAATGCAAAGAAATGAACAATTGGATATCATAACCTCATCTATAATACACCAAGACCAGTACCTATGCGACAAACTTTTCAATAACCCAACCCTCCTTCGGGTCCTTCTTCTGCACAACCTTCTTAGCAGGCATCGGCCATCCCGCACTCCCCGAATCGCCAACCAAAGAAGGAATAACCCAGCAAGATCTGCGGGGCGGTATACCCTCAATAGCATCAGCCTTACCAATCGGCTTTCCATACTCAATGAGCGGTGTACCGTGCGCAATCGCGGAGAGCTGCAATCCACTAGGCGCAACAAGTGGGAACATCCTAATCTTAGGCACCTGGTCCGAGACCAGGGAAGCAGAAGACTGCTGCAGATGCGAATAAGTGATATACTGCGGCATCTCCTTCGGAGTGAGCTTAGCGAGCAGCGAAGACGGATGCACGTAGACAGCACGCTCCTCCAGATCTTGACCCTTACCGTCCCGAGAACGGAAGAGCGTCAGGTAAGGGACATCAATTGCGCGACGTGGTGCGCGCGGGATCTCCGGCGGGACGGGGGCGAGATCAGCGCGAATAGCGACGTGGTCAATGAATCCTGCCGTGACGATCTGCTTGAGGGCCTTGATTTGTTTTGCTGAGGGCTCTGGCAGACGGGGTTCGTAGGCGGGGACTAGGCCTGGGTTGTTTGAGCGCACGATGTCTGTTAGCTGGCGACGGAGCTGCGTTGCTTCTTTGAAGGCCTTTGCGCGGAGGAACATTTTTTCGCTGAAGGCGTCGCCATCGGAGGCGTATGCGTAGGCGCAGATTGCAGAGAGGGATTTTAGGGCGTCGGATGTATCGTCGTGTTTGCTGAAGAGGCGCTGGGCACGGGCGTACGCTTTCACGCGTTGCTCGCGCTCGTCATCTTCGAGGCGGTCTGCGTTTGTATAGACCTTGCGTCTGTCGCTGTCGCTATCGCTGTCATCCTCGATTTGCTTCTTGGCTGTGGTGGGCAGGGGTTGGTTCGGGTCGAGCTGGTTCTCTGGAACGAAGAGGTCGCCGACTGCTAGGGCGGCTACTAGGGCGATCACGTAGGGCATGCAGCCGTGTTGGTGGCCGATGTGGAGCATTTTGCTGAATCGGGGGGAGAGGGGGTATGTTGAGAGACGACGGCCGATGGGCGTTATCTGACCGTCGGCTGTGAGGGCGCCGAGGTTTCGAAGGAGTTTCTCTGCCTTCGCGAGACCTTGGCGGCTTGGGGGTGTGGGGAATGGGAAGTTGATGACGTTGTGAAGACCCATGCTCTTCATCTGGAGCACGACGCCTTCGATGGGTGTGCGGAGGATCTCTGGGTCGGTGTATTCAGCGAACTCGCCTTCGTAGACCGCAGAGGAGTACATTCGGTAACAATGACCAGGCCCTGTTCGACCAGCTCGACCGGCTCTCTGGTTTGCGCTTGCCTTGCTGATCCAGCCGACCTGGAAGCTCTGGACTCCCGTGAAGAGATCGAACTGCTTCTCCTTGGCGCGACCACAGTCGAAGACATACTTGATACCGGGGATGGTAAGAGATGTCTCGGCGACGTTGGTTGCGAGGATGATCAGTCGGGAGTTCTCTGGGGCCGGCTCAAACACCTTCATCTGTTCTTTTGTGGGAAGTTGGGAGTATAGAGGCAAGACATGAACGCGAGTTGACGAGTCCATGGCTTCTTCGCCTTCAGCAAGTTCGAAGCCTTCGTCTTCCTCTTCGTCATCTAATCCGGTGATCTCCATATCACTGTCGTAATCATCATGTCCTGGGTTTTCCATCTCGGTGCCGCCCAGCTCAAGGTCCTCTGCTTCCAGAGGTGCCTCAGTAGCTGAGAGCTGCACCTTTGCCTGTGTCGTGTCTTCCCGCTGAGTAGGCTTGAACGCTTGCTTCAGTCGCTTAGAAAGCTGCCGGATTTCGTTCTGACCGGTCAAGAACACAAGCATTCCACCGGCAGGTAGTTTACGGTGTCCGCGCGAAACCTTGCGGAATGCATCTTCAACGTAGTCACGCTGGGTGCGGCGGGAGAAATGAACTGCAACAGGATACTGGCGACCCTCGGCTTGCACCAATGGGGGTGCACCGTCACGGAAAAGACTTGGGTTTTCTGTGAAATCTGAAATACGGAGAGTGGCCGACATGATGACGACCTTCAAAGGCTTGACAGACGGGTCCTCCTCGCTCAAAGACTTGCGCAGGCCCACAATACGACTGACCATTCCAATTAGGATATCAGTGTTGACGCTGCGCTCGTGAGCCTCGTCAATAAGAATGATAGAGTATTTGCGAAGGGCAAAGTCATCTGCGATCTCTCGTAGAAGAATACCATCAGTCATGAATTTGATAGCTGTCTTTTTTGATGCCGTAGACTCGAAACGGATTTGATAAGACACTTTTTCGGCGTGTTGGCCCAACTCCTGAGCAACGCGGTTCGCCATACTGACAGCCGCGACTCGACGAGGTTGAGTGACACCAATGAGGCCCGGATTAGGGCTTCCTGGGGAGCCGAAACCGGATTCGAAGAGGAACTGGGGAAGCTGGGTTGTCTTTCCACTACCAGTAGCACCCCAAATAACGACAACTGAGTTGTTGTGAATTGCTTCCATGATTTTCTGTTCCTCGCCAACAACAGGGAGTCCAAGACGGGCAACTTGGATTTCTTCTGTGCGGTCAACCGCGACACTGTATGCCTTGCGATTGGGATCGCCATGAGTTACCTGAAGCTCCCGGGGGAGAGGTTCTTGCTGGATGGTATTATGGGTTGCTGGCAACTTAGATGGGTCGAACACCTGCTCTTCCTCCGTCACGGCTCCCTCGGTTGGTCGGAAACCTGCGGCTTCGTTGATCTGCTGTACTGCCCAAGATTTGAAGGCCGACTGGCGAGTCTTGAGTGTTGGCTTATCTTCGTCCATCTCGTCATCATCTTCTGACTCTTCTGAGTCTTCCTCATCCTCATCCTCATCCTCATCCTCATCCTCGGAAATTCCTTCAGAAGACGACGTATCTTCCTCTTCAGAGCCCTCTTCAATATCACTTCCGGACTCCTCCTTGTCCATATCGTCTTCGTCTTCATCTTCATCTTCATCCTCCTCGTCCGAATCAAAGCCCTCCCATGCAATATCGGCTTTTACCGGTGCAGGTGCGGGTTTCTTCTTTGGTGCGCGCTTCCGCTTCTTGAGTACAGGGAATCCGTCGGGTCCTAGCTCTAGTGGCCGCTTAAGTCCACTTCCAGCAGCTGCCTCTTCTCTTAACTTTTGTTCATTGGGATCTGTTGCGGGATCGGAGACTTTCAGGTGGATATCCGAATCGTCGGAGTCGTATCCTGAGATATCTGCGGGGGCATTGTGTTTCGGCGCAGAAGCGGCTGTCGGTACCAATGTATCGTCATCCTGTCTCTTGCGCTTGGAAAGATCTCTGGAGCTCTGTAAAGACGAAGTGTCGACAGATGATTGGGCTAGTTTCTTCAACAATTCGATATTTTCTTCCTTCCTAAGTTTGTTTTCCTGCGGGAATGTTAGAGCCATATATTTCAAAGCAGCTATCCACATACAATGTATTTATCCAAGCGCTTCTGTTTCTTTGCAGACATTTGGGGGTGCTGCTCTCGTAGCTCTCCCTTCAGCTTCTGTCGCCGTGCCTCTTTCTCATCCTTGGAGACGGGCTGGAGTTGTGCGACATTGGTATCAGCCGACTCCCCGTCAGGGTTTTTCCGGTGTCTTTGTTTTCGTAGACGTGGGGTAAATTTAGGCGGCATCCTGGATTACCACAGCCGCTCCAGCTGAGAGAACAAAAAAGATAATTGACTGAGTATGCAAGCTCTGCGATCTAACTGTTTCTTCATCGAAAAAAAATAAAGGCGGTCGGATACTGCTGATTTGGCCCGAGGCGGTGAAATTCACCGCCCGCCTACAAAAGGACGTCAACCTCCGATCCGATACACCTAGCAGCTAATCATCTTGTTCTGTTTTTCTTCGGTATTCAAAAAAAGATATATCCTTCAAACCGCCATGGCTGCATCTTTTGATACAAGCTCTCTGCAGGATTCCCTCAACCTACCATTTCCTGCCACTACTAAGCAGGTGGCGGGGTTAGTCAATGGCATACAAACAGATGTTGGGATAATGAGCTTTAGCGATAAAATCATGGTCACAATTTCACAAGCAGGACGATTAGCACACTGGGTATGTCTTGAATTTAGCTTTAGCGAACATCGTTAATGGTATATAGTTGCACGTGCCGATGGAGAACCAAAACCCAGGCACTGAGGGCATGCATACTCTCAGTGAGGGTGATGATGCTCTTTTGCCTCTCAAAAGTCTAACCACCACTACTTTACTTGGTGGTTATTCTCCTGGCCAAGACACAACGGGTCAATTGCTTGCTCGTCAGATTGCTACGGCTATTGCAATGAAAACACCTAGTGAAAAGAGATTACTCCTCGTTGGCCTCGGACTTGGCAAATCAACTGCTGATAGAGATTCATTTTTTGCTATCATCGATCTGGTTCTGCAATGCCTATGAAGTCATCATATCCTGATTTCTGGCTGAGAACAAGGTGGCCATCAGAACGAGGCTTGTGCCCTCCACTCGGCTCGCTTCAGAAACCGGTCCAGTCTCTCACTTGTAATCCATCCGTGGATTCGAATCCTTTCGATGTGGGCAAATGGACCACATGTCAGCAGGTCCGCAAGATCGATCTCGGTGATATCCCCAGCTGTCCAATTTTTTCTCAGCTCGAGAATCAGCGTGCGAACAGCAAGAAATTCACAGTCTCGATGCTTCAAGATAAATCTGAGAAACTGTCGGTTTCTCCTGAAGGCCTTCTCTTCGTCATTATCACCGAGTGTGAACTTGATTGCCCGAAGTCGGACTGTCGATAGGTTTCGTAGGATTGGGCAGGGTTGTCGAAGGTAGGCGTGTCGAGGGAAATCCACCACCACCAGAGTCCGAGCGCTCATCGCATTGAACCATGCAAGCCATGCCTCTGACATCCAGTCGTGCGATACAGATCGCATGGAAGCATGAATCTTCGGTGCGATACCATCCTTCGTGAGAAAGATGGGCTCCTTGGTGTCTCCAAAGACATACTTCCATATCTTGGCGCGAACTTTCACAGGCAGCCAATTGAGTGGGCATGGGCTGCTTCGGTCCACAATCATCTCTGACGGATATCTTGTCATATCGGACTGGAACTTGTCTTCGAATGATTGCCACGGCTTTTCAAATAGCAACAAGCTCCTTTGCTTGAATTCGGGTTCAGACCAAGGGCTGATGTAACGGAGCTCGCTATCAGAACTGGAAATTTGTCAGATCAAATGGAATTGTTTGGTGCATCGCATTCATGGGTTGTATCAACTTACTACGCACACGGCATCCTCTGGGGTGTTGAAACTACATTCACGACTCGGTCAGACTCGTGCAAGACCTCCGAAGCCGTCGCTTTGGTAAATATGTGTATTGCCGAAACCCTTGCTCGGATTGAGTTGCGTATTGCCGAGGCTCTTGCTCGGATTGAATTGCGCATGGCCGAAACCCGCTTGCGGATGCGACGAACGATTTTTTTGATCTTCTTCATTGCTTGATTTTTATGCGTGACAGGCGATCGTGACGGGATGGGATGGGTGATTGGCGTCTTGTCGTCGCCGGCCTGACCAGGCATCGACTGGGCGCTGCCCCACAGGTATCGTTCATACTATATCTGTCTACATTTTATTCCATACTACTTCTTGTGGCTATTGTTATCCCTGTTATTACACCTAGTTACGTCTGAAGAATCCCAAGTGATCAATTTACCCGTGCATACTTGAATTTTGTTCCTCGTTGGGAGTGGTCTATTCCGATTGTCTATACATGGGAATTGCTTAATGATATTTACTAGGAGTGACCACCATGTACCAGCGTTTGATCAAAGCAGACGATGGCATATTGGAAATTGAATTATGTCTTTTTTTAGTGAAACAAATGCATGTGGGTAGTAGACTATGTATGTATACTCTTGATATTGCGGCATGGCTGGTCACGTGAGGAGTGTCATGACAAACAGGGGTTCCAGAAGGAGACGACATCTAAAGATAGAATATGAACCGAATCAATTTCGAGTAATTGTAGGCCTCTAGGCCTCTGGGTATCTGGATATTTGACCACTGGTTCCTATCAGTCCTCACCGTAACAGCCCGGGCACGCAATTTTACATTCTTGCATTCAAGCATTTGAAAATCTTCCTTGGGCCTCATACTCCACATATCAAACGTTCCATTATTACCTACCCTCCACATCTTTTGTATCTCTTTATCTTCATTTGTTTTTCTTTCTCAACAAATCTGAATTCCGGTCTTTGTTGGGTTCTGCATAATGGAGCCACTAGTGGATCCTGACCTGAACGCCGCCGTTGAGGCTTCTCGCCGGGATATGTATCAGCAGCAGAACCGGCATCCCTCATCTCAGGCATCCCAGGATAATTTTGTGGATCTGACCAATGACTCGGGAACTGACTCGGACATTGAAGAGGTGTTCCCCAAGTCGAAATCTGTGGTTACTTCCGACACTGAAGATGACCATGAACGTGAGCAGCTGGAACGTGCTATTGCTATGTCGCTGGAGCCTAACGACAAGACCAACACCCCCGGGAATGTACAATCTATCAAAAATGCAGTTGTCCCGCATGAGGTCTCTGTAACCCCAGCGGGTTTGTTATTGGGCATGAACCGGAAGCAGATGGAAGAGGAGCGTCTCGCACGTCTCGCTAAGCGTAAAGCTAATGACGTTTTGTCCAGTCCGCCGTCTCAAATCAGCCGGAAGCTTCCCAGAACTGAGCCCTTGCCAGCTCGCCCCTCTGTCGCTGTACGAAGTCCGTTCCAGTCCGCCCCACAAGCGAGCATGGCTCAAGTGAGATCTCGCACCGAGGTCTGCCACCAGCTTGCATCAAATGCCCCGGATATCAACATCCAGCCGACTTCCCGCTCAGTGGCCCAATGGCCTCTTGGAGCTGTCAAAAAAACACATATCACTGGTTACCCTCGCAGTGGAAACGAAATCACAATTGAGGAAGTCATCCAGCGAGATGACTTGGAGTTAGGCGTATTTAGCTCGTATTTGTGGGACATGGCATGGCTTTACTCCAAGTTTAACAGCTCATCCACACGAATTCTATTCATTATGCAAGCAACTGACGAAGAAACGGTTAGTACGCACTATGGCTTTGAATGTCACCCACTAACTTGACATCGTTTACAGCGAGAGCAATTTCGCCAGGACATTAGCAACATGCCCAATTTCCGCTTGTGCTTCCCACCCATGGAGGCGCAAGTAAAATGTATGCATTCTAAGCTGCTACTGATGTTCCACCCTGGATATCTTCGCATCGCGGTCCCCACCGCCAATCTCACTCCCACTGACTGGGGAGAGGATAGGCTGATGGAAAACGTATGTAACTGTGCCTACCTTATGTCTTCGACATTTCTAACAGTGGGCAGACTGTATTCCTTATCGATCTTCCCAAACTCGAAGTTCCTGAAGTTGGAAAGACCCCATTCTACACAGAACTAGTCTACTTCCTCCAGGCCTCCGAACTCCACCGCAACATCATCAAGAAGCTCGATGAGTTTGACTTTAGCGAGACGAAGCGCTATGCATTTGTTCATACAGTGTATGTATCCCTTCCCCTGGCCGATTCCCGTATCAAAACAATAGCCACTAGCTAACAATCTAAGTGGTGGAACAAATACCGAAGACAAATGGCAACGCACTGGATTCAGCGGCTTGGGTCGTGCTATCAAAACCCTCGGCCTAGAGACAAATGCACCCATCAATGTCGACTATATCGTAAGTTTCTCCATCTGCTATGCCTTCATATATACTACAACACTGTGTATACTAACAACGCTCCCAGGCTTCATCGCTGGGAAATCTGAACACTCCATTCCTCCGCTCAATCTACCTCGCTTGCAAAGGTACGTACTCATATCGCATAAGCCAAAATCGTTAATCTAACAAACTACAACCCGCTAGGTGACAACGCTCTACTGGACTACGAGTTCCGAACCGCAAAGAAGAAAAAAGGACCCAGCGTAGAAGTGGCAGCGCATAACAAGGAATGTCTCGACCACTTCCGCGTTTACTTCCCATCAGGCGAGACCGCGCGAGACGTGCACAGCAATGCAAATAACAAAATTGGCACGATATGCTTCAATCCAGCCTGGTGGTCGAGTGCCAATTTCCCTCATGATAACCTTCGAGACTGTGTCAGTGAGCGCGGTGTCCTGATGCACAACAAGGTGAGTCATTTCGTGATAAGCTGGTTATAGATCTTTTTTACTCATACATATTCCTTCTGGCTTACAGCTTGCCTTCGTCCATCCTTCCGCCCCGATCGATATGCCGGATAACAAGGAGTGCCGGGGGTGGGCTTATGTGGGAAGTGCGAATTTGTCCGAGAGCGCATGGTGCGTACCTATATTCCAGTCGCTGCAATGACGAAACTAACTTGAGCCAGGGGTCGTATCGTTAAGGATCCTAAGACGAAACTGTTGAAGATGAACTGTCGCAACTGGGAATGCGGTGTGATTGTGCCTATTATCAATGAGAAGAAGACTGAGGAGCAAGGCAAAGGGCCAGAGACGCATGGATCAGTTGCTTCAGCTCATTTCCCAGCTGAGATCTTTCGGGATATCGTTCCTGTCCCGATGAGAGTGCCCGCTGTTCCGTTATCGGAGAGCCGAAAGCCTTTCTTCTTTGGGGTTTGATTCGAATTTGGATGCTGGGGCTTTCATTTACACCCTACATCTGAGTCAGATTTACGTTTACGTCTGCAGCGTCCGGTGAGAGTCTAGATTCTCACCATCATTGTAATGAGTGTTGGGAATAGGAGGAGTTCGGATCGGGTTGCTTGGTTGGTTCAATGGGAAACGAATAACAAGGGAGTTCAAGCACTGCGTGCATTAGTATGTAGCATTTATGCTGTGATATTCAAATGAAAATACAAATGAAAAAAAAAACAACCAGTTAATGTCCTAAAAAGCAAGGTGGTATGACTCAAACTATATGGTATAAATCAAATTATGACTAGATAGATTATCTAGATGTGCGCTTCTGGGCTTGAATCGCCCTGATATATCTAATATGACGCTTTGTGTAAATGCACATTGACAGAAAAAAACCGCCAAAAAAATAATCACCCTACTTTTAGAGCCTCTATTCATCGCTCTTCTTTCCCTTGAACAATCCCTTCACGCGATCAATCATCAATCCGCCCGCACCAAATAGCGAAGCAAGACCAAAGCTCCAACCCCTCACACGAGTTGTGTAGATAAAGAAATAAACCAAAGCCCAGTTAATAATAACAAAGGCAAGGAAAATACCAAAGCAATGCCACTTATCCTCGACATGAACATTCAAGTTCGCCATATACTGCTCACCATCCGTGTAGGGACAGTACTGGCAATCCGCCGTAGCCCGGGGGTTAACCAGGTAACCCGCCTTAGCGATGGAGTTGACAAAGTCACCTGCATACGCAGCGCAGGTTTTTCCAGGCGGGGGATTGAAATGTGTAGCCTCAAGCGAAGCACATTCAATCTTGACCTCTGGCAAAACAGCCGAGAGCACACCACGCAGCCACCAGGTCATGGGGTTGACGTAGTACATCCAGTATTTCCAGAAGACAGGGTAATCGGCATAGGGACGGACGATACCGTTGAAGAGGTTAACCATGACGAAGAAGAAGGGGAGGACGTTCGAGATGACCGTGAAGGAAGGCGCGAAGGCGCAAATCCATTGGCCCCACGAGGCCTGGAAGAGGAAGAAGAGCATAGTCATGAGGAAGACGTATCCTGCGTTTGCGGAGTCGGTAGGGAACCCGACGGGGTAGTACCAAAGCAGCCAGTAGATCAGGCCTGAGATGATGGCAGCGGGGATCTCGCAGACGACGTTTGCTGTGCAGAAGGCGAACCAGCCGTAGATGCGGGAGGGGTATTCGCGTGCTTCCCAGAGGGCGCGGTTGGCGTAGAATTTGGGGACGATGGAGTTGAGGACGATGGGGGGGGATGAGGATGATTAGGAAGACGGAGAACATGCGGTCTTGCATTGAGGCTACGTTGTTGGAGAGCATGTAGAAGGTGAAGCCGTTGAAGATGCCCATGATGACCGAGACGAAGATCTTGCTGTAGTAGTACGAGGGGTCGCGCCAGTAGTTTGTGAAGAGACGCCTCGTTAGCTGGAATGTTTGGGTTGATGTTGGGGCTGCGAATTCGTATTTGGCGGAGCCGGATTCCTCGATGGGGAGTTTGCTGCGCTCTGAGCGGATGTGCTCAATTTCCGCGAGCATTTCGCGGTTTTGATCCGAGTTGCGCCATTCTTCGTTCCAGTCGACATGTTTGCCGTTGCGGTGGGTTGCTTTCGCGGCTGTTTCGAGGATGAACTCGGCGACGTTCTTTGATGGCGGGCAGACGAAGCCGCGGTCAGCGAAGTACTTGATTACGGAGGAGCCGTCTTTGCCGACGGGACCGAAGTAGAAGGTGTTGCCGCCGGGGTTGAGGGCGAGAATCATGTCGAATTGCTGGATGATCATGGAGGAGGGCTGGTGGATTGTGCAGACGATGGCCTGGCCGGCTTGGGAGAGTTTCTTGAGGAAGCGGACGATGGAGAATGCGGCTTGACTGTCGAGACCGGAGGTGGGCTCGTCTAGGAATAGAAGCAGACTGGGCTTGGCTGCAAGCTCAACACCAATGGTGACACGCTTCTTCTGCTCGACGTTGAGAGAGCCGATGATGGCGTCCTCGATATCCTCCAGCTCAAGAAGATTAATGATACGGTCCACATATTCAATTTTCTCCTGGTGCGAGACATCGCGGGGCTGACGGAGGATGGCTGAGAACTCAAAGGCTTCGCGAATGGTGGAGGTATTGTCGTGTAGATCCATTTGCTCACAGAAACCTGTGCCACGCTGGAAATCAGCACCCAGATTGTGGCCATCGACAAGCATATCGCCAGTCACAACACCCATCTTCTGGCGCTGCGCCAAAGTATTGAGTAGAGTGGTCTTTCCAGCGCCAGAGGCACCCATCAACGCAATCATGACGCCGGGCTTAGCATAGCCGTTGACACCGTTGAGGAGCTTGCGTGTTCCGTTGCCGTAGGGGACAGTGTATTCAACATTCTGCCAGGTGAAGCAGCGCTCACTTGAGGACAGACGGTTGAAAGCAGCATCGTCAGAAGAAGAGGCCTGGCCACGGGCAAGAGCAGCATTGTCATTTGCCTTGGCGACCTTTTCTTCATCGTTGGCGGTGGTAGGCTGGGCAGCGACCTGCTTAGAGCGCTTAGACTTTTTGAAGACCAGAGCACCGCCTCCGCCACCAACGAACGAGAGAGTCTCAGCAGCAATGACAGTCACTAGGATGTAAAGCACAGTGAAGGCAACGACAACACCAAAGTTGCGCCATAGGTGACTGCGCGTGAACTCAAAGTTGGCAGTCAAATACTGATCTCCGGTAACAGCGGTTTCGCCCAAGGTTGACCCAGTCAGAGCACAGCCCTGGTACTTGGGATCCATCCCGGGACCCTGTGGGATAAGCTGGGATGGATTGCATTCCATGATGCGGCCAGCAAACTCGTTTGTCAAGACTGCCTCATAACTATACGAGATCGGATTGACATAGTACAGCCATCCGAACCAGATAGAGTCCTTGATAAGAGTCTGCTTGGGAATGACATAGCCGACATACAAAATGAGCAGGTTCAGGGCAATACCACTGAAACGCACCGCGTCATCGATAGTCGGTGACAGCGCAGCGAACATGCGGTAGAGTGAGGTAAGGCAGAACGTGGTTGTGTACACGAACAAGAAGTAAATGAAGAACTTGGAAGCCGTGACATCGAGGCCAGTCATAAAATACATGGTAACTGTGAACGGGATAACCATGCAGAGGATAGCAGGGAAAGTCAACAACGACACGGGCAATGGAGACAGCAGACGGACGGTAGAAAGCGTAATCCTTGTGGCGGGCGACGATGCCGCGCCCGGTGACAGCAGGCATCAGCTCAGTCAGTTGCAGCCAGCCAAGGAACAGAATCGAGAAGAACAGAGCACCGCCGCGCGAGAAAGCGCCGCTGGTATCCAGGGATTCCCCGTAGAACAAGGATGAAACGATGAGAGCGTTAGAGATGACAATGAAGTACTTCGTGTAGAGGGAGGTTTTGTCGCCCCAGAGCAGCCAGAACTCGCGCTGCACGCAGGCCATGACCTGCCGCATGAACGAGACGGTGTATGGCGACTTCTTGGAGACGGACTTAGACTTGGACTGCGCGACCATAGATTGGAAACGACGGGTGTCCTCCTGCTCGGTATCATGGAGGCGTTTCTCGTAGTGAGCGACATCCCCCAAGATACGGCTGTGGGCCTCGCTGTTCTTGAAGGTCTTTTCGAGTTCTTCGGCGGTCTTGGGGGTGGACGCTTCACAGCCGGGCTGGAACTCGCGGGCATTGGGATCGCAGAGCGAAGTAAGGAAGTCGGCTGTAGTCGATTGCGGGGGACAGTAGAAGCCCAGGTTGATAAAGTATTGTCGTGCTTCATTGGCCGGTCCTTGGTAGAGCATGCGGCCTTCGTCAATGACCATCACCTTGTCCATGAGCTCGTAGATACTCTCTCCGGCTTGGTATAGTGTGACGAAGGTAGTGCGCTTGCTGATGTCGGTCATGATGCGGAGGGACTTGGCGTAGTCCAGTGCGGTACTGGCATCCAGGCCGCGAGTCGAGTTATCCCAGCAGACCACTGATGACTTGGTGGCTAGGGTCTCTGCGATACTCACACGCTTGCGCTCGCCTCCAGAGACACCGCGAACATACTCGTTACCAACAAGTGTATTCTTAGTATGAGTGATACCGAACATTTTCAGCAGGGCATCGATGATAATGGGGATGCTTTCCCGATCATGCTTGCGGGTCTTGTTGATCAGAGAAAACTTGAGAGTCTGCCAGACAGTGAGGGAGGGGAAGTGCTGATCATCTTCCGGGTTATAGTTGACTTCTCCACGGAAGTGCTTGTTCTGGTCCTTAGAGGAGAGACCACCGTAGCTAACCTCGCCATCGACACCAGCAAAAGCGCCACGGTCATTTGCAATTGCCTTGAGGAAAGTGGTACAACCAGCGCCAGGACGACCGAGCACCAGCATCATCTCACCTTCACGCACAGTACCGCTGAAATCATGGATCAAATCGCGAACAGGAAGTTGTTTGCCGAACCGCAGCTGCGGCACAAACTGACAGACGATATTATACAAATCCGGGCCGAAAGTACCCATCAAAGCCTGGGGCAGAGTGCGTACGAAGGATGCACCAGTCTCCACACCCTTTACGGTAAGGTTCTTGAAGACAACGCCGACCTTCTTGGCTGGTCCGCCAGTGGTCGTGCGGCGTTCCAGATGACCACCGACTAGGAATTCACCCAGATCGAAGCCGCTATCAGCCTCATCCTCAGTCTCTTCTTCATCCATGACGTGTTCCATGGCCTTTTCCTCATCGGGACGGCTGGCCCGCGACCTGAGGCGACCAACGCTCTTGTTGGCAGAGCGGGTACGGTTCAGGCTGAGGCGGGTGAGTTCGCGGCGCATCTCTTCCATGTCCTCCATGGCGCCGCTGCGGGAGACGGCCTTGCCGACATTCTCCTCTCCCCAGCGGCCATCTCCATCACTTACAGACGAGCTGATGGTTGAGGTGTCGGTGAAATTTTGGTTGGAAGCTTCGGCGGGTTGTTCGAAGCCTGCATCATGGTGATAGGTCTCGCCATTTGAGGTGGATTGTTGCCTGGAGGACTGGGTATAGGCTTGTGAATCCGAAGCGGTATGCGGCTGTTCGGAGTGGCCCTCCATGTTTGGGGTTGTGATAGTTTCTACTCTCCAGCACGATTCAATGGCAGATAAAAATGTATTATGGTATAGCCAGGCTAATTAGGGGATATGAATAGAATTAAAAGGAAATGTTAAGGAAGAAGGGTATTATAAAGCAAAGATTGAAGAGAAGAACAAAGAATATTCAAACATCGTTTATATTGAAAAATGCCAAGAATCCTTTAAGTCCGGGCATTTGTCAGTCGCTAAAATGGGAATTTAAGATCCTTGGAAATTCTAGAATGAACATCGAATCATAAGCGAGATAGTCAGCCAGATTCGGTACTTCAAGAGCTATGGTGGAGTTGGTGGAGTTACATGAGTCAGTATGAATCAGAGGAATTTTCTGGTTTCAAGCATTCACGGAGATAAAAGTCGGGTTTTAGCTGTACGAGATGTTATAGTCGTTTGATTTGGGTGTTTATTGGCTGCTCGCGGAACTGTTCAGTGCCAAGGTGACTATCCATTGGCTGTTCAAGTTGTCATCGGAATATCCATTCCTATCAGCCCTGAAGGCTTATGCAAGCACGTGGAGACGGCTTTTATATTCCGTAATTTCCTTTTTATAACTAGTTGATCTATAATATGGATTATATCATGTATATTAAAAATGTTTCTGGATTAACAATCTTGCTTACGAAGATTTTTTCTCATGGGCACTTATCCATGGATATCCACCTAGAACGTCGTAGAAAACCCCTGTAGACTCAGATAACAATGAATATCAAGGTCTGTGCACATGTATCGGCCCGCCTACCTAATTCAGCCATCACAAACAACCTGCAGTTCGGCGACTTTTGAGATCTTACGGATCCACCTCGCCTAAATAAGACCCCGACTTAAATCTTTCCTATCTACTACTATTTTCCCAAATTGGACCTCTAGCTAAGACACAGCCTCAATTACTGTTTCCCCCTTCATTCTCTACGTATAAATGGCTAATATCTACGGTGTAATCCGGACTTAACACCATCGTATATTGTCTTTTTCTAAAATACTAAGCTTGCTTGGACCTCTACCCCTAGCATATGTAACCGGGGTCTTCCCTGTAAACTCTTATCATACTACACACCTCCACGTTGCCAGGCTAGATATATCACATGTAAATATGCAGGCTACACCTACTTTTGGGCATTCATATGGTTCATATTTCGACATCCATAGAAACCTGTAGAAATCAATATACCTGGATACTACATATGCACGAACCCCGTTAGAAGAATGCGGTCTGACTCGCGACATCAAATTTTAGAATATTGTACAAAAAAAATCTCTAACTCTGCCTAATAATATTCGACCGCTACTTGCGCTTTGCAGCTGCTTGAGCAATCCGCTTTTGGATCTCCTCTTTTGAGAGGATCTTCACAGCATTATTGGAGAAAACATAGCTGAGTCCGGACCAGAGAGTGGTGCCGGCAACAAGGTACCTGAAAGTGGTTAGTAAAAAGAACCAATTTGAAAAAATCACCAACAAACTATGCAAAAAAAAAGTTGAGCGATAAAAACAAAAACATACAACAGTGAGGATTCGCTGGTGGTCACCCACCCAACTACTAACTCACCGGCGTGTGGCTTAAGTACGGCTGAGCGGACGGGAAGCCCTGTTTTCCACACCCTATGGTCGTATGTACTGGAATGAGCCCCAATGTGCCCTAGGGCGGACCATTGAGAACTGGGCTTCCAGATAAAATAAAGCAGAAACGCAAAAAGAACCAAAAACAGGGGTATAAAACAAGAAAAGATCAAACTTACTGGAATCCAGTCATAGCCTCGCTCAAATGCCAAGCACTGACAAACGCCTCAGGGACCACAGGCAGTGCAATCGCACTACCCACCAACACCAACTGCAGGGCAGTATTGATCTTCGAAATCTCCGTAGGCTTGACTTCCGCAGAGGGAAGCGAGAAATCCCAATACCGGGCCATAGTCTTGGGCTCAGGCAGTGAAATCCAACGGTAATAGATAGCCGAGATAGCCAGACCAGCATCGCGACCGAGGATGATCACAGCGAGCCAAACTATTCAATGCGTCAATCCATGTCCATGTTCGTATATCATCAAGTGATCGATACGAGGAGACTTACTAGGAAGGGAGCCATTTACGGCCAGACACGCGACACCAATGGTCATCAACAGCTTGTCAGCCATAGGATCAATGATGGTTCCAACCACCGTTTGGAGGTTGTACCGCCGAGCGATGTAGCCATCGACAAGATCGGTGATACCTGCATACGCGAACAGGGACAGCGCTGCTACGTGGTAGTTGTGGACTAGGAGATACCCGACCACAGGGGCAGCGAGCAATCGGGAGAATGTGAGAATGTTGGGCACGGTGTAGATGTTCTCATGAGTGGTTGGCAGGGGAATCCGTGATAGAATTGGTTTCTTCTTGGATTGCTCGGTTCTACCCTGGGTTAGTTGCAGGCTCGCTTGACCTATGTTTCATTTGGATACCGGGTATCTCGGCACAAAGATTATAGACTTACTGTTCAGGGGTTTTGTTTTCAGGCGATTTTGATCCGGACCATCTTTGCTGGGTAAAGAATGATGGCGGGATCAGTGCGGTCTGCAGACAACGTGGTTTCAATCCTCTGCAAACAATTAGATGTGCATAAACGGAGAAAGCGACAGGCAGCCATACCCGGTCGGTAATCGGTTCAATGTCGACTGCACTGATGTAGATATACACCGGGATCCATCCCTCTGGAGAGGTTCAGTCTTGAACACATTTAGCCGAACAGAAAGACGTGCGTTCTTGAATAGCACTTGAGATCCCTGACGGCTTGCCCGAAGGGACAACTGGGCTGCGCGTGAGCCAATCATGGTGACAGTAGCACAAAAGTGACAACGGCAGGCGTTGGTGGGAACTCAAAATTAATCAGCGACGCCAATAAACACAAGCTTTCAACCAGAAGCTTCAACTGTGCATACCCAGTCGGGTTTGGGTTATGCAATAGTGGTTCAGTCCAAGTGATACACTAGGGGACCGACTGAAGCTGTCGCGTCACACAGTTGCTCTCAAACCTGCAAATTTAAATCCCCAGATCAAACCAAGTCAAACGAACAAAATGATATCGCAAGTAATGCAAATAAAAAAACAGAATGCTATATAGTACAAAAACAATCTAGGGATTGTTAGCTGGATGTATCGGGATCTGCGCAACTTGGCCGAGCGGGACATACATATAAGAGAATTGAAAATACAGATCACTCCTACCAGAAATACAATGAGCTAGAACCGCAAAATTCTGGATCACGGTCGCTTGAGGTTAGATGGACATTGGAGATTGCACTTCGGCGATGAGTTTCTGGTCGGATAAATAGTTTATCCGCCCGTCTCTATATCCTCCACATGCAACAAACTATTCTTCCTGAACTTCTCCTACTTTCGTACTCCGTACATAGAAAATAAATATAACAACATGTTTGCCTCTATTGAATCGCACATCCTTGAAAATGACAAAATCACATCTAGCTCCTTGATGCTAGGATTTGCATCATGATGAACATGATCAAGCTTATACTCACCTGACAGCCTCTGCCACCTGTGACCTAAAACCCCAGGTGATGAAAAACATCACGAACAAAAATGCTAGAACTAATGTCCGGGGAATCAGCTGAAAGATTATATATGACAATAGTCCACACGGGCGGAGTCAAATTACAGACAGCCGCGTCCGCGTCTAGAAGGAGCCTCAGAACCAGATGAAGAGCGAGGGGAGCCTACTAAAACAAAACTGCGGTCTTGTCGCTTTGCGCTCGTCAAGATGTCGTTTACTTCTGTCCAAAATGGACGTGTCTCTGACTCACGCTCGTTAACTCCAATTTGCAGCTTACCACCAGCCAAGGAAAAGAAACAACCAGATCCAAACATGGCGAATCCACGCTTGCTTATCAACCGTGCTCTCATATACGAGCGCAGACTACCCGGTGATGCGTATATTACCGCTCACGTTCAGCGCCTCCAGCATGGCTATTACTCCAGCGATGCTGTCTCGGACGAGGACGCCGAACATGTAGATTTTCTCGCTCTCGCATTCACCTTTCATTCGCCGCACACTATCACGCATCGCATCAAGTCCGCCACTATTAGTGTATCAGTTCGTGGGAACCGCGATGTTTCAAGTTCGAAGTTGTACCCTTACGGGTCTCCACTCGGTAACCCACACTTCCTTATGCATGCGCCGCATCTGATCTACGGTAGTGTTTCCCCAGAGACGATGGAGTGGACATTCAGTCTGGCTGGGTCCCTCGGGATCTCAGAAATGCCTCTCAACGCAAGCGTCATTCCCTCGGGGAGTGTCAACGGCCGGTTCAAGCGGTACGAGATGATGCGCATCCAAGGCTCGGCACGGACTTTGAAGAGTCCCTCTGGTAGTAAATTCGATGTCGAAGCTGGCAGAATCGTCTGGTCTATGGAAGAGAACAATGTCCAGCGATCCGGCCTGCCGCGCGAGTTCACCTTCGTCATGCTGATCCAGAAACCAGCAGCAAACAGCAAGATTTCCCTGTCGATCGACGTCGACCCCGTCATCGACGCGATGATCGGCAGTTACCCATCCTTGCTACTAAAACTGCCCGAGTACCAACCCTTGCCACGCCGAGGCATCAATTTCCAACAAGAAGTTGGACAACGGTTTGAGCCCGTGGATCCGGTGCGCGGGTTCAACTTTGCAAAACTCGAGAGCATGTTCGATGAATACATTGCCATCCCAGGAAGGAAGTTCAGCCGTCAGGTATGTTCACAATTAAGAGCTCAATCAATCTCTCAATGCATCTGAAGTGAGGCGAAACTAATAGATAGATACATCTCTCAGATCGAAATCCCAGCTGAGACCGGTCCCCCTGAGGATCATTTCCAGGCCACCTACCCAGGCCAGTACGGCCCTCTCAACTCAATCCCCTATCGACAACTGCAGACCCACAACCTAGCTCTGCAAAACAACAGCCTCTCCCTGCAGAACAACCTCCTACAGACGACCCTCCAAAACCTCTGGACCACCCAGCCGAGGGAAGAAACCCAACTCCGCGCGCAGCAGGTAACCCCCCAGACCCAAAGCCAAAACCAGGGCCATTCCTCCCCCCGACCCCTCAACCCTCATCCAACAACTCCCACCACCCCCCAACCAACCACCATAACTATCCCCCTAAACCTCCACCTCCACCTCGACCCCGCCACCACCACCAACCTAACAAACCTCCAACTCAGCCCAGGCCCCTCCCCCCTAGGCCCACGCCGCACCCCAAGCCTGCGCCGCACGCAAGCGCGTGAATTCACCAGCGCGCAGGCGGCGAGCGGAGCATCAAACAACTCCAAATGCTCCCTCAGCCCGACGGACTCAATGATCCCGCATACGGGCGCGCGGTCGCAGCAGTGGAACCGCACTCTTTCGGAGATCGCGGAGGGGGATGCTTCTGATTCTATTCCCCAGAACGAAGAGGGCCGGACGTTGCGGCGTTAGAGGACGTCGGTTCGCTCTTATGAGGCTGTGAGGTGGGATTCGGTTGGTGCTTCGTGGGTGCGGACTGGTCGTGGTGGGAGTGCTCATCGAAGAGTTTGGGGTTTGGTTAGCTCACTGCTGAGGTAGGGGATTCATTTATTCCCTTCGTTCGGGTTGGCTAGATCAGCAGATGGGTTTGTGGGATGAGATATCCATCATTCTTGTGCTTTGGCGAGTATTCCTTTTTGTGTTGCTGGTTCTTTTTGTATCATTCTTTGTCTTTTGGTCTTGTTTTGGATCAAGTCAAGGGTTGGTGTGTATATGTTTAGGATAAGTACGAAACTGTAATCATAGTGAGTAATATGTACATGTAAGTGACCTAGCTATATACTATTCTTTGGTTTAAAATACCATGCTGTCCAAATAGACTATGGATTTAGTTTAAAGAGAGTTACAGCAAAAAGCAAATCTATGCTTTGATATAACCTTAACATAGACAGTAGCACCCATGGATTAATGCCAGCAAAGTATGTAAGAATGGAATATAAATAGATTAACATAGGAAGTAAACCTTAGAAGAGAGGAGATGTCTCATTGTCCACTAGGTAGCCAGGTACAACCTTAATTCAACAGCACAACAAGGGGAAGACAGAATAGACTTCATCTCATATCCATACCACATCTGCCATTCTAACAAACGCACAAGCAGAGAAACATAGAGGCAGTAAAGTATAAAGTATAGGGTATATCAATGAGAAAGAATATAGAGTAAAAAAAGAAGGGACATATCTGTTTGAAGCAGCTAATATTGTAATTGGGAAATTGTAAATATCGAAAAGCCACCACTGGTGCACAGAGCCTATACTCCATACATACGATGCATAGACCGCGGGGAATCAAGTATGAAGTACACGCACACACCGAGAATAGCCAGACCGCACCAGCACCAAAGGGAGAAAAAGGGACGCGTTGAAGCAATCTTTGACCATTAAGCCACTGGCCATTGACCATGATATGAGATGGAAATCACTAAACCTTTCCCTGTGGAATTGGACAGAACAGAGAATAGAGAACAGAACCCGCCCAGACCTAGAAGAAACCTTTGGACACCGTTCGTGATCGCAGCGTGAAGACAAACATACAGCGGCCTTGGCAGCGAATAGAGATAGAAGTATAGAGAGTTGGAGAGCAAAGTAAAAAAAGTAGGAATCAGAGTCCAAAGGTAAAAAAAAGAGTAAAAAAAAAATAAAACCGTTTTGGGGTTGTCGGGTTATTGCATGACATCGTAAAGAATAAAAGAACGCCACCCACCCGGATTCCCAGAACAGAATCAAATATCAAAGAGCCACCCGAAAAGAAAAAGCAAAGGGGTAAAAAAAAGAAAACAAACAGTTAGAACCAGAACAGAGCCACCTCCGTAGCAGACCATAAAGCAAAGAGACCATAACCATATAGACAAGAGACAAGAGACGAGTACAGCCGCTGTCAGGTACATATTGTAGCAATAAAACGGCGTTTTCCTCCCAAACATAACAGAACAGAAGCGTAGGGTCTATCTCCAGGCAAAAGGCAAAAGCAACTGGACAAACAAAAAAAAAGAAAAAAAGAGATAAAATTCCGTCCTGACTCCCACGCTCCATGGCCATAAGCAACATCAAAAGACACGGAATGGTATCAATAGATTAGATTTGAGGTTGCGCCATTTGAGGTTGTGTCGCTGCCGTAGTTGTCCATGGCGCCATGGGTTGCGTGGCGGCATAAGGTGCAGGAACATAGTACTGGGAGCGATCTGTATTATAGTAGGACGGATGGATGGGGTTTGATTCGCGACGAGGAATGCTAGGATCGAGACCGGGCATGTTGCGGTCGAGTGGGTGTTGGCTATCCAGCTGGGTGGGCATGCCGAAGCTGCCGCGGGAGTAGGTGCTCGGTGTGGAAGGATCCATAGGCGAAGTAGCGTCTGTTGCCTGGCTGCGCGAGGAGATAGAAGAATTGCGGTAAGCGGAAGGGCTGTGTTCAGATACGGATCTGTTGCGCTCGCTGAGTGAACTGGGGAGTCCTGTGCTGAGACCTGAGATAGAGGCCATGCTGTGCCCGCTCATTGAGTCCATGCTGCCACCGTAGGGCCCTGCGCGGAATGAATGGTAGTCTTCCTGCTTTTGGGAAATGGTAGGTTGTCCTGGATTTGGCAGGTACGGGTTTGGCGCGGATTGGGCTGTCATCGGCGCGCCCATCGAGTATCCCTGAATTGGGGTTTGCTGCGGGGGATGTGTGGCGGCATACGGGCTAGGATGCATGTAGAAGTCGTTTGAAGGGTTTGGCATGGCGTAGGTGGGTGGGGCCATCATCTGCGGGCGATATCCGTATAAAGCGGCGTGGGAAGGCTCCTGATTTTCCACGGCATTGGCCTCTAGCTCGTCGATTGGGGAACGGAAGCTTTGTTTCTGGGTGAGATCGTTACGAGGTCGGATGAAGCGTAGGGAATCCACCATCGAGGGTGGGTTGAGGATGCCGCGCATCACATCCTCTACACTGTAATATGAGACCAAATGGTGGGTCACGCCCAAAACCGTCACGCTCATTGTCTTCTTGACTAACCCGGAGTCCTTGAAGCCGTACGAATCAACCAGGGAGCCAACCAATGCCCGTTCAAGCTCCGATTGATGGGATGAACGGTCTGTGAAAGGTCCCGAGCTAGGAGATGTCGGCGAATAGCCTTGGCTACTATCGTGTCGCGGATAAGGTTCGCCTGGCCGGCCGGCTGGCACTGGTCGTCGAGTAGCTTTCTTCATGGCGCGTTTCTTCTCCCCAGGAGGGAATGGTTTGTCTAGCTCACGGTAAACGAGGAAGTTCCCCAGAATGCGACTGGGACTCCAGGTGACTCCGTCGGTCCAGCGTTTGATACCCGAGGCATTCTCCTCATAGATGAAGACGCTGCCGCTGCGTACGAGATGACTCCGTTCCCGGTCGTGAGGGCGGCGGGGGACATGATGCAAGACACCGGTCAAGCATGCCTCGAATAGTATGAGGGCATCCTGAGTGGTTGCGACATACCCGGTGAATGTGGGTTCCAACACGGCGGCGGTCCCGTTCACCATGATGTAGAGTGTGTAAAGAGATACAATCCCAGGTACAACCCCCGGGCGTTTGCGAGTGATATATTCCCCGATTCAAATAGACCAAAGGTTTAAAGAGAGAAAAAAAAGAATTAAGCTAGATCGACCAGGGTGTATGGAGAAGGGGGAGGTTTTGAGTTGAGACCCCCTCAGTTGGAGAAATCCCAGGATCAGCAAGAAGCACGGGCCTCTTGCAAGTCAGCGAGTCAACAGGTTGCACCGATTCAGAAAGAAAAAAAAGATGGGGATCTACTAGAACAACCCGTTCCACGGTTTGAGTTGCGGCAATTCCCAAGCTTCTTTTTTCTTTTTTGCTTTCTTTTTTGATCCACTGAGAGAATGAGAGGGAAGGGAATAACTATGTACCTAAATTGGGGACCCTGGCCTAGTTAAACCAAATCATAGAGAGAAGAGGGGAAAGAGTAAGAAAAATAAAAAAAAAAAAAATATAAAAAAAAGGAAGGGGGGGGTCTGAGTGGTGATATCTCCACAGGGAAATCATGGTACACTATGATAATCATCAGATTATTTAGGATTATTAGATATTAGTTTATTAGTTTATTAGATTTATTTTTAAGATTATTGATTATTCCCCATTATTTATTACTATTTTATTCTCTACTTAGACTATATTTCTTTATATCATGTTTATAACTTCAACTCCTACAAAAAGAAAGAAAAAGAAGAAGTATGGTATGGTCACCGGGAGTCTAATGGGCTTAATGTTAATGTTAAATGTTAAAACAACTCGGAGGGTTGAAACCGGAGAGTACTTGGATAGTGATAGAATGAAAGCTGAGGCCTGGAGTATCAATGACAGCAGATATGACATGCGATATTATGTTTTGGGGGCTTTGATTTTATTTTATTTTCTCCATTTTTTTAATTTTATGGATTATTTTATTTTAATACATTTATTTGCCTTCTGAATATGGTCTAGTCGAGTTGACCCAGAAAAAGGAAAAAAGAAAAGAGAAAAAAGAAAAAGAGAAAAGAAAATAGTAAAAAAAGGGAGAGACGGTGGAATTCGGGGGAGCGGAGAAATACGGAGAATGAAACATTAAAGTCATGATTTCACCAAACCCTCCGCGAGAAGCAGGTACAGTTTCACTTTAATTAGAGCACTTCATCAAGTAGGTACTATGATATACAATATAGATGCTATTTCAATATACACTATATATATACTATAATAATCTAATATAAATTAAAAGAACAGACTATATACAAACTAGAAGAAACGAAGAATAGAACAGGTCAAGATACAATCACCCCCCGTACCATGGGTGATCCCGGTGGAGCCGTGGATTATGAGATCGGAGGGTCTCCGTAACATCTTTATACCCAATCTAGGTATCCCCAAAGTAGATTCGGACACAGAAATCACGGATGATATACTTCAAATCTACATATAGGGTTGTAGGTCGAATCTGACTCAGCACGTACCTGCCCTATTTGGCAGAAAAGAGAGAACAAAAGCAGAGAATATCCTTACATGTGGCAGTCTGGCTCGAGGCAGATGAAGCACACAACTCCCGCTGTGACCAACCCCCAGAAATGACTATACATTTCATTGGTTTATTCACCTACTCTTCCCCCCACTTTTCCCATCTGACCCATAAAAAGCAAAAAAAAAAAAAAAGAAGAAAGGATCGACTTTTGTCTGAGACCTGGGTTTTAACCTTAGGAACACCAAAGAGGATCCCCCTCAATCCTCCGAAAGGGCGTCATATCTGTTTGGACAGTGCACCTACTATTGAAAAATTGATGGGTCATGATCATCCAACGGTAGTCAAGGAATAACATCGGTCTGGAGCCAGACGCGGGCCAAATTCCATCATTATTATATATTCTCTTTTTCTTTCCTTTTTTTCTCTGGGTCCGGGTATCGGTGACCTTATTTGTTCATGGTGCTTTCATGACTAGGTCTCCCCCCCCCCTTCTCAAGGAATTCCCCCAAAGAGAACGAGGTGGAACGAGGACTGAGCGGGATTCCAGTTCGAGGCATCTCCGCCTTGACCCATTGGATTTTGGTATACAATCTACATACAAAAATGCAATAATGTATACTATTATATGTACACACACAAACAAAACAACATTTAGAAAGAAGGTTAGGCTTCCGAGCTTAGAGAGAGTTTTCGGTAACTTCACTTTACTTTCCCTCGAAAACTTAGGGGAAGAGGGTCCCGTACCTAACCAACCATCTAGGTACTTTGTAACAAAATAAGACCAAAACCACTGGGGTTCGATTGGATAGCCAGAAACTCTCGCGGGAGATCCTCAGCAGATCCAGGCCACGTTGCTATGCTCGTCTATCCCAGCCTGGACCGTACCAAGACAACTAAGGACAAATAGAGACACTGGTCTCAAGCCATTGACATGTGGCCTGGCTATGCACCCCAGCCACCGAGCTAAGGATTTTAGGGGAGATCGGCGGTTTGATGTAGTTTGAGGTAGAGAGCGAGATTGAGCGAATTATAGAAATAATTATAGATTTATTATAGAAGGCATTATGTTTTTTAAAATTGTTTTATATTTTACGGAGTACAAAGTATACAAAGTACTTTGTACACACGGAGTATACGGAGTAAAGGGAAAATGGTTAGAATTGTAAGACGTTAGATAATGGTCGGAGGACAGTGCTCCGTTTTATGTTTTTTTAAAGTCACGATCCCAGGTCCCAGAGAACTGGTAGACGCTTGTTGAAAACTTAATTGACGCGAATGACAGATGTTAAAAAAAAAACAACTTGGGTAGTGATGGAAGTATATAGACAGGCGCGAGAGGGTATATCCTAAAATAAGTATATACGTAAGTAAAGTGCGTATATGCACGAGTGGAAATGTGATGTGTCAAGAAACAGTATAATCGCCGAAATCCGACCCAAGTCTAGGCAGAAAAAAGAATGAGCCGGACGAAGGAGCCGGACGAATAACCAAAAGTAATCAACACCAATAATATTGAACTAAAATATACAAAAGATAAGTTCTGGGCCAAAATCTGAGATATATTCTGCACAGCCCATCACAAGCCAAGGATTCCTTCTAAGCGCGGGGAGTTCATGATCAGACTCCGATTACGAGGAGACCGAAGGATTTCCCCACAAACAGGCATGCAACTGTACAGACAGGGCAAACTGAGATACTAGCCTGACAAGTTAGGCATCAATGCAAGTCACGTGATATGGAATATGGATCTTTTCCCTTTTTATATCCAATAAACTTATAGTGCGACGCGTTACTACTGCGCCACTAGGTCGATGACGTCTAATGATTGCTGAAATCCCAAATATAACTGGTCGCTGAGTATGGAGTAATCATCCTAGGAAATACCTGAACACAACCCTGGCTCTAAGCGCCCTTATAAAGCGGCGGCAATCCAATCGAGAAAAACATGACCACCTACAACCCCCGTATATACTAAATACAAACATACCTATATATCATGAAATAATTTCCATTTGATTTCCAAATTGTTGGAACTCGTAGATAAGAGAATTACGAGGGTAAAGGAGGTTAGCGTTGGCGGTTAGGCTAACAAAGGTACCCAATATATATACGGGAAAAAAAAAGAAAAAAAGAAAAGAAAGAAAAGAAAGAAAAGAAAGAAAAGAAAGAAAAAAAGCAAAAAGCACAAGGCAAAAAAAAGAAGAGGTCAATCTACGGAGTAATTACCCCACAAATACCTCAGCAAATCATTAACCTCCGAAGGAGGATGTACATTTAAGGGCGTGGCTTAGATCTTTATTAAACAGTGATTAGAAGATCCTGGATGTACTTTTCCGTCGATCTCTTGGTTATCATTTGTTGAAAGAAAACCCACATCCACGGACAGTGCACCCCCGTACCAGATACTCGGGGATTATTGAATCTATTTATTATTTTATCAGGTCTATAGGGTGGAACCTGTTAGACGCTTGAACGGGTTGTAATAAGCAACTGCAGGCCCTGTCAGGTAGAGTTTCACTGTGAAGAAAAATGCCATTGAATTTTATTCTTATTTGTACTTTGGTACTCCGTATTCAAATAATAGCTGTTAGGGCTAGAATCGCCAATACGAAAGATCATCTCAAAAGAGGCACTGAAAGCATGGACAGGATGCACAAGGCAATGCACAAGGAACAGGTAATATAATAGGCAAATGCACGCACCTTGAAGAAGGAAAAATGCCAACCCGAAATACCTCGCACTACTCCTACTAGTCCCGGTGGCGTCCGTACTATGCTTTGGAGCAAACTAAGAAATCCCGCAACTCTCAAGGGTCTAGCACTAAGAGGCGATCATAATTAGGGAACTTTCGAAGATCCGGTTTGGATCACCGACTTGATTGTGGCTTCGGGGGATTCTAGCTTCATCTTCGGAGCTTCGGAGAAACTAGAGATAGCGTACCGTACAAAGTAGGTACAACATACAGTATCTTGTACGGAGTACTCCGTACGGAGTACAAAGTAGATATACGGAGTAACCAATTGACATATCTATCGATCCAATGTATAGCGGGAAGTATCATCTACAATATCCACATTCTACTAAACTATACAATAAACCGTAGAAATCAAGCGAGATGTGCATTGCATGTGCATCCACACATGCACCAAATACAAGTACCACTATGCACCGTGGCACAAGCACAAGTCCCTACATACAGCCTCGCACAGAGATCATGGGGAAACAAAGGACAACCACAGAGAAACAAAATGGTACTACCGCCCTATTTAGTCTACACCTAATTAGTCCACAATCCCGAAGACTGTTTTTGGGGAATCTTTCTCTCAACCCAAGGCATGGCGTAGCCCAGGCATCTGTTTTGCCCCTGATTCTGATGATCAATTGCATATTGGCTAGTTATTTGGATATCACTTCTTAATATCAGATTAGTCCCGTCTACGGAGGTACAGCAGATATTACAAGATTGGAAGTCGATCTCTCATTGGTTGGGGTTCTCTGATTCCGGGTGATTGTATCCCGTAGTAGCACAAC